TCGTTTACAGAACTAACCTCGCCACCGAGGTTAAGTATAAAAAAAAAAAAAGATTACAAAAATATCATCGTCTAGTATACCAAGTACTAATATTCGAACATTATTTTCACTATATTACACACTATACAGAATGATAATTTTAGTGTAAAATACTCGACGTTTAGACAAACAATAACTTTTTTCACGTGCATTTCGCCATTCTCGATTATGCTGTGTTTGGAACATGTTCACCTAATATATAGTGTGTAATTTGTGTGAATTTATGCAGTAAATTTCTACTCAAATTTAGAACATTTATGACGACTATCTTATAATATTAGGGTGAAATGCTCGCCAAAGGTTTTTCGGATTTACGCGTTAACCGTTGCTTCGAAAATGCTTAATTATAATGCACACAAAATATTGGGTAAAAAAAAAAATGTTTAAAAATTCCATTTTGGGTAATAGTTGGTCAAATGTACGTCTTTTTACGTAAAACAATTTTATATACCGACGTGAAGTTCTATTACATAAATTTAAAATATAGTTTTCAAATAAAAACCGGTAATTTGTTAATTTTTAACCTGCTACTCAATGTAATAAAGCATTTTTTTTTTTTTTATCAATTTAATGTTAGAACTTTTTCTATAGGTCCGGTTTACATTTTATAAACTTGTCGAAAACGGTTCTTTGGTAGACGCCGTAGGTACTTCATTTTGCTTTTAAAAAATCAGAAGTATATTCATTAATTTGTTATCGTGCGGCACGATAACAGATTAATACAATAACTATGCCCTAATGGAAAGCCCGACAACGTTTTCAGATTACTGATCTGCGGTACTGCAAGTAGGTAGTGATTAATAACGTAGACGAACGTGGGACATGAATTATAATTGCGGAAAAGTAACGTAACGTACGGTAATTGAAAGCAGTAGATAATCTGAAACGATTTTTTTTATTTATATATATATATATATAATATTGCGTATTGTTTGTTGGTAATAATATGCGGTTTTTGGTTGAATGATCGAAATCATAACCACTAGCCGGTTACACCATATAGACACCGATAACTGAATAAAAAAAAAAAAATCAAATCGAATCCCGGTCGCGCACCGCTGATTGTAACGATGGCAACAACCGCTGTATATGGGCTACATCAGGACGGCCATCATGTCATGATGTATACGGAACACGCCAGAGAACGTGAAGGATCGTATCAAACGGCCGCGGTGTATTAATATATATATATATATACCATATTATTTTGATTATTATTATTATTATTATGTTTATGCGCACAGCCGACTGCTGCTGTATAATGCAATAACGATATTGTATTATTTTAAGGAGGAGACAGTCGTTTGAAGGCACGCGCGGCCGCGGAGCACAGGGTCCCGAGGATGTAACGATAATACGAGATAGTTCGCGGACCGTCGTATTATTATTATTATTATTATAACACCGCGGTCTCGTTCTGAAACGCTAATACATCGCGTCCAGAGATTACGTCAAAATATTATATGTTTTATTCAAAGACACGCATGCACGCACGCGCGTACAATTGGACGCGATATCGTCTCGGCGGTAAGAGTACGGCGATAATAATATCATTCGCCCCGTCCGAAGTAAGATAATGTCACGTTAACCGTTTTGAAAGGGATCGCCGCCGCTGCCCGCCACGGTTGAAATAATACGAGCGAACCCCGGGCCGGAGATCGGGAAAACAGATATGATGAACGATCCGAATCCATTTACGCGGCTGCAACGGTATAGCTGATGCGCTGTTTATATGTATAACGCCATTGTAAAATCCGGCAACGGCGACGGTAATAACAACGATAATAGTAATGAGCGCTGGCATTATAGAACCGGTGTATTGGTAAATAAACTCGATACGGCGTAGTTCTTTGGGCCCAAGAAAGAAGGGTTTAAGTCGATTTTTCAATTTTTTTTTTTTTTTTTTTCCACGCCATGTAATTGTTTCCATTTTTTTCCCCTCAACGGCACACCTAAGTGTGTGTATATTTTAACACGCGTTATATTGAAAATCAAAATATCCAGTCACTATAACAATTATATTTGGGTAAACGGAGGAGGTGTCTTTTTGAATAAAACTGAAAGTCAAACTGGTACGCAAATAAGCACTATTTCACAGCCGTGTATTGATCATATATCTGTCAAGGGTTTTGATACTTCTAATATTTAATCTATCGTTGTGAATACTGATATCACTGATCATTGCGTAACAGTTTTTGCCGTTAATTTTACTGATAATCCAGATAAGGGTAATTCTTTAAAAAAACATAAACTGAAAATTGATTTTATTCGGCTAAATGATTTACCTTCAAACGAATGTTGGGTTGAGGTTGTAAATGCTGAACAAGTTAATAAAGCCACTGAAATCTTTAATTCTAAAATCAAAAATACGATTGACACCGTTAGTTATTTTTCCTCTTTAAAAAAACGTAAATATATAAAATTAAAACAATGGATCACCAAAGAAGGCATATTAATTTCTATTAGGAAAAGAGAGCAGCTTTATACAATTTAAACTAATCGGACGATCGGTCCATTCGACTTGAATTTTCGTAAATATCGTATCAAATATAGAAACTTGCTGCAATTATTAATAAAAAAAAAATCACGTAGTTTATATTATCATGAAAAAATCTATAGTGTTCATGGAAATATGAAAGAAACCTGGAATTTAATTAATGAAGCAACGGGTAGGAATAACAATAACTATTTACCTATTATTCAAATATGTACCAAAATTGATAATACGATTAAAAGTGATAAATTTGAAATTTTTTGTGACTTCAACGCATATTTCTCTACTGTTGGTGTAAACATTGCTAGTCAAATAAATAAAATGGATATGACAAATTAAACTACAAAGACATGTATGCTAGTGACTTTATCAGTGATACTATTTTTATTTCTCCATTTGATGCTAAAGAGATTAAAATGTTTATCTTAATAATTCGACAACTTTTTGTGAGCATGGTTTGTCAAACGAAGTTTTAATAAAGACTGAAGAATTCAATTCCATTAGCCGCCATTTTCAATCTGTCCATTAGTACTGGTGTTTTTCCTAAATTCTTTAAAAAAACAACTATTGGTCACCTACATAAAAATGGTGATAAACAAAGATGTGGCAATTATAGACCAATTTTTTTAACTTTATCTATTATTATACTTTCTAAATAAACACAATTTTTTCTCGAGCAATCAATTTGGAATTAAATCGGAAAGATCTACTACAGATGAGCTAATATCTTTTTCTGATGCCGTCCATACTAGTTTGGATACTAATAAAAAATGTCTAGGAATATTCTTAGATTTAAAAAAAGCGTTAGATTCTGTTGATCATATACTTTTAATAAACACATTGGACTGTTGTGGTATTAGAAGGAAATCTTTTGAGTTATTTGCTTCATACCTAACCGATAACTCACAACTTGTTAAAATCAACAACGTATATAGTAATCCTCTCATAACTAAGCACAGAGCCCCGTAAGGTACAGCTCTGGGGCCAGTTCTATTTATTATTTATGTAAATAGTTTGTTAATATTGTAAATACCAATGGAAACATTTTTTTCTTATGCAGATGCTACGGTAATTTTAGTAAAAGCAAATAGTGTGAACGAATTGAGGGCATTGTCCATTTCCAGCTTAAAAATAGTTAAAAATTAGTCAGACAATATATGTTGGAGCTTAATTTGAATAAATCTAGGTATAAATATTTTCGTCTGTCAAACGCTACGCTTAATTATATAGAACCTCTAGTGGTTCATCGCTATGACTGCCTACAGTCAGTTAACTGTTCATGCTTAGGCATTCAAAACGTTGCTTTTATTAAATATTTAGGAATTATCGTTGAAGAAAAATTTAAATGGTCAAATAATATACAGTATATAACTTAACTTATACCTTAGTTCGTACAATTTTTTATATTTTTAAAAGTCTAACACAGATTTTGAGTCCTCCGTTATTAAAAATATTTTATTTTTTTCTGACAAAATCAATTATTAGTTATGGTATAGAAGTCAATATCGGAACAAACAGTACTCATCTGGTGAATTTAGAGACCACAATGCGTGAATTAGTAAAAATAATTTTACGTAAGTCTAAGTTATATCCGACTGTAAATTTATTTTCAGTTTGGATTATAAAATATAAAGGCCCTTTTTTTTATATATATATATAAAAAAATAATCTTAAATCTTTTTAAAACTTATGTGACCATGTTTAAACCACTGCATTTGTACAATACTCGTTTAAAAACTTTAAGCCATTTAAATTGTATTAAAGTTTATACAAATTCGGGAAATTTAATACAATTAATATAGGTATCGATGAATGAAGAAAATTAAACGAAGATATCACTCGGTTTAAAATTAGATCAATGTAAATTAATTATCTGAGTTTCTTAAGCGGCCCATAGACGTGCAATATTATTCCGCAATATCGGAGTTTGTACAATATAATTGATCGTATGTAGTTAATATTGAAGAGTTGTGCAATATATTGTACGAAATCAAAAAAGTTTGAAATATATTGCGCAATTCGGAAAATATTGTGCCGTATATTGTTAATATTGTGCAGTAATCAGTAATGCAGTTTGTCAGTTGATATCAACAAGTAAAAACGGAAAACGTGTAGTGAGCGGACAAAACGGCGGAAAAAATGTTTATTTTGGAATTTATCGAAGTGAACCATGGACTCCCGGCTCTATGGGACATCAAAAGCAAAGATTATAGTAATCATGGTAAAAAAAGTGAACAATACGACGTGCTTATTATATAATATCGCGAACAGTACCCGGATGCCGACAAGCAAGAAGTTATCAAAAAAATAAATTATTTGCGGACAAACTTTCAAAAAGAATTAAAGCAGCTTGGTGATGCAGAAAAAAAGTGGTATGGGTGCAGAGGATGTCGAAACTACATTGTGATACTTTGAAGAACTGAAGTTTCTTCATTCTCAAGAAACACCAACTGTTTCAATCAGCACGATGGACTCTATTACACCAAACATTCACGAAGAGGATCACGATACAAGTTATTACAATGATGAAGTAGCTGTAAGTATAAGTATATTTAAATTATTATTATTAAAAAATGTATATTGAATACATTTTTTTTTCTAATAATTTAACTTTATTTTATAAAATGAAATAATTGAATCACATGCTAACCATACAACACAGTGATACAACTTTTTTTAATTTACGTATTTATTGTTCTTGTTATAAATTTGACTAATTAATCAATAATATTAATAATTAATTGCTAATTAATTATTTATTTTAATTAATTTACAAATTGTTTTTAATTATTGGCAGAAGTAGTTGAGCCTACAATCTTCGATTGCCATGAAACCTGACCTTCGTTGTTAACATAATGACAAAAGGTATCTCTAACAATCTTAGTACTTGTTGTTTTGTTTCTGGAGGTACTTGGCTGAAGAGGTGTTGCCTCATTGACAACCACATCTCTACATACTCCACTTGTGACATTGCTGGCCAACAAATCCTCACTACATAATTCCTAGTAATGTAAGCTCGTGGCTGACGTTTTCGTAAAAAGTTATGTAAATAACAATAAGCCAAGACTACTATTTGAGCCTTTTCTGGAGACAGTGCTATAGGATTCTGAAGGACACCAAATCTGCTGACCAAAATTCCAAAGGTGTTTTCGATAACACGACATGCACGACTTAACCGATAATTAAAAATTCTTCTCTCTAAATTTAATCCAGCTTGAGGGTAGGATTTCATGAGATTCTCTGTCAGTGCAAAAGCGTCGTCGCCCAAGAAAGTCAATGGTAATTTTTTCTGGCTATTTGGCAATTGTGCAAGTTCCGGGAGTCCAAGTGAATTATCTGAAAATGCTCTCCCAAACTCCGTGTAACTAAGTACATCGCCATCTGATATTCTCTCATTGATCCCCACATCAACCATGATGAATTCACAATTCGCACTCGCTACTGCCATCATCACAATACTGAAGAATTTTTTGTAATTAAAGTACTGTGATCCTGAATTGGGGGGTTTTTTATTGCCACGTGTTTCCCATTAATTGCTCCCAAGCCGTTTAGAAAATTCCACAAATCATTGAATTCTCGCGCAATTTCTTTCTATTCTTCTTCTGAACATGGTAACTGTAACATATTAATATAAATATAATAAACAAATATATATAATTATATATATCATAATATTATAATAATAATAATATAATATAATAATATACATAATAATAATACATATAATATAATATTATAATATATATTATATATAATTAAAATTTTTTTAACACAGTTAAGTTGGCACAAAGAAAAGCCAGTGGCATAAATAATTTGATTTAGAAAATTTAGTATATATAAATAAAATACCAATAAATATATGTAAAAATATTGTATGAGTATTAACTTTTAAACAATTTGTATTGTTTTAATTTTTATTTTCTTTGATTTATTTTCTACAGACCCATGGCAGGCTTATACCTGCTAAGAAGAAAAATAAGAAAGAAGATTCGACTGAGGAGTTGATGAAAATGGTTTGTCAACGCCTTAAACAACCGCTAGATGACTAAGATAAAATAGCTTCTGCTTAAGCAGTCGAGCTAAAAAAAATGGATCCACAACAGCAGTTGTTTGCAAAAAAGGCTATTAATGATATAATATTTGAGGGACAAATGGGGACCTTACACCGTAATTCGGTGAAAATTAACAACTCACATACTCAATATTGATAGTTTTCAAACTAGTAATAATAGCTTGACAAGTTTTTTGTACAATATTACTGATGGACTGTGGTAAAATTGCACTCAAAAATGTCAGGTCTTCGAACGTATTACCAGTGGCGAGATATCGTAATGTTATCGATAGTCTCTCATTGACAGAAATAGCTTCCATCATTATCGTATTTTGTTTTTGGATATTTGAAGTGACAAGCTATAATGATAATATGATTATTATACAGTCAAGTTAATTATACTTATAAAATATAGGTAATTTCACATACTTTCAATAAATTCTCAAAAGATGTAGCATCCATTCGCAAAAAATTTCTATAGTCGTCTGATTCAGTCATTCGTAAAAAGTTCAATGATTTTTCATGAATTTATTGCTCTCTTCGTTTATATCACTCTTTTATCCAACGTCTTATTTTATTTTGTTTGGAATTTTTTGGTTTAATCCAAATGCTACCACAATGTAAATTAATTCGGTATCGTTAAGATACATTTTTAAAACAATTATAATCTATAATTTTTAACAGATGGTAAATGCCACTAAGCTGACACCTTTAACACAGCGTAAACACCTTTATGACCTGGCCAACGAATATTTCTCGACTGAATATTGGGCAATAATATTGAGAGGTTTGGGTGAAATGAATATCGAACAAAATATTGATACAATTTTATTGACTCAATATTATTGATCGTGTAGGGGCCACTTTATTCTATAATAGTAAATTTTAAGTTGCAACTGTAGAATATTTGTTTTTGAACTCACTCATCCCATGCACAAGCTTTGATTTTTTTTTGGGAGGGGAGTGTCATTTTATTTGTTCTTATGTAAAACTTTATATTGCACAGTTTACATAAACTTGTACCTATGTTTTTTTTAATGACTTAATATATTATTATTTTAGGTTTTTTTTTTTTTGGTGGTAGACCCACTGAAGTATTGTTGTCAGCATAATTATTATTATCGGTATGTAAATGAATATCACAAATGTAATTAAACAAATATACTCGTACGCTGTTAAATAGAATCAATAGATACATAGAACTACTCAACTACATGACATAGAAGTAACAACACTAAGAACAGGGTGTTTACGTACACAAGTCGGCTGCAACGAATATATTGACCGGAGCCTAATAATACTATTTATAAATTGTATTGTTAAATAGTTACTTAAGATAACTTATCTTAATCGCTTTATTCCTGCAAACTGTCATTTATTAATATATAAATGTAACAAATGTAAAACGATTGAACGCGTTATATTAATTGTATTAATTCGCATATCACAATTCAATACAGTCATTTATGAAAAAACATTTTCAGAAGACCGCGGCACCTAGTTTGAAAACCACTGAATTATACAGAGTGATCAATCTATGATAAGAAACTCATTATCTAGGAAAGCATTAACTTTTTTTCGACACGTTTTGCAGACAATTTTAGAAACAAGCAGCTCTGCAATTTTACAATTATATTGTTTTTTATCGCCTTATTTTTTTGTGGGGTGGGGGGGTGGGGGTGAAAAAATGGCAACTTAAAATAAAAATTCTATAAATAGATAGTTAGAAAGGAGTAGTAGTTAAATAAATGTTAGTGTTTAAATTTTTGGTTGCCGTCAATCCATTGACATGGATGTCAAATGTATATCTGTACACAAGGATTAATCGATAAAAATGATTCTGAGCGAAATTCAGTTAAATGTCTTCAGAAATTTGATATTAAAATTCTTATAAAAAAAATTCTATCTTATACTCAATATTAATTATTTTTTTTTACCACAAAGTACAACTTATAACTAATCCCCTGTTAAATTTTAAAGCATTTCTGTTTGGTACAGCAATTTTATCCACAAAGTACCTACCAAATAAAAATTATATAACAAACTCTAAAAATAAAATGTCTAAAAAATAGCTTAATAATCACTAAAATGGTTTGAATATTTTACTACATTTAGAAAAGGCAAATATAATTTATCTGTTTAAATTTCAAGTCTTTATGAATAATTTTAACTGAATCACAACAAAAAACAAAATAGAAAATAATATATTTTGTAAATTTTTCAATTTTTCCCCAATTATTATGAAAACTGTAGAAAAGTTGTTTACAGATTAAATATTAAATAAATAAGCATCATTGTAAAACCAATAATTTCTTGCTTCCCTCAGAATTTAAAATTTAATTTAATTTTAATATTTCACAATTTAGTGAATATATCAACAGTAAAACAAGAATAAATAATAAAGAAATGATTAAATGTTTTCTTATATGTACATGATCATTTCATTGCTCAAGGTATATTTGTAACAATACAATCCATATTTGATTGGTAAATAATATTACAACAATAATAATATTAACATATTTATATTTAGTTAACAAAACAATATTAAATATTAATTTGAAAAGAAGCATAGAAAAATTGTTCTTTTTAAATATTATACTACAGAAATGAATGATTCAATGTAGTCAATTGTAATATAGCTATTAGTCATAAAAAAATATTGTCCCGAGTTCCTGTGTACAAAGATTTTGAATTTCCACTATAAATAAAACAATAAATAAACATAGTTTTATTATTTGAATGTATAAAATGGTTAATAATTATAGTGTATACTCACAATCGACATCACATAACTTTGTCAATTTTTGATTCAACACAATATAAATTTCACGAGAATTGCATAATCTACCAGCTACCCAATTATCATTAGATGTTTTTATCATAGTAGAACTTGTTGGGTGTAAACTGAAATAAAATAGATAAGTAGGTAATGTATTAATAAAATATAAATAGATCTACTATACATACGCACCAAGAATGTTGGCTGCTAATATCAACTAAAATTCGCAATGCTTCAGGACTAAGATTAAATTCAGAATATTTATTTGTTATACTCGTTGTGTGTGATGACTTAATTGAATTTTTAATAGCTAAATTCATAGCATTAAAATATACAAATTTAGCAGGTCTGTCAGTATATGATTTAGAAGATAAAGACTTTTCTACTGAATTTTTTATCTTTTCTGACAATAAATGTAATTTTGTCCCTAGAAACTGGTCCAAACTATTGTACAAATCTGCTGTAAGGGGGTTATCCACTAAAACCAATTTTTATTTAAAATAATTGTCAATAATATATGATTTTACAAATAGAAATTATAGTCTATAACACTTACTTTTAATAAACATACACAAAATAGAGTGATGAGCTTTATATATGACTAACCTATAGCTTTTAAACGTATCATCATTGTTATTCCGTAACCATAAAACAGGGACTTTTCCTAAATCGCAGCTCCAACTATCTGTTTTTATGGCCCAAATATTGGTTATAAATCTATTAAAATAATCCTGTTACAGTGACTGATTTATGAGATTATATAATGTAATCATACAAATATAATAATATTAATTATAATACATACCTTCCAACTAATTGATTGGGTAAAAGTTTTTGAACTGAATTTCCTTTAACTACATTTTCATCTCTTATAATTTCTGGTAAAACCCACATTAAAATATAGGAATATACAAGTTGGGTTTGACGTTTATTAAGACCACTCCTGCACACATACATTTTTCATGAAAATTGTAAAATTAAATATTCAAAAAAATGGTATCTGATTTTATAATAGACAATATGAATAATATGAATATTATAATTTTTGGGTGTACTGAGGTTTAAATATAAAATATTCTCTCGTGAATACATCAGACGTATTTACAACTACTACAAAACGAGGAACAAATTAGAACAAAATTGCTAATAGAAAAGTTGTACACGGGATAAATACACATTGTAAAACCAAAACATTTCTTGTTCTGTTCAGAATCTAAAAATGATTATTTGAAAACATTGTTCTAATAATGGTAATAACAATAACAATTCAATTTTCAATTGAATGTTATTCATTTAATTTTTAAAATAAAAAAATGTTTTGCTTTATTTTATTATTGTCTGTATTAATTAATTATTAAGGTTTATGATACAGAAAATATTTCAATATTTAATAGATGTATAATTATTACAACACTTAGAACTGTTGTAAAATGTTAAACCTTGGACTTCTCTTGCTACAGATAATAGTGTGTCAGCCGGAAGGTTAACCATAGTTCATCCAAGTCATTACCAACAATATAATTCTGATCAAAACTAAAAAAGAGCTGATACTGGGGATACTAGGAGGGGCCACTGTTATAGGTGATAAATTGGAAAGGTAGGATACGTAAGATTATTTCATTTATATCTTTAAGCAACGATAAACCATTGCTTGACGAAAGATGATTCCGAGTGCAGTATGGTAATACATAATTTGAAGTTCCGTAATTTTTTTTGCGATATTCATTTAAATTTGATTTCAAAACAAGTATGAAAAAAAAAAAGATGTTCGATGATTTTAGAAATTTTACCACCTCTAGGTGTAAGTCCAATAAAAGTATTATTACCAAGTTTCAAGTCTGTATATGTATTTATAACAGAATTACAGCAAAAAAACTCCCAAAAAATAAAATTCCTAAAAAGCTCAAAACAAGGATCAAAAGTTTTGATGATGATCCCGTAAGAAAATAAATCAAAAAAGCAACAAAAAATATGTTTTGTGATTTTTTGATTAAATCATTTTTTCTAGTAAAAATTGTCGTCCATGTGTTTTAAAATAATTAAATCCTGAAATTGTACATTTTTTTAAGTTTTTTCTCACTTAAATGCTTTTATTTAAAAAAAATGAAGTCGTAAATCAAAAAATGACCTCTTTAAGGTACAATCTAAACAACTTGAGCTTTTAGAAAAGTTGCTACACTTAAAAATTGGAGCAAGTTTACTTGAAAAAAACGTGTCCACAGACTAGAACAAAGACAAAAAAAAAAAAAAAAAAAAAAAAAAATAAACAGCATTGTAAAACCAATAGGTCCCTCACTACACTTGGAATTTAAAAATTGTATTATACATTATTTTTGTTTGTCATTTATAATCAATATTTTTTTTACAACTTTTCATCCTCAAAAATGTTGACTCACATAAACAAGTTAAACCAAAAAATGAAGTTAGACAAAGTGTAATGCATTGTAGATTTGAGTGCTTGCATGCTTCCAAAATTCCAAGGTAATCTTAAGTACTAAATCATTATTCAATGTTATAATTTTCTTTTCCTAAATTATTTAATTCAAATCGAAGAAATTCTCAATTTTATTTATAACACTAGCGGATACCCAGGGTACAAACATGAAAAAGTTTAAAATTATATTAAGACATAATAATATAAAAGTATTACAGGCTAGAGAGGTTCTCATTTGCTAAACGCATGATACAGTGAATGAGGTAGTTGCAGCAATAGTTAGTGTAGTGTAAAGTAACGTAGTAAGTAGCAGATAATCTACTTTAGTCTTATAATTCTTGATGAATTCATCAACAAGCATATACAATGATATTAAAAAATTTAAGAAACAAAGTATTATGATAAAAACCCTTAGGTCTTTATTTTACAAAATACTAGGGTTCCATCAATTAATTGGGATACTAGCTAACTTATCAATTGGACTTTCTTTTTTTTCAAACAATTATTATTATAAATATCTTCTCCTCTAATTCTCACAGTTATCAATAATATTTTTGAAAATTCTTCCTTAACACGTTCGCTGTAGATAACGCCTTACAGTGTCATTTCATTTGTTCCCCATGTGCGCATGACGCCTTAAGGCAACATTTATACAATTATTTCCAATTGGTTTAATTTGAAAATAAATAAATATATAAATATTGATGAAAAAGAAACTCAAATTCTCATTCTTGATTAAACTGATAAGTTTTACACTATTTGTTTACACTCATTTTATTGTTGTATAAATTTACAGTTCTAAATAAATTAATAAGAATATACAGAATATACAGACTGTTGCACGTGAGTCAATGACAATTGAGTTATAACAGACAATAATAAACTATTCTAACATAATTGACTGACAATGGAAAACTAATTTTTATACTCCTAAAGTATAGTATAGCAATAATTGAATATAAGATTACAATAATGATATATTATTATCAGATTGTTTATTATGCAATTGATCAATAATGGTGAAATTCATTTTTATTGCGATTGACCTATATTTTTAGAAAGATCAACCAGTTGATTACAATAGACTGGTTGGCGACCTCTACTCTAATTTGTGTGTATATTGTAAATATACCCAATACTCGGAGCAAAAAATGAATGTATTTGTTGTACTCCACATAATGTAATCGAACTTTTCATGAAATGTAATACAAAGCATTTTTATCCAAATTAAAACTGTTCAAGCATTTGTTTTTTTCATATTTAAAAAATTAGTGAGTTTTTTGAAAAGTCAATTTTTATTTATAAGTACTTCTTAAATCATATCTCAATTTTTTTTTAAAATTAAATTCCTGTTTAATATGAAGTAATTAATAATATAGTTGCAAAATAAAGTATTAGACAACATAAAAATAATAGTTAACTAATCTGATAAAAAATAATATTTACCAAACTAATGAATCATTGTAAAGTAACATTGAAAAATCAACTTGTTGGAATGTATTTTCAATAGCATTCAGGAAACTTTGAGCATACAAATGAATAACATTTTCTAAAGGAAGGAAACTAATGCCTTGAAACATATCCATAAATGTTTGACTTGATACATCAGTACTTTGTAAATACTAAAGAATATACAATAAAAGTTATTAAACTATATTGTATTATAATAACTTACTACCTAAAATGTTATCATATATATGCCAAAAGAAATATTACAGTGAAATTTCCATATAATGTACTTCTATTTAATGACATTTTCTGTTGAACAATTAATTTTTGCGAACCATGACCTTCATTGTAAATAAAATATGTAATTGTAAATAGAGGAATTTGTTAAATAAACAAATTCCTCTATATTACAATTTTTTTTTGTTCCCCAAGAGACTTTGTTATATGGAAGTTTCACTGTATATACAATATACATATAAAAACATAGAACTATAAATTTATACAACTAACCTTGTTATAAAATTTGTTAAGCATAACTCTAAGGTGATCTGCATCATTCTCGATCATAAGCTTAGTCATATTACCCACAGTCATTTGAAAAGTATGGTACCAATGTTTCAAGATGGCCAAGTAGATTGGTTCTTGAAGATTATAAGTACAATATACAGGTTCATCGGACGATGCAGAAAGATTTTGTTTAGTTTTACATTGTGCTGACAGAGTCTGCTAAATAGAATGTAACAATAACTAACAGTATTTGGAATATATTTCACATTTAATATATTAATATTAATGGTAAGTATTATATTACAATAATAATCCAAAAATCTGGTTCTGGATTATACAACACTTGCAATGTTTTCTCAGTGCGCAATGATTCACAAGATTGATTCTTATTAAAATTCCTGAAATATTTTTTTATAAATTAAATAGAATAATATATTGTAGTTAGATATTATTTGAGTTTTGGTCATACGTAGTGAAATAAATTACAGCCTCGATGTGACCAACATTTAGCACTTTTTTATTTTCATCCTCATATGCTGGATAGTAAAATAATATTTTGTTGGCTCCCTGAAAAAATCAATACACACATATTATAAGAGTATAAACTATGATTTGGTTGTCATGAATAAATATTAGCAAGCAAATTTATTTATTTATTATAAACAATAAATAATTATAAGAAGAACTGTCCACAAGTTTGCACTCAATTTTACAATCATAAATTACAGAAGTCAGTTTGAATTACGGATACCGTTCTACATAAGTAAGATTATATTACAGAATATATTATAACTACATTGAGATTCAAAAAATGAGAGATTATTGCACTTAAAAATGAATTTAAGTTTTAGTAGATCCCTAAATTAGCCTCTTGTTAGTATTTTTTTAAATTTAAATTGTTTGCAACATTCAGAAATTTAAATGACCTCTTTGAAATAGATATCATCTATATTACATTAATACCTATATGCTATAATGTGATATTTGTTCAATGAAGTTTTGTAAAGATTTAGGTACTGCACAGACAATTGTTTTTCAAAAAAAAGCACAGGTAAATTATCTAATAGTTTTTAACTCTACGATATTTGGTACTAGTAAACTTACATCTTCTTCTGTTTTTGATAATTTTGAGTTAAAAATGTACAAATTCTGTACGATGACTTCAGTTGGCATATTCCCAACAACGTATTTGCATGATAATCAAAACACAATTACTTCTTACTATGACAACGAGATTTATAGATTATGAAGTTAACTTAGAGTACGTTTGAACTCTGACTTCAACCTAAGTTAAATATATGTAACAAGTTATGAAAATATAACTTATACCATAGAACCATAGATATTTTAGTTTAAGCAATACAGACTTCAGTTGATTGTATGATAATGATAAACAATTGTTTTATTACTGAGTACCCAAGGCTTATAGATAATATCTATAAAATATTAAATATTGTCTATAAACCTTGCCGAGTCCCGTCCGTCGAGTGTTATCAATGTCTGAAACAGAGTAATAGAGTAATGGTTTTAAACAAAAAAAAAAAAGTTGCTCCTTATCAGTTATCATATAAATGACCACGGTCTTAGAAGATAAGGTCGGACTATACCTTATCAGCCTGCATTCTGCTTAATGAGGCGAATTCAATTCTAAATTGTACCACTGTAAAATCGAGTGCTGCTCTACAGACTTATTTTGAGTTTATGATATTATACTACTTTAAAATAACCATGAACCACAGAATACATGTAACGTTAAGTGGGTATTATGGAACAAAGTATATATCGAAAAAAAATCCATTGGCAGAAATATTTGCTGAATATAGGTCTGTTGGATCAAATGTTTATGGTAAAAATATATAATTTTATAACAAGTATGTTGTGGTTAGTGAAAATTTCTCCCAAAATCTTTTGTTCCAATGGCCATTTATTACAAAACACAATTTCCACGTTTTATTCATGGAATAAATGTCCATTGGTAAACATTTTTGCGGAATAAATGTTTTTGGAAGAAATGGAGAAACGTGGAACAAAGTTCGTCGGAATAAAAGTACTGTGGAACAAGTATTTTGTGAAACAAACGGGAGACACGCATATCTATTTTATTATCTATGGTTTTTACCAAAGTTTTGTTACGGAAAGTTATAGTTTACAGAAAAATAACAAGAGGCCAGTCACAATATTTCAATGTTGCCAATTTATACAAAAACATTTTTTTAATTGTGCGGTTTATGAATAACTGTCAAACGATCTCTCCTAAAATATCATAGTACTATATTTTAGTATTTCGTATCATTTCATAACCGTATTTTCGCGATAACCGATAAGTGCCAATTCCAATACGGCTATACCATATACATCAATAAGTTATAGTGTTAATGTATTATACCAATTTAAGGTATAATACATCACCTATAAAGCTTCCCGTACACTACGATGAAACACGACGCTTTTCATCGTTACGATCGTTACCGTCGGTCAAAACGGAAGTGTGTGCGTGGACGATATCCGACGATGAAACCCGACGGTTTTTATTTCTGTCGAGTCTTGATTTTAAACACGACGGGTTTACCGTTTGTCGTTTAAAATCGTAATGCGTGGACTTTCCGACAATAAACGACGTGTTTATTAAAATAAGTATGCTCATCCATTGTTAAATAATTAAACCAATCTCCAGGATGTAGCTTCAGCTCATTCAATAAATTTGTACGAGAACATTTTTTTCTTTGTAACAACCACTCTTTAGTCCATACCAAACGTTTTCTAGTGTTTTTCTTTGATAAAACAGCATTTGCCACAGCCACTGCTATCAATCGCGTCGAATTCATGGTACACAAAAAAAATTTGCTATACCTCAGCTGAAATAAACTTAATCAATTTAATAAAAACTGAAGCATCACTCCGTTTTGCAACACGAAGTGTGTACAACTAACGATGTAACACGATAAAAACTGACGTGTTTTTCTGCGACGATGAAAACCGTCGTGTTTCATCGTAGTGTACGGGAAGCTTAATAATGCTCTTTTCACTTTTTCTTGTTATCTACCCGACGTGGTTTTGCACAACAAATCGAGGGTCATTTTCGATTGAAATTATTCGAGTGAGCGCAGCGAGCGAGTGACCACCAGGTCATTAGTTTTACCTATAATGCTTTTTCAATTTTCCTTCCTACTTACTCCACGCGGTTTTGCTCAAGACCGGTCATCATAAATACATAGTTTGAAACAATATTTTTCTCTGCGTTATTAGTGTAACTACATATTTAGTTCAACTTTTTTTTCTTAACGTTTGTGTTCATGCAGACCGATATGTCTACGATTTCTTATCATTTTTTCTGAAAACTATATACTACCAGTTTAATTATCATAACTAAAAGATGCGTATTGAATATTGATATCAAAACAAATGATTTTGGAGATAAAAGGTCGTGTTATTTAACTCTGGAGGATAGGAGTGTCGTAGGCCAAGTTCTGCAGTGTCATACAGGGTTGCCAGATTCGAGGATTTTTTCTCTTTCTGAGGATATTTTAAAGGTCTACAGGAAATGTCGAGGTTTCGGGGATTTTTAGTTTTATTCAAGGTTTTTCGATATTTTTATTAAAATGAGAAAACACTTAGTATAAGTGCACATTACTACTACTCATCATTTTCATATTTTCTTTTTCTCAAAAAGACATGTTTTTCAATGCCGATTTCTAATATTTTTGAAGAAACTATTATTAAAGAAATAATGACAAAACCTTAATAATTTTGAACTTTAAAAACAAATTGTTTATTAAAAGAAACCCAGATTTTATTCTGAGAAACCGCATGAGCAGAGAAACTATTTTCATTCAATCATTTCCTTATAATATACACACACATATATTTAATATTCATAATAATAAACTGATTATTGGCTGAGGAGCACTAAAGGTATAAATAGGTAAATAGTGAAAAGTGTCAATACATTGAATTAAACAATCGATATATACTCTTAATTTATTTAATGTACTTAATTGCGCATTTATATTCAATAACGACAAAATATACAAAATAAAATTTTAAATACAAAACTCTTTGTGTTAAGAAAACATCACTCGCATTGTTCAGCGATCTTTCTAGGCAAATATGAGAAAACAAGAAATCCTAATTCCTAGTGATAAGCAATCAAAGAGATAATCAAACTTTGTCATTTACGTCTGTGGTTTATTTCGTGTAGGTAACGTTAATACGCTGTCCTATTGCGACCCTACTACGTCTGTTCTTGTTTTTGAATTTTGAATCCACATGAGCCCAACTTATTGTAGTTGTATGCTTATTAATCAAATAAAGAATAAAGTTAAAATATACGCGTGCACTCGCAGTTGACCGAAGTTCCAAGTGTTTGTTGTTTTGGACGTTTTCTTTCAATCACCACCAAAGGTCGCGCCAAGAGCTACGCACGCTGATGAATACCGTCTAATAAATGTTGTGCGTTGGGCTGTATAGCCGATGGTATAACTAAAAAAGGTAAAAATCCTAACTTTTTCTATATTAAATCAACGTTAGATATTATCAGTATTCAGTACATACAATTTATTGCTAAGGCTTTGCATGCAGCTAACCATTTAAACGTTAATGCAAATAGTGCAACTGAATACAAACATCACAAACTTTCTGAACGCCTTGTTGAATTTATTTATATGGTGCATTTATTGCCTATCTACCGCCTAAATAGCAATGTTCTCGCAGACCGCAGTTTTAGAACCACCCTGCTATCTTATCAAATATTACTAGTGGAACTTTTATCTATTCTGTGGCCTATGGCGGAACATGCAAATGTAAATGACTTTAATAGATTATAGATTATCATTCTACGATTATGCAGATTTCAATATTGTGAACTCCGAAGAAAAATTGGAGAGGAATAACTACATTACTCATTGAACGTCGTTCAAATTTCGAAGAATATTTAATAGAAATGCCATTGTTTTAAATGGATACAACTGATATGAACGAATGAACGAAAATATTAAGTTTAGAATATTGCATTTAGAAATAGATAAAAAAATACTGTAAAAACAATATTAATACATCGGTAAGTACATTCAAATTATTTTGTTTAATTGTTTATGTATGCCACGTTAGTTATTCAATGACAAATTTCCACTAGAAATATTACAATATTAGTATACAAATCCTATACAATTTTAATTTCAGCAAGTATTATGAATTATCAATGTACATACTGGCTACTTTCCAATTTGTCAAAACTAAACAATGTGTTTAATTATATTATGCATTTCTAAAAATTTTCTTTTAATTTTATAATTTGCTTAGACTTTTAGTAGGTCAAATAAATTAAAAATACAAATTTTGGTAAACTCATTAAAATATGTTATAATTAGAGTCCGGATTTTTATTATGTTAAAATGTGTGTAATATGATGTTTATATGCATCAAAAATTGATGAAATATTCCCAAATATATTCTTAATATTTTCAAAATATGAAAAAAAATTATTTATTGTTATTAAATTTTTAGATTCGTAGATAATAGATTCTATTATTATTTATTGGTGTATCGTGGCTTGGTGGATATATCAGTATAAAAATATATTTGCTCATGAGTTTACAAACAATTTATCATAGTAAATTACTGAATCTGTGACTAAAAATTTAATAATATTTCTGTAATATAATCCAATAAAGCGGAAATATGCTAAAATAATCCAAAATATTTTCCAAAGTCAAAATATGCACTCATATGTAAAGAAAACTTTATAATGATTCTATAGGTTATGAAATTCAAACATTTCTTACTCCCATCAAACAACATACATTTGTTTAACATGTTTTTGACATATTTTATTTTAACATATAAATTGGGAGTCTAGTTATAATCTAACATTGTAACCTTTAAACTATTAATTTTAATAAAGCTTTTAAATAATTTTAGATAATATGGATTCAATTAAGTCAGCATTAGATAGTGTGGCTGCCGATAAAGGTCGTATTAATGGAAGTCTTCATTATATACGTTCTACTATCGCTAAGCAACCTAATATGAAAGATGAGCTAAGGAATCATGGTGGTATCAAAATACTTGTTAAATGTTTAAACCAAGTAAACCCTAAAGTATTATCATTAACTTTAAGCATTCTGGGTGATTGCAGTATGAATGAAGGGTGTCGGATTGAGGTAGTATTACTAATAGCTATTATTTATTTATTTATTTATTAACATTTTTAATTTTCTGTTACAGTTATTAGGATATGATGTTATCAAAAACCTGTGTTTCATAATGAAAAATATAAATGTTGATACAATTAACAATCGTACATGCCGTATAATTGCTAATCTTACTGCATCTCAAAATTGTATTCCAGTTATGTATAGACACAATATTCCCAGTATAATTGTAAAAGTATTATCAAATACTAAGTGTGAGACTGCTACAAGATATTCGGCAATTCGTGCACTAAGGTAAAGTTTTAGATTCTGTGTGTATCTAGGAATATGTTGGTTTTACAATATTGTGTCTTTTTTTTCGTACACAGATTGATATTTTTATCATGAATCAGCAATTATCTTGGAGAATTCTACTGAATTTGATTTCTATTTTTTCTAATCATTATGAAATTGTTTATGCTTTATTTTGAAATCATTTTAAATTTTTACCTCTATTCAATATACTTTAAATAAGTACATATTTTTGATTTTCAAATAGGAACCCCACTTTTGAACAAAGATTTGAATAGAGAATATTTTTCTAGAAATTATTAAGGAGTATGGGAGGATTATAACCCTACTATAGATAGGCAATTTATTGCCCTTTCCTACTCTTTGGTCTAAACTTTAAACTGTTATAACTCGTAAGCGGTAAATTTGATATTAGTGTTATGCATATCAAAATTTCTAGAAAAATATTCTTTATTAAAATCTGTATTCAAAAAGGAGAGTTCCTATTTAAAAATTAAAAATATATCCTTATTAAAGTATATAAAGTAGGGGTAATAAAATTAAAAATAGTTTTATAATAAAGCTTAAAAAATTACATAATGATTAAAAAAAAAAAAAACAGAAATCAAATTCAGTTTAAATCCTTTGAGATAATTGCTGGTTCATAATAAAAAAATCACCCTGTATACACACATTTTTTTTCCAAAATCTTGTGCTGTTTTTATATGGTATCTATTTTGTTTATTGCCCATGTAGGTTTCATAATAATATTGGAAAAAATGTAAGCTATAATGATTTCTATCATTTTTGTTTTTTAGTTTTATATTTGTGATTCAGTTAAAAACAATCATATAGACCTAAAACTTTCATTAAAATCTTATATTAAAACTTTCCAAGTGTAGTAAAATTATCTAAATATTATGGTTTTTGAATTTGTATAGCTATTTGAAATTTTTAATTTATTTAGTTTTTATTTGGTTTTATGTCATAAATATTATTATGTGTTAATATTTTAGAGTGAAGTAAGAACAACAGATGTTTCTATTTTTTTAACATTTTTATAATGTATACAGGTACCACCTTAATTTTAAAACTAAATCAAGAGTCAAATTTTTTTCTAAAATATATATTTTATTATTAATTCATTTATTAAGATTTTTTTATTATTCATATTCATTAAATAAAAAAATCTTAATTTTTAAGTAAATCTCTTAATATTTAAACTACAATTTTTAATTTTAATGCAAAATTCGTTATTCATTTTGTACAAGACCATCAATATCAGGCTGAATGGAACTTATTTTTACTCGTAAATCACATTGAATATCGAGCTTACTTCTGTGCTTATTTTATACAGTACAGCAATTTAAAAAATTCACTCTCGTACAAATAAGTAGTGATAAATGTAGTTAAACATTGTTATGCTTGCTTAAAAAGAGATGAGTATTCAATTTTTGTTGACATTCTAAATGAAACTAATGTTTTGTCTTTAAATGCGTCTCACTAATCTGTCTCACTATTGAGCTGTCACTAATCATATCAATGACCAATTTTTTGTCTTAGGGTTTCTAATCCAATTTTTCTTTGAGTAATCTTTTGAAAATTTGGTCTTAAGTATTCCAAGATATCAGCATTTAAATTTTCCTTCAGGGAGAGTTCATTTTCATCAATGAATGAGGCAAGAATAGAAAATGCAGAGATGTCTTTCTTTTTTTATTAAGATTTATTTATCATAAATTTTAATAATATTATATCATAAATGAAAAATAATTTCATACTTGTGCCTTGTAATCACACATTTAAAGTGTTAAGTTTATCAAAAATATCAGTCAAGTAGGCTAATCTAGATAACCATTCTTCATATAATTTTCATTCAAAAACAAAAGAACTTCAGATCTCAGCTCAAACAATCTTTTTAAAATCTTGCCACAAGATAACCATCTCATGTCAGTTTTGAAAAGCAAAGTATTAAGTTGTCCTTCCATTTCTTCGCATAACAGTTTGAGCAGTCGAGAATTAAAGGTGGCTCTAGCCTTAATTAAGTTTATGACCCTTATAACGCATTTCAAAGCAAAGACTAGTTGATGAGGCATATTTTTGGAAGCCAAAGCGCTTCTCTATGCATTGCACAATATGTGCTTTTACAATAAGGTGCAACCTTCTGTATTTTCATTGCTAATTCTGTCAATTTTCCACATATAGCTTGGGCTCTGTCTGTACAAATTCCAACACATTTTTCCAGGTCAAATCTATGGTTGACAAATAATTGTTGATTATTTTGAAAATATTTTCAGCATTAATATTTGACTCAAGTGGTTTACAAAACAAATCCTTTTCATTTAATTCATTATTAAAATCAATATGAATGAAGACAAGTAGTTGTGTTATATGTGTTATATCTGTACTCTTGTTTACTTGGAGAGAAAAATTCGAACACATTTTTAATTGAGTAGCCAATATTTGAAGCCATAGTATCAATTCTTCTTTTAACAGATTTATTTGATAGTAGAATTTTATCCAATTCTTTAGCTGCTTTTCTCTTAAAACTATTTATACCATATATTTTGCTGCTGGTAATATTGGCATTTCACCGATATTTGAGATTATGAACTAAAGAAGTGCAGACTTGGCAGATTGTAGATTTCACTACTTTTTGATAGGCTGATTTTTTTGTTAGGGAGTTTGGAACTGGGCCTTTTTTACTATTAGGTTTTTGTTGAGTTAATTTTGTTAGGTATCTCTCTCCTTTGAAGTAGATTCACAGGGCACCACTTTTTTAGTCATTTTAGTCATTTTTGAGCTATTAATATTTATTTAAATTTTGCGAGTTTTTTTTTATGTTATTTTTAATTGTTAGGTATTTAGTGGATAAAATTGTTAAACCAAACAGAAATGCTTAAAAATTTAACAGGATGTTCATTATAAGTTGTACTTTGTGGTTAAAAATTAAAAGTAGACAGTAATGTAGGTCAAAATAGTTTTTCATTACCAATGGTTTATTGTTGTAACAAATATAAATATAATAACTTGATTGTATTCTACCTAGCTAACTTCATACCTACAACAGTGAGGAGCTTCTCATCAGCTACCAGCTCTTTTTTTTTTAAATAATATTTCATCAAGTCAAATAAAAATTTTAAATTTATTTACTTTCATTCTAGAAAAATATGGGAAAATTCATCATGTAACGGCTGTAAAGAAATGCTGAATTGTAGAGCTGTTAGAGTTGTATCTGAATTCCTGACAACAAAAAATAAAGACATTCTCTTAGCAGTTTTGCAAGCTCTAATTTCCTTTTTGTCAAATCCCGCAAGTTCAAAAAATTGTGCAGATCATTCATCAGTTATATTAGGGGTTAATGTTAAATATAAATACATAATTTTTGTATTTATTATAAATAATTATTCCATTATTATTTTAGATCATAGGCAGTACTGCTAGTGAACAAATGAATACTATAAATACTTTAGTATATTTATTACCTGATCACGAAATTGTTAGCAAAATAATATACTTAATGTGTAGAAATAATACAGTTAGACCTGAGTTGGCTAATACTTGCTTAATAAATCATATTATTGAATTTTTAAAAAAAGGTTATGATCACTGTAAGTAATATATAAATAATAACAAAACAATACATTATTTAAAATGATTTGTTTTCAATTGAAATGTATATTATTAATTTTTTTTGTATTAATTTAGATTTGATACAAGCAATGTGTCACTTGTTAAAATGTCCACATAATCGATTAAGATTTTCCAGACTAGAACATGGAATAAACATTTTTATAGATTTATTGTGTAATAAAGATCCAGTTCCAAAAAAATTAGCATTACATACTTTAATATATTTTCAATACTCCAATATATTATTAAAAGTAAGTATTGTTAAAATTATTATTATTATTTTATAGTTTCTATTATTAAATTTCCTCTTAGATCATCAGCCTCTACTACCATCTGTCGTACAACTTTGTCTTCAGTTTTCCTTATATGATGCTTGTCTTCCTGTCAAACCCTCGTCTTAACACTTCCACATATTTTCTTACTAAATTCTCATCTCAAACATGGTCTTATAAGTAGTCTATTACCAATAAGATTTTTTCCAAACTTTAAATGTACTAATGAATTTTATTTTAACAATACATTATTTGTTTAGCGGTAATTTAATAGTACTCCTCTACTCTCCCTTTACCCAAATCTAAAAGTAGAATATCTTGTTCATGGTTTGACAAAAATTTGTAATTTTAACACCAAAATGTATATTAACTAAAACTTAATGTACTAATGGAATTTTAGATTTTGAGTGGAGTGAGGAATGTATTGGTTTAACAATGTTTATACTATAAACAAATTTTACCAGATATCTTGCTCCAAAGTATCAAATGTAGCCCCTTTTATTAAGGTATAGTTAGCAGCACACAACTTAAAAAGTTATCAGCGTTATCAGCTAATAATCATGTCTAACAAATTTTTTGAATTTATTTGATAAGTGTCTATGATAGCTGTGCTGCTAACTTAAGGCTTAAAAATAATTGTGAAGACTTAACATTTCACAGAATACTTTTATTACCTATTTTTAAACTATTTTCATTGCAAAATGTAATTTATATATTTATATTTAGTATGGGAAACTTATCATTTTAACATCAGTACATTCAGTTGATAAATTATTTTGTAAAATATTTGTATTTTATTAATATTATTCAGTTTTTACTATTCATAAAATGTATGTTATTAATATATATTTTTATTTTTGATAAAATAGAATCATTTATTTGTGTTATGTTATCAATAATATAGTCATGTACTCTGTATATGATTTTCTTATTTTTTTCTTATAGAAATACATTTGTTTTATTTCAGGCATTGATAAAAAAAAACTTAATTCCTCTGTTAATTAAAGATTTATCTTTATATGTAAAATCAAACAAAGTACTACATGTTCGTGAAGATGAATCAAAAGTTCAATCATTTAATACTAATTCATCACCATCCATTTGTACTTCTCCAGCAAGAACATCTTCTATGAGTCCGATCACTTCTAATAAAACGACCTATTCACCTCTAAAAGATGACAATATTACTACCAACACAAATTCACCAGATTACTCACCAGTGTGTGAATCATTTGATACCGAATCTGTTAATGCTGATGAATCTAAATCTGACATCAGTGATATTATTGAGGTCAGATGAAATGCACAATATAAATTAAAATACTTGTTATGTTTTTATCTTAATTCTATTATTAATATAATTTACTTATTTTAGGAAGAAATATTTGTAGAATTACCTAATACATATGTGAGTTTAACCAGAGGAGGTATTATAATAGAAGCATTAACAAATATAATTTATGCACAAAATATTAGTGAGTTGTTAGCTAGTAAAGATGTATGGGAAACAATGTTTGACTATATTGATTATATCAAAGATGAGGACATCAATACTAATGTAGTAAAGATATTAGATAAGATTACTTGGTACACTATTCTTAAAACAGAAATTTAAAAAAAATATATTGTACAAATATTTTTATATTTTATAGTGAAGTGCAGAATTTTAAAGGTATTCTAATTGATGGATTCATTTTATCAGTACATCAAAGAATGTGTAGACCTATTCATGACTTGGATAAGTGCAAAACTTGTGTACTTAAAAATGTAATAGGCATAAAGATAATTACAAATGCTTCTAATACCTTTCAGTCAAAATTTGCAGAAGATATGATGATTAGTAAAATGATTGAACCAGACACATCTGATACTAATCAAAAACTAAAAACATTAATTTCTGTTACTGCTCCCCTTGTTATTCAAACGTAAGTTATCATATCTTTTTTTTAAAAAAAAACCTAATTCAAAGTTTAAATAAATGCTTCTAGTGACCTAGTGAAAACTATTTCAAATTGTGTTGAAATAATTTTTTACATCATGGTTACATATTGAATAAAGTACTGAACAAAAAATATACAACTCCATAAAGTTAAAAATATTTTATTATTTATTTATTTAAACTAATGTGCATATGCAATATAAAAAAGATGATTCAAACCACTAAATTTTTTGGGTACTGACTACTGGGTTATGAAATTTGAACTTTTTTAAATTATTTTTTTACTTAGTAATACATATTTGTATTGTCTCAGCATTTTTACAAAATTCTTTTGTGAGAAATGAAACAATGTTTATTATTACTATTATTATTACTAATTACCCCATCTTGACCACAGATTATTATTTATTCATGAATTTTAGTATTTGTGTCAATAGATTCTCTTGAAAATGTACACAATCAATAGATATGTAATGGATAATTATTTTTAATATAGGTATGGAATAAGAACATTTAATAGACACTTTGGATGATATTTTTTTTTTTTCTATTATAATGAAAATTGAATTATTAGGGTTGAGTATTATGTATATATGTAGTTCTTGTTCAATTTTAATATTTCTGATAGCATTTCACAACAAATATAATTTTGAGTTTTTCTCTGCAGTTTTACTGGATGTATTTAAGTTCAAAATACTTTTCTTCTCCCAAGAGTAATATTTAATAATCTAGTTATTTAATTAAATTTAATCTAGTTATAACTGATATATTGAACTAATGGTCTAACATAGAAATTTTATTTTTTAGCCGCCCAAAACAATTGATTGAAATGTTATGTCGTTACAAAGTATATACTAATTTATGTAACATAATTCTTGATGACCAAAATCCATCGTTTGGTGATGCTGTTGGAGCTATAATGAGTTTATTTAAAACATTAAAAATAATTTACAAAAAACCACATTATGAACGTTGTAGAAGCAATCAAAAATGCCGGAATCGTGTTTTTCCAAAAAAAACTACTGTGACATTGGTCATGGATGATGGAACATTGATTAATGCAAATAAATCATTTTTATCATTAAAATCACCAATGTTTGAGGCTATGTTTCGATGTGGAGGTTTTAAAGAAGCATATGAAAATACTATACGTTTGAATGATATAACGTCTGAATGTTTCAATTGTCTTCTGCGTCTACTTGATGATTATTGTGAATGTAAATTGCCCACAAATATCAATGTGTTCTTAGAATTGATAATAATCACAGACAAATACATGTTGAATGAACTATTTGACCGAATATATCCAGCATTTATGAAATATATGTCTGTGGAAAATTGTAGTATAATATACGAATGGGTAAAAAAAACAGGTTTCCGATTACAAATTAATCCCAGTGCTGATTTTGAAGTTATTAAATACTTGTTACACTCAAATTCAAAATTCTCTGACCGTGTAAAAGCTATTCAAGATATCACTAGGAATGATTATGGACAACATTTCATTGATGATTTATCAATCATATTGAAACCTGGATTGGAATGCTCTATATATGGTGATCATAACGCAACTTCATCATTATTTTATCTAAGCCACTTTCCGAACGCTTTAGAAACTTTAAAAATGACCTAAGCATATATAAGATTTACTCGATAATTTAAAATGGTTAATATTTAGCCATTTCAAATTAATATTAACATCTATTACATGACACCCTAAGGTATTGTGTTTATATTATTCTTATTATATTAATTATTATTATTGTAATTAGTTTTTAATGTTAAATATTAAAGACTAGAAATATTTCAGTATAATTACTAATTAATATTGGTCATTTATTGTTAATGTTCTTAATGAATAAATTTTACTCAAACAACATCTATTCATATTGTTAATGTTCAGTGCTTGAATTTGATAACTCGCTTGTCTACAGCATAAACAAATATGAACTGAAAAATTATTTTCTGTCAAGCTAATATCAATATTATTAACGTTAATGTCAGATATGTGGCTGCTTTCTGAAATCAAGTGAAAAGAAAAATTGAAAAAATATAATTGTACACTATAATTGAACAATTTACCATTTGATTCTAAATGCATTAAATTCATTTTTAGATTATAATCTTTGGTTTTCATCAAGTCCTTGTACATTTTGATTGCTTCTTCATAATTTGGTGGTGCTTCATAATCTGGTGGTGGTTCATCAATTAAATAATTTGAATGTACTCCTATTTCTGAAGCTGGGCTATGATCTTCCAGTTGAAGTCCTTCCACTTGATAAGCAAATACCACACACATTTAATACTGGTCAAAAATTATGATGTATATTCTTACAGAGTAATTGACTGATTGATATGAGTCGATTATGGAAATTTGTTTGGAAGTGATAATGCGTAGTAATTTTGTAAACTGCCAATAGTATTATTATTAAAAATACTATAAAACCTGCAATTATTGAGAAAACTTTATTATATTATAACTTAATACCTATCCGAAAATGAAAATTATTTTTTTTGTTTATTTTAATGTACACTTAAATTTAGATTTTACTGTCTTTAAGTACTTTAATTACATAATCTAATTCAATTCATGTGATTATTTTAGTGTTTATACATCCTAGCTTAGATTTTAGATAGGTATATTTTAAAGTAAACCAATAAATGTTTTTGATTATTAAAATTATTTACTTGAATTCAAATTTAAACTAATTATACATACCTATAAAACACCCTATAAGGATGTGATACCGTTTTGAGTATAATGTGCTGTTTGGAAAATAATAGTTGGACTTGTATGCATACCAGCTTTTATCCGTGTATTCTGCTGATTCTCTGTCTGACCATGAAACCATTTAAATTAATTTCATAACGACAGATATTACATAAATGTATGTCTAAAATTAATTATTGGTAGACTGGCCAAGAGTGCTAGGGTATGGTTATGCCATTAAATGGGCAATATATGCAATTCGCATCTACAAAATTTTATTTTATTATAAATTAACAATTTTTAGTATTAAAAAATATCTGACTAACAACACTGTCCAATTCATGGTGGCATTATCTATAATTTATATTTAAGGGTGCAACGAGACTTGGTACTCCATTTTTCGCCAAAATTTGATTTAATTTTACTCTTTTGCTGATGATTGTAGGTTATTCGGATCTATTGAATCAATAAATGATTTATTTGGTACAGAGTGATATTAATTCAGTTTGAAAAATGGTGCGTTGAAAATTATATGAATTTGAACATACACAATTTTCATCTTCAATATCAAACTTTATGTTGCTAATTGTCACACATATTAAGGGCTTGGGAATTACTTTTATTTTGATTTAACTTTCAACCGTCATATCTCTTTAATTATCAATAAGGCTACAAGACAGTTAAGATTTATTACGACGACATTGCCATAATTTGTGTAACATTTTAACCCTGAAAATGTTTTACTGATTGTTCGGTCGTTCGTGTCTCGATTATAATTACTTCCTCTGGTCACCACATCAACTTCATTTAATACAAGATCTAAAATCAATTACAAATTGATTTCTTCATTTACCATAATGTTTCCCATAATTGCAATATCTTTGGAACACCACATTTATCACACACATACCTAGTTTTGTATTTATATATTTATATTAATTTATACATTATACTATTTTAAAATAGATATAAAAGTAAGTATTATAGATATATACCAATTGATTAAACTTTTAAAAACCAATTTTGGAAAAAAAAATATTGAAAATGTTACCTAAATTCTAAATGAAATTTTCTCCTATTATTTCCAAACGTAATTCGCCTATAAACTTTTTTTTCCGTTTTTAATGTACACGCAAAAACAAATTTTGAAAACGAGCTTGGGCTTTATTTAACTAGATTTATACCAAATATTATAATGTCTTGAGTTCAGCACTTAACAGTTGTTTTTAAAGCTAATGTTTACATAATTACATACCCTTTCTTCCTCATTCCTTTTCAAGAAATACCAGCCTAGTATCTATGTGCTATAAATAGATTTTGAAATGTCATTTAATATAATGAAAATTACCCAATGGGCGGCTTTGCTCACATGGATATATACAGTGGTATTGTGTACATTTACCAAATAGATAATGCCACATGCATATGCTCTTGAGGGAGTGGATGTAGAATACTGGTATAGAACAGGACCGAATAACGCCAGCGTACAATCGTGTTATTAAAAATTGGGCCGGTACTGGCGATATCATATTTTTAAAATGGTATAAAAAGAAAAAGTGAAAATAGTAGAAAATGTTAGGTGTCTATACAGGTATTTCATTGATTATTTACCATCAGACTATCGTGTCTTGTATTGCAACCAACATACCTTACCAACTATTTATTTTTTTTTGGATTCCATGATTTTCTCATGTTGTTTGTTATAAGAGATCGATTGTGAATTAGCCCTAGTGGCGAACTTAGATATGCATTTTTGTAAGGAGAGTTAAAACCTGCAAATTAGGTAACAGGTTTTAGGTGGCAAAAACTAACCACCTTCGATAATTTTCTGTGAGGGATGGTGGTATCTAATATCCATACTGTCCCCCTTAATTAAAAGGCCATCGATTAGGCCGGTTGGATGTTTTACACGGTTGACCAATGGCATCCAGTTTGAAACTGTATGAGGGTAGGCGAGTGGATACTTTTATTAACTGCATGTGCTTTCAACATTTTACTATACGCCACTACGTCAGTAACTATGATTATTGATTAAAAGTGGAACCATTTTCCACATAAAAAATTGTTTTCACACTCCACTATGTTAATGCCCATGCGCGCTCCTGGTCAGTCCTCCAGTTGTATTCATAACATAGTGTAACGATTATATATTATATACACAGACGAGCAACAAGCATAGATACCGTGGACTTCAAAGCACTCGGGCGATTCATCACTGTTGTCGCCGCAATGGTCAAAACCATCGCACTGCAGTCTGACCGGTATGCACCGTTCATTGCCGCAACGGAATTCGTTTCTAAAGCACGGCCCTATAGTTATTAAGATCAAAATAGTATAATAATAACGCAGTAGATATATTGCATTGCTAAAATACTAAAATTAATCAACAATTAAATAATAATGATAATCAATTTTTATAACGTCAAGACTCATTAAATTGTTGTGTATGGAGGAAATAAGACACTTGCAGAAAAAATAGGAATTTATTTTTATGAGGGTTCTGGCTATTAAGTTTTTGTTATAGGAGTTATTAATTTACTAATCGGAATTTCAAAAGAGGGGATCAATCCCTATTTTCACCCCTGGACATTATTGTTCAGGTTAAACCCCTCTCTCTAAAAAAAACTAATTATTTAATTATTAATTCAATATCCAGAAGAAACTGACTGATTTACAGACATGAACTTGAAATTGTCCACAGAGATTCATCATATACAAGTAAGAGAGCACTTAGGAGGGATTTTTGAAAATTCAACTTCTAATGGATTAAAAAAAGACATCAAAGTTAATGAGAAAAAATAACTAAATAACTCTCTACCGATCTGAACGACCGTGACAGTTACATCAGCATTAAGTCAGCTGTTCCCAACCTTTTGGAGACTTTTACCCATAAATCAGGTTAGATATTTAAAAATACCCCCTCCCCTTGAATAAAAGAATAAAGAAAACAAAATATACATTATGATTATATTTATAATTTATTTATAAATTTTTCAAACGAAAAAAAAAAGGTTTTTATTACCATCAATGAGTATTGATAATGTTAGTTAATGAGACGGTTAATATTGCTTATTTCTATCTATTTGTTTAATATTCGGTTCAGTTTCGGCTAATGCACATCTTATGTCGTGTACCAAGTTCAATCGGTTTCTTGCTTTTATTTTCATTGTTACCATTGTTAAAAATCCACTTTCACATTTGTACGTTGTGGAAAAAGGGATCAGTATTTTCAATGCTATCTCCGATAATAACGGATACTTGCCAACATTTTATCGCCAAAATGTTGCTAGTTGTGTTTAAAAATCTATTTTCTGTGTTGTCTTCACGAAGTCTTAAAATTATGCTTTGGCTTCAATTTTAATATCTGGAAATACACTTTCATTCACTGAAAAGGGTCTTAGCATCCAAGCATTTACTTGACGATTTTTCAAATCTGGAAAATATTTACTGATTGAATCTACTATTGATAATAAGTGAAGAGTTATTTGATCTGTGAATGAGCATTTTTCATTTCTTTCGTCGAGCACCATTGTTAGTTCTGGGAAAATTTAAATGCCCTCAACTCCAGCTTTGCGTTGGTAAAGTTGCAATTTACGAAGAAACTGGGAACCTTATCTTGAGCTGTTAAAATATTCGTCATATTCCCTTGCAAACTGAGATTATGTGTGTTTATTTCTTTGAAGAAATCTGCAAGATATATATGCCAGTTTAAAAATAAATAAATAATTTGTTATTTTGGCGTGAAACTCTTTCTCCTTTACCTTGCCTGATTTTTTCCTTTCTAGAAACAAAGCAAATTCTTCTCGTAGCTCAAGCACTCTTGTTAAAACCTTGCCTCACGACAACCAACGCATCTCTGTGTGGAACAACAAGACGTCAAATTGTTCTTCTAGTTCATTACACAAGTACTTAAAAACTTTTGTATTTGTCTCACTGCTTCGGATGTAGTTTACTTTTCACTACCTGAGTAAATGTGTCCAATAAATCAGGTAGAAGAGTTTTCATTGCCAAAGCATAACGGTGGATAATGCAGTGGCTAAATAATGCAAACGGAATGATTTCTTTCATTAATGTTTGAAAAAACGAATGCCCAACATGGCTGGTGCTCTATTTGTACAGACACCTATTAACTTTGACCACTGCAGCTTCTTTTTATCGACAAAATTGTTCAAAAGACATCTTCCCCACATGCAGTAGTGCTCAATGATTCTGAGAATAAGTATTATTCTTTTAAGTCGTCGCCTTTTATGTATCGAACATAGACAAGTAGCTAGGAACAAGATGCAACGTCGGTCGACTCATCTAACTGTAATGCGAAGAAAAGACTTGACCTTATTTCAGTGAGCAGTGTCCAAAATATTCTTGCTCATATCCTCGATACGATTTTTGATTGTGTTGTTAGAAAGGGATATCTTATTTATTTTTTCGACATGTTGCTCTCCAAGAACGAGCTTAACTGCATCTAGTATACAAGGTTTGATGAGGTTCTTTCTAATTGTATGAGGTTTCTTGTTTTTCACAATCCGAAAAGCGATGCAATACGAAGCTTCAAGACCAGCTTCAGTTGACTGAATAAAGTAGCCGGATGAATCCATACGCGCATTTTTTTAACACAGCTTCTTTACGTTTGAAAAATGCAATATCTTTTTCTACAAACTGAGGATGATTTTTTTCAAAATGTTCTTTTAATTTGCTTGGTTTCATACTTTCTGCTGTGAGCACTTTGTTGTACAGAACAGATTGGGGCTTCTCAACACTTTTATCAACAAACTTAGTAAAACACCATTATAGAAAAGCTACTTCGTATGAGCATTTTTTCCCCTGTGACATGGTTCCTGATTCAAAGGAAAATTGTGAAATCCCAACATAAAAAAGAATAAAATTATTACACTTACCTGCTTTTGCTCCACGTCAAAATAATCAGAAAATCGGCAATATTGGTCGTCAGTGAACGGAACATACAAGTACAGTGAATACTAATAAACGAACGGTGAACGACTAACAACTAGTTAAAACCATTAAATTAAATATTGATAAAATTGTATATGAATAGAATATAAAATGTGAAGTTGTTATAACAAAAATAATTCCAAGAAATTCAAAATAATATAATATTATAAATATTATTTGAAAGTGTTACAATTATCAGTGTCGTTTGGATATAAGATAAAATAATCCCCAAAACTATTACATAACAACAATTCTATTATTACAAAATTACTTTTGCAACCCTACATGTAGTACACATGACTGATGCAGATATAATAATAATAGATATAAAGTACATAGAACAAAAAAAAATAATTTAATCTTAATCCCTCGAAAAATCGTGTTTTACCCCGGGAGAAGTGGGTAGGGTAAAATTACCCCAGGTTGGGAACCACTGCATTAAGTAATAAACAGCGAACGATTATGGTTTTTGTACATAGTTCGTAAAATTGTTTGTGTAAAATGTAGATGATTAATTTTAAGGAAGTGTAGAAGAAGTAATTTCAAGGGAAATTCATGATGTATTAATAAAGATATACTGAGTAGGTAGGGATAGTTTAAAATATCAGTTAGGTACTACCTATTTTTGGGAGTTGAATTGGGGAGACAATGGGACACAATCCCTTTACGTTTGACTGCATATAATATGCGTCCTCTTTAACATAATCTGCAGGAGGTATGCTTTGAAGCCTTTTAATTGAACTAAAATAGACTGTTGAATTTCAATTTTACCAATTCTTATTGTGAAACTTTATTAATGATGAACAAAACTTAAGTGCACTGAAGTCTTAAAATATATTTTATGTGGCATGTGCCCAGGAATGTATTGGTTTTACTATATTGTGCGTTTTTTTTTCAATACACAAACTTTTTTTCTGTGAACAACTTTTCTACTAGCAATTTTGCTCCGATTTACAATGATAGTATTTCTTCTAAAAGGAAATCTGACTGAGGAAATACTTTGTAAAAAATGATATATAAAAAAAAATACTTCAAAAAAGATCCGGGATCATAGATTTAGATATTAATTACGAAAACGTGTATTTTTCGGACCTCTATAATAATTGTATACGTAGATATAAAATTACTTGATTGAGAAAAGGCCGCGTAAGCGATTTCCAGTCGAGAATTGGAATTGAATTTCCCCGTCAGTCTAACGTAATAGCCGACTTCAATGGGCACGGCCAATTCGACGAAATGAGATCCGTTTCTCCATTGCAATAAACGGCCATCGGATGTACGCCCCTCTTGGACGACCAAATTGGCTTCGGCTAAAAATTAAATCACACATATTACCCTAAGTATATAATATTCATGTTATGCGATGGTAAAATCACACAATAGGTACTAATTATTTTTATAAGGATATATAAACATAATAGTGTATGTTATACTGAAAGTGCATTCATATAAATAAATAAATATATATATATTAATAATATTACATAGTGTCTCATAAATATAATATGATCATTACGATATCTTAAAAAGTATTAACTTTTTCGGTTTTTTTTTTTTTAACAATTTAAGAAACAAGTAGTTCTAATATCTTACATCTGTATTATTTTTTGTCATTTTTTTTGAGGATGAAATTGGCTCCTTAGCTACTTTTGATTTAAAAACCAATATTAAAAATTCCATAAAAAGACAAATAATTAATTTAAAATGGAATATCTTATCAAGGTAATCAAAACTTTCAACTCCAAAATGTATTTAAACTAATACTTCGTCTATTAATACAATTTTTAAGATAAGTTGCCATTATAAAATTAAAAGTTGGTAGTCGATTCACCCTCAAAAATAAGGGTGACACAAAATAATGTTGATATCATATTATAGAGCTACTTAGACTAGTTTCTTAAATTGTAAAAAAAATAAATAACCGAAAAAATGTAATATTATCCAAGATATCTAAAATAATGTTTCGGCTAATGGTCATATCTACGTGGTACACTCTATATAGCTTAGTATATTAGCTTATCTTACCTAAATCGTTCAAAGTTATGACTTTCATGTACAAATTATGTGTCTTTGAATTATAATATTTATGTGACGTTCGAAACAACCATATACAATCGAACAAAATGGCCGGTTCAAACTCTTCGACCATATGCATCATTGTAATAGCACCGCCTTTATTTTCCACGAATCCTCCGCAATCTGAATATCAATACAATAGAAATTTCGATTTGTTGCTATACGTTTTACTATTAGGTATCCCATTGATTATCATTTAATATCTGTGTATATAATGTATTTATCTAACGCTTCTGTTTTCAAGTAACATTGTCAACTATTTTCATCAGTGTAAAATTGATGGCAGAGTATACATATCCGCGGAAATCTGCGGTTGAGATAGGCATAAGTAGATGATACACATGCATTTGGCGTCTCCAATTTATAAACGAACGAAAGAGCAAATATGCAAAATCAATTTTAAAATTAATACTTGTATAGTTGCATACTAGTACTTTTCTACGATTCGTTTTAGTGTTAATGTGAATTGTCCTATTATTAAACTTAAATGGATAAACATTATCGGTATTTTAACTTTTAAGCGAGATAAAAGCATTTTTAAATTGTGATAATTCACAAACTCATAATATCTTGCTTAAAGTTAAAATAACCAAAAAACTACTCACGCACAAACAGTTAATCAACTTCCCTTTAAGTTTTCTAGTTAGTTTGCTTTGTTTGCTGGTATAAATTTATGACTGAGTTCAACACCGTTATAAATTGAACGTTCTGAAAACCTAAGTTTCTACTCGGGATGCCGTACGTAACCCCCTACCGTCAATTTTCATATTCAAAATTATTGTTTGTTATTTTTAAGATACCTAAATGCTTTTATGTTTATAATAAAAATAATAGAAAGTTCAATTGAAAACCTCTCCCGAAAATTTAGTCTAGCTACAGACTTGTAAAAAATCATATTCAATTTGTTCTCTATTAACCTCCCGAACATTTTGGCTAGAACCTTTAAGTTTGTAACTTATACGAAGTCATTTTAAACAAGAAATAAAAGATTGATAATATCACAAAAATGTGACATTCTATAGCATACAATTTATTTCGAAAAGTAAAATTTACAAAGCACAACTAAAATTATAGTACTTAATTTTCAAACTTTTAACTGATAAAAACAATTTTATTCGTGTAAATTTAAAGAATTTCAAATAACTCAAAAACATCCAAGATATTTTGAAAATTATTACATTTATAGAGAATATTAGTATTAATAACAATCAAAAAATGATAAAAGTACGTGCTTATTTAAAATTCTTCTAAGATGCAACTGTCAAATGAGAATAAATATAGTTATACTATATAAGTTATGCCAAGACATAACACAATATACTATAATTAAGTATAATCAAGTGAATATTCTATAAATAATTTGATTATTAAGTTTTTGTATACATGTTCGTTTAAAGTAGGAATTAGATTAAAATGCATACTGATGAAAACGCTTTTCTAGATTTTTTGGGAGGTTCAAAACCTCAAATCTACGTCAATGTCTCAAGCAAAAACGTGATTGGCTACCTCAAATTCAAAATCTGCTATGCAACTGTATATGGAGTACTAATGGCTAAAATAATAACATGTCTATTATTTTTTTCTTACTCGTATTTGGTTTTAAAATGGAATCTTGAACATTTCCTGAAAAAAAAATGTTGAAAAATCAGTAACTAGTAGTGGTAATATTGTTGTTTTCTTAATGAGGCGGAGTTGGTAAATTACGTCCCCTAAAAAAGGGATTCATATTATACTATGTAAATTGCGGCCTGGCTATATTTTATATAATATTATATTACACCTAAATAATTTTTATTCATACATAAATTACATTTTAGACATTTTTTTGTAAAATTAATATTTTCCTTCCCATTTTTCATATTTAGGACTGACAATATAATTGTGTTAATATTTTAAAAATTTGTGAAAACAAAATTTAAATCCATCAACCACTTTCGACGTTTTATTCCTTTCGTTTTTCATTAAATTTAAAAATACTCATTATTTCACAAATTTTAATCAGATTTTAGTTACTAATTTTTAATAACATGTTTTTTAATGATACACATTTTAAATTCGAAGCGTAGCGAGGGGTATATTGGTTTTACTATGATGTACAAGTAAATATTTTAGTTTATATTTTTTCTATCTTGAACAACTTACCAACTACTTATATCAGGAAACTTGTTCCTAAGTTCTAGACCATAGCACCTTTTCTCAAAAGTTATTTTCTCTTGTTGGTACACTGAGAAGATAATTTGTTGATGTTCCAAGGTGTTTTTGAAATAATAGAAAAACGTCAAGAGATTTTTTTTGTTGAATTTTTAATTTATAACCAAGATAGTTGGTTTTTTATTTTCTCTGTGGTTTTATTAATAATTGAACATATCCGAAAAAACGTAGAAATAACGGGTTACTTTACGAAAATAATGCTTTTATTATTTTCAATTTTGTTTTTTCGTTGTAATTCAGGTTCAAATATTCGTATAGGGACATAAAATGTTAACAGAAAACTTATATTTATTTTTTCTAGACGTGGTAAATGTTCAGCACTTTTTTTTAGCTATTTATAGACGTTTTAATTTTTCGACTTTTTTTATGTAATTTTTATTTGGTAGGTACTTTTTTAAAAAATTAAAAACTAACCTATCTAATACACCGACTAGAAAATTTGCAACCAAACCTAAAGTTGATACTTACCCTAAAATTGATGATCAAATTCTGGTGTATACACGTAAGTTATTTAATCAGAAAAGAAAATCACATCATAGTAAAATCAATCACTACGCTGAAATTATTATATTTTAAAAGATAGAGTAAAATAAGTGTACCTTGGACGCATGAATATTGTGCTTTGTATCCGATTGAAGATCCGGCATTGGCGAAAAACTTAATATACAGCATCGGTCCGGAAGATAACATCACAGGTGGTCTAAACGTTATACCTCCGGTTACCCCTAATCTTTTTCTGTCCGAATCATAAAACTGCCCACGAACAATTCAAATACGTATAATATATAAACAAAAAATAATAATAATAATAATAATAGTAATTAATACCTCAGTAAGTACCTATAGGTACATTCATAAGTGCAAACAAAAAGTGGTGCTTTTTCCCACAAATCAAGTCCTTATTAAGAAAATACAAGGAAGTATAGGCATACGCATAATCAGTATTATCGACTTTTAAGCCCCCTCCAAATATTTGTGCCTATACCTATACATTGTACACACTATTATACTATAATAATAATACCAATAGGTACACTACTATGTAGGGATACTATTTGGGTTTCTTTAAGGGGGCACAAACATTTTATGAAACCGTTACTGACGAGGCACCGAACCAATTATTATTGTTGAAAACTCTTATATATTTGTTAAATTATTATTTTTTTGTCTTTAAATTAAACATAATTATATGTATTTTTTGAATTACATATCAATAATACTTATACAGTTATACATATATGGAAGTGAATCATGAATGCATCCTAAGATTGCAAACTAAGTCTAATGTCTATACAATTATAGGGAGAATGGGACACAGTGAGACAATGTAAATAAATATCAGAGAAATAAAATCTAGAAGTTCATACCGATATGCAACGATATGTAATGTTAAATGCATGAACATTAAAGTTGATAATGTTCATGGTTAAATATAACGTTTCCATTCTGTAGCGGTTTATTGATTCTGATAACTTGGGTCATGTTTATCAACATTTCCCGCAATTTTATTGTCAATACGAAAAAATACAACAGTTTTTTTGTGTTGTATAATTTCTTTTAAAGGTATATATATATATATATATTTAAGAAGAAAAAAATTCTTACTCTGATATTTATTACACATATAAAACTTTGCATTTTAGGTACTTTTTTTAACTATTAAACTTAAAATGGATGGGATTCTATAAGACGGGGTAAAATAAGACACATTGTTTTTTTTCTTTAACTATCAAATTGTTATATTATGTTTTGTTTTTCTTTAAAATGTAATCACACCACAATTTTCAAAACTGAAAATATTATAATATTATATAAAAAGGTTTTTAACTATCATATTATTATTGTTTTTAGATTCTAAGTGGAATGAAGAAGTTTATGGTTTTACAAATATGTTTATTTTTTTTTCACTTTTCTAAAAGGAAATCTGACTGGGGCGGTACTTGGAGAGATCATTTTTAGATTTTCCCAGAAGTTTCCCTAATAAATTGGATAAAAAGAAGACAAAAGGGAAAATGTACGAAATGTAGATATTGGGTGAAAAAATATTACAGCCTTTTTTTCCTGTGAATAACTTTTCTAGCGGAAATTTTGCTCCGATTTACAATGATAGTATTTTTTCTAAAAGGAAATCTGACTGAGGAAATACTTTGTAAAAAATGATACATAAAAAAAACAAATTTAAAAAATTATATAGAGAATAACAATATACTAAAATGCACGTTTGTTTAAAAAAAAAAAAACAACAAAAACTATTTTTATACAATTCAAATTGAATGACATGTGTCTATTTAAAAATGTAATGTCTCATGTGCTCCCTCTCCCCTACCTAAATATTTCAATCAAAACTAAAAAAAAAAAATGTATGGGTAATACAGCTAATAAATATATACTGATGTATATCATTATGTATATTATAAAATAATATATAATTTAAAATTAGTTACTTAAATTTTAATCATATTATAGCTTTATATTATTTTTACATTGCTCTTATTGTAAAAATGTAAATAATTTATCAATATAATTCAAGTTATAGAACTGCGCACTATAGACTCTATAATATAGAGTATCCAGAGGTGTCTATAGTTGTATGCTTGAAGCTATACCTTATCCAAGATATTAACTATGTATAATATTATAATATTAAAAAGAATTACCCAAATTATATTATACCAACCTCGATAATGGACTCTTCGGCTATTTGAAAATCCACAAATATCAAATGTATCAGACATGTCACAGAAGCTTTGCAGTTGATCACCTGTTCAAATGTCAAGTCGTTCGGATACGAAATCGGAAAAAACGGAGTACTGACGTATCCTCCAAATGAAATATTCGCTTTATTGTTGAATTCTGGTTTTATTTCCGCCAACTGAGTGTTTCCTATTAATGTATAGTAGTTAGTAATAAATAGAAACCTAAATAAATAGGCTTTTTTATTTAAAGGTTTATAATTGTTTATTTCTGTATCATTGTCGTTTATCTATGTCTCAACTCTTCTGTGTTAATTCGTCGTTTTGAATTCGTATTCAAATAAATAAATAAAAAAAAAAATCGAGACCGGAATTATATTCTTTTATAATCCACAAACAGGCGCTTAAAAACGTCAAAAAAGTCGAAAAAAGTACTTAAATACTTTAAAAAAGCAAAAATTATGGCTAAATTGTCTACTAAAAACACCTTTGATTTTTATAATTGAAGCAAGAATTTTAAAAGAAAAGTTATTGACAACTTCTCTTTTACTTTTGAAGAAAAAAGTACTTGATATAGTAAAACCATTGCACCATATGAATTTAAAATTATATTAAATTGTGAGCGCAACGAGGAGTGTTTTGATATTTCTATATATGTGATATTTTTTTTGTCTGTGAACAACTTTTCGACCAGAAAACTTGCTTCAATCGAAAAATAACACGAGACTTTTTTCTTTAATTTTAGATCTAGTTAGTAGGTAAGTAAGTATTTTTTTATTTTCCAAGCAGTTTTAATTGTAATTACGAAAACTCGGGAAAAATGTAGAATGAAAATGAACAAATTTATAACATACAATAATTTTAAATTTGTACGGTTTGTTTTCTATCGGACATGTTGCTCCATTAAAAAAAAAAAACAAGATACCTTTTTTTTGGCATTTTGAATCTAGATGTTGAGTATGAAATTCGTTTTATTTCCATTATATTTTTTTCACTAATTTCACAGAACCGGAAATAGAGGTAGGAAAAACGAGAAAGTTTAGGGAATTAATGGTTTTATTATTTTTAATTTTTTTTTTTTCGTTGCAATTCTGTTAAAAATACTCAGAAAATATTTTTGAACTATTTATAGTCATTTTATGTTTGTGAAACATGTGGATATAATTATTTGACGCAACAGAAATATTTTAAAATTAACAAGAAGTTAAGTAAGTTGTATTTAGTGGTCAAACAAAAAAAACTATCCTAGGATAATGGGGACATGTGCAGTCACTAGTGTAGGTAAGAAGATGGGAAGGTAGGATATAGATGGGAATTTAATATATATCTGTAAACAGCGATTAACCATTGCTAATGAAAAAATGATTCTGAGCGAAGTTCGGTTAATAGTGTTACTTGTTAACGATATTATTTATGTCATGTGTTAATAAAATAATTGCAATGTTCAATTTGCGTTAAACATTTCCTTTGATAATATTTGTTTAATATTGTACCTATTTTCCTGTTCTCCGCGGTTAGGTTAGGTTATATTTTTTCCCGTTTTTCTCATTTATTGGGAAACCTTTTGGGAAAATCAAAATTAATTTTAATTTATTCATAATATTTTTATTAACAAAGATTTTTTATTACTTACAGATATAAATTAAACTACTTTATATATTCTACCTTCTCAACCATCCACCTACAACAGTGGCGCATACATCAACAATATTATTTCTTTTTTTAATTTTATTAACATTCGTATGAAAATGTACTAGACGTTTTTAAAAAAAATACCTAAATAATTACTGCCTATAAAACCAAAATATTTTTAAAAATAAAATATCAAAGAATGTTACCCATAATAATTCATAAATATCACAATAATTACTATAAGGAATATGCATTTACTGGTGATGAGGTATTCCGCTGTAAACGCGTGTCTGTACGGATATCTAGACACGAAATTCAAATTCACTTGACTGGTCAACGACTTATAGTGGATCGACGAATTATTTTTCGCAGTTCCATCGACGCATTTTAGGGACCGTAGTATCAAATAGGGCGGCTCGACGATACATACCGAATTGCAGACACCTTCTTTACTGCACGTTAAGTTTACGTCTTTGAAACGCAAGTTGACCATGCAGGACGGGCACGAAAGAATGTGCAAAGAACATTGTCTGGAGAAACTCTCCTGTAACACGGTGCATGTTGTACAAATAAATTGCCTAGCTGCAGTGTATTTACCCATCACCCATCTAACGATAGTTACGTTCAGTTTAGAATAGTTCAGGTTGAATAAATTACTGTCGTTCTTAGCATAAACGGTTCCCCGGGATCCGACGGTGGTATAAATAACTTTTTTCTGATTAAACGGCCTGCAAATGTCGTACCGTTTGTTGTTCGAGGAACAGTCAGTAATAGTTAGGAATATTTCCAAAAAAAAAAACACTGCAATTAAACGTTAAACAATTATTATACAATTATTAATATTATTTTTTGTAGATTTAAATTTACATTTAAGAAAAGCCAGAAAATGATAGACAATTTATTTCTACGAACAGAACCGTACTTTCTCGGGTCATTTGTCCGGGTCCTAAGTCTATTTTTAAAGGACCCGGGCCTACAAAAAAAATTGCCAATTAAAAATCAAGACTAACTCTTAACAAATAAAAGGGCTCGGAATATTTAGTTTTCCCGGGACCCGACAAAGCTGAGTATGGCCCTATGAGAGATACGTATAAAAATATCTACAAAAAAATGACGTATTATATTAAGAATATGCTATATACACGCACTTGTTTTCTCTATCATACAAATGCCCAAATTTGTGTTCAGCAAATTTGCGTTCAGTAGAACCAATTTTGGGTTGTTAGTTTCAACAGTAAATTCAGTATTGACTATTATTAAAATTAATGGGAAAAGCGTCATCTGTGTTGTTACGGTGATTTTTCGTTATCTATAATTTTAAGCGAGATATAAGTATAAGTAATAAATATGTGAAATATTACAATTTAAAAATGATTTTTATCTCGTTTCAAAATTAAATTTTCGAAAAAAACTTTAATAGGTCACTTATTTGTAAGACGGAGACAGAGTTCTATAAAGAAAAAAAAACGGCACACAATAATAATAAATTGAAAACCTAAAATATAAAAATCAGACATCTTTAGTACTATGGGTACTTTTATAGGCAGGGACTAAAATTGTGTGTAGTATGAGTATGACGCACTTTGTGTAGTTATAGTTACTTTGTGTAGCAGCTATATATCATGATATTTATGTTTATTATTTTTTGATTTTACATTTGTTTGCACTTTTAATAATTTGTATTGGAGAAAAAAAATTCTAAAATGCATCTTAATTACATTTTTATGTAACAACAAGTTAAGCTGTAATGCATCGACAATTATCACATATTATTTCTAAGATGATGAAGACCCAGAATAGATTAAAGTTAGTTTTATTATCGATGTTTAATTTATAGGTAGGTTATACATTATAATCAAAACCGGATCAAAACTGATCATTTGTGTAATTAATATTTATTATATTCATGATAAGTAGATTGTATTATTTGTTTATTATTTTTTAAAATTGTTTTGAGATATTTTATAGAAGCAAAAAAATAATTACACTAATTTAGTTCCTCTAAGAAAATCTAAAATAACGTCTGTAAGGTAGGTACTATATTGATTTAGAACCCATTAAAAAAAAAAAAAAAAAATGGGCTATATGTTAAAATGAATACATATAAAATTTACATGAAAATGCAAATTGTAATTAACTTACGAGTGGTTGTTTTTTCATTGATGTGCTGATCAAAACTCCCCCCACCATAATTCCGGGAGGAGGGGCTTTATGATAGTATGGTTTGATATAAAGTGTACAGTACGAAAAAGTATTGAAGCCTCTGGTTATAGGCATAGGCACCCGGTTTTTAAAATGTCAATTGGGTAGCTCACTATTTTAAATACTCATATACAGTATACCCGGCTCTTACCAATTTTTCTTACAACCCCGGTTTGTTATGGGGTACTGCAGTGCCCCCAACAACTCCCTATGTGGCACTCCTGGTTAAAGGTAAGCAATGATTGACTTGGGAATAAAGTAGTAGAGGTAGGTAATCTAACTAAAGTGTCCCTAACATTTTAATATCCCTCACATTACCTCTTTTTATACAATTTCTCCCTTTAGATTTTTGTGTTCAAAGGATGTTATACTCGTATGTGCTGTCTCAGTCCAACTAACGGGCTATATTACAAAATCTACCTTACGCAGACTGCGTAAAACTCGCTTGATTGTAGTTTTAGAGTGAAATCAATTATTATAATATTAAAGAAAACAGTACCCTGGAGAGCAAGACGTTGCAATCCTAGTATTCTAATTAATATTCCGAATACAACGTTCAATACATCGTTTAGAAATTAAAACTAATAAATCGTTTTTAAATGATTGTAACATTTCAAAAAATGAATTGAAACAAAGAAATGCACCACGTTTCCTCTGAAATAATGTTCTCTTTTATTTTTATAGTAGGCGCTTTTACTGTAAAGTCAAAATTAAGTTAGTTCTACGCAGTCTAAGTAAGGTACATTTTGCTATATTGCTAGTTAGTTAGTCTAAGATGATATATGCGGGTTGAGCAATTTTATAAATTAAGTAATCTTAAATAATAACCCGTCTTATCCTTTTCTCTTTTAAACAAAAGTAGGGGTAAGCTAGAATATCCAAAAAATGAGTTGAGGTACTCAGCCCCCCTCAAATCAAGCACTGAAGGTAAGTACTTATAGGGTAGGTACCAATAATTTAGTTTAAGATACGTACCTATATGGGCACTGAAATAATAACAAATCATTTCCGATTGAAGCTCAGTACATTAGATATTAGTATCTACCCAAATAGAGTTATAGTATTAGGATTGTTTTCTATTTTGTAGACCGGATAAGCCAGAAATCAACTAAAATAAAACCAATGTAGATATGAGTTATGACATTTTTGTTGTCAGATTTAAAACTTTTTAAAAAAAATTTGTTTGGAATCTATAAACTGTTTTCAAATAAAGATAAAGATAGGTACCACAGGGGAAAAAACTTGTAAATATTATGTATTATGGTGTGAATAATTTGGAACATTTTTATTTTTACTAATGTCTAACTCAAAGTGTTTTCTAGGAGAAGGAAGCACACATCTTAGTAAAACAAATAGCTCCTATCTTTGATATATTCAGAATTCAAAATAATATATTAAATAATTGCAGCAGTGTGTATTGAAAATCCTTACCTAGTGCTTTCCGGCGTCCCATCGCATAGGTAGGTATTCAAGTGTTCAATAGTGAAACGACACTGGCTTGTATAGTATATCTATAATGTTTAGAAAAATAGTAAGGCTTCGACAATGCTGTTATAATAATATATATAAAAGGTTTCTAAGAAAAATGACCTTTGACGACGCGTCATTGATCCCCTTAATTTTTTTTCTTTCAATTCAATGACAAATACATTTTCCATAATAAAATCAATCAATATCTACCTCAATAATGTGTTTGCATTTACCTACACCCCTATAGCTATGCATACAAACGAATACACTCATATATAATGATGTAAATGACCTACCTAAATGAAAACAATCAAAACGCTGTACGGTATATACATTTCAGGAAATAGTTTTATTATTTTTTTTTTTATAGGTAAGTATTAAAATAGATATTATTCACTAAACTTTAAATAGTAGGTGTGTGAATGTTTAATAATTAAACAATAAATAACTAGTAGGTAAACAACTGGAAAAAAAAGAGCTGATATTGAGGACGAGCGGTTGAAAAGGCAGGATACGTCATAAAGGTTGATACCGAGTCGCGGTCGGTATAAAAGCAGGTAAAAAAAAAAAATCTGAGTTGCGATCGGATTATCTTAATTAGGTATATTTTTGAATCATATACGAACATTTGTAGAAGTTCATTTAAAATACAATTATTATGATAGTAACATATTATCATATTATACTTAGTTAAAATAAAAAACAAATAAAATAATCATTAAGATAATAAAGGTTTTAACAATATTATACTCTCGATTAAGTACCTCCCCATACCGATTTCCTTTCAGAAAAAGTGCTACACTTAAAAATCGAAGCAAGATTTCTGGTAGAAAAGTTAGGCGCGAAAAAAAAAAAATTAAAAAAATAAATAAACATTTTAAAAGCAATCCATTCCTCGCTCTACTCAGGATCTAAAAGAACCAATGACTATACTCCAAAAATAAATAGTTATTCATAGGAAAAAAAAGCCATAATATTTTTTTACTATAATACCTACATTTCGTACTTTTCCGTTATTCTCCTGTTTTACCCAATTATTGCGAAAACTCCTAGGAAAATCAGAAAATGACTTACTTAAAATATGATGTAGATAAAATTTTTTTTCAAAAAAAGTACTACACTTGACACATTGGAGCAAGATTTCTGGTAGAAAAGTTTGCACAATATATCAATTGGTATTTTTCAATTAAAATAGTCCAAGCGAGCGATGGCTTGGCTCTCTAGGTACACCCAAAATGCATTTATTCTTTCCATGTTCGGGTAAAAGGGGAAAAAATGTATTTTGAAACATGTGTTTGGATTCGGGATCTCTAGGATGACAACAGGTACGTACCACCACTAAACTACGACAGACATACTATAAAAATGACAATATAGAGTTAGGTATTTAGATGAAAGATTAGGCTAAAGATTATTAAGGGAAAACAATTATCCAATAAATTATAAATGAAATTTACATATGAAGTGGCCGGAACATTTTCAAAAACGTGAATAACTACCATGCGGTCGCTGTATTTTTTCAACAGTCACAAATTCGGTCGACTTACCGACTCGTAATCATAGTAGATAAACAGTGTGTACTTTTAAATATACATGACTACGTTTTTGGGTGTGTTATACCTTATACCGCCTACTTTGTACTCTACTATACAATTTGTATTCCACCGAGGAGGAATAAAACGCATATTAACTTAGTTCATGACTAACGGTGAGTTATTATTTATTTCCGAGTTTAGCTGCAAAATTATCTTTTGACTGGATTTTATTGGATTTCATCATGGATTAGATGTGCAACTGTATCATAGATAATATATAATATCTATACCTAATATATATATATATATATATATATATATATATATATATATATATTATCTATGAACTGTATGAGATACATTACTGTAATCTAGCGGTGTTATTACGGTTATTCGACTATTGAGTGCTTTGGTTTACACATTACTCCTTAATATCCGGGGTATAGGCAATTCGAAAACATGACACAATAACACTCATTTCATTCTCATTTTTTTGTTTTCATCAAAACAGTCCCCAGACTCTGTTCCCCTAACTTCACACCCGTAAAGTACCTACGACTTTCAATGAATCTCTTACTAAATTGTCAAGCATTTCTATTAAGTCTAACAATTTTACCACAGAGTACCTTCGAGTAGAATTTTTGTAATGTATAAAAAAATTAACGTCATAGTAAAACCAATATATTTCTCGCTCCACTTAGAATATAAAATTATTATTAAAACTACGAATGTATTATAAAATATTAAATTAAAAAGTATTACTATTACTAAGTATTAGTCACAAAAAATTATTCATATCATTAAAAAACTTCAAAAATATAATCTTTTAATAGATACATCGATTTCAACCATTCTTTTTGTAACCGTCTTCTAACAAAGAAGAGGTTCCATTGATTAGTACATTGTTTTTTATAGCGCCATAAACATTTGATGCACCGGGTATGAACTCCAGTTTGTGGGTATATAACATTTTCACTGTGATCAAGTTTTATGGATAAATCGAAGTTAATTTAAATTTTAGTATGCTTTACATCTATCACTATAGATGGTACACATTAGTAGGTGGTATCTAATTCTACTTCTTTAATAACTATGGGCAAAGAGGTTTTTGTATTTCTTTTTTTTTGACAATAAAAAATTGTCTTAAATCGCATTGTGCTGATAACAAAAGCCAAAACTCCTGAACTCATGAAACATAACTGGCGTTTGGACTCGGATCTTCGTTTTTTTATTATTTTCATCTTAATCTTTAATATCATTGTTAACTTCATTTTCATTATCCAGGGCTGCAATAGAGGTATCCCTCCCCCGATGATATCAACCCCCCACACCAGTGAAAAATTAATTTCTAATCGGCAATTATAAAAAAACTACTGAGTAGTTGGTTCGGTTTTATTTATTTTACATTTACAGGAAAATAAATTAAATATAATTTTATTATCCTTGTAGTAATGCCCAAAAAACACAGCATAACACCAAAAAATGTACTAAAAAGCCAATAAAAAAAAAAAATCCTCAATTTAAAATTCGTCAAATTGTATTATACACCCCCCGAATTCAACTGTATACAAGTAAGGATATAACTAGGGCATTATATAATAAGAGAAGAGATTTGTGAGAGTTGAAGTTCTGGCAGTATCACCTAATGAAATAATTTACTTGGTACGCCTTACTAACAATAAAATCAATATGTGGTCGGAAATCAAGTGAAGAGACGCAATGAAAGTCTAAATATTTTTTATATCCACTGGAAAAATAGGCTATCCATCAAGGCACTATATATTTTTATTTGTTTGTAGTGAGTTTTTTAGACCTTTATTTACCTTATTATTTTGTAAAACTTATTGAAACCTATTTTAATCAATTATTAACATTGTTACATTATAAATTGTACATACAACTATGCTTTAAGATTTTAGATTACTACACTTTAGATAAGGTTAGATAGGCTTTAGATAGGTTAATCCAAAAAAGTAAAAACAGATTTTTAGTTTCATCAAAACCTAGGTTAAATCATGAAACATGAAACAAACATGATTTATAAATTACTAATTTACCAAAATGTATATATTAACACATATTTGCTTAGAAATGAATAGGTGCAATTAAAACACAATTTATTACATTCAGATATCAATTGGCACAATAAATGTACCTATGTTATTTGTTTAACCCATAATTTATTCAGTGCAATTTTATTAATACATATCCACTTTCAAATAACTCTTTACACACTTTCTAAACACTTACCCATCTTACAATTATCAGTGGGAGATAATTGGATCACTGTCATTTAAGCACACAATTTGTGACATTGTCTGCAAAGTCACCCCATACTATTAAACAATATTGGGAAAAAAATATAGTTCACCTTTATTAAAAACACTGTTATAATCATAATAAAAACTATATATTATTATATTCAGATTTTTGTATTACAACTTAGTATTTAATACAATTTATTTCAATGTTAATTTTGATTAACTTATGTTTACTAATAATATAATAATTATAATTTATAAAAGGTTTTAATGTTTTAAAATAATAAGAATAATAATAATATTGTATATAAATAATATGTTGATTTGGTGATTTTTTTCATTTTTCTTTTAAAGATAATAAATACAAACTAATTTTAAAATTCCATTTTAATATCTGAAATCAAACAAAAAACATTATACTAAAATTACTTCTAAAGTAGAATTTATATATTCTATATGTAGTTCTACATATAGTAGAAACCATTTTTAATGGCATTCAAGGGACTAGTTAAAATTAGTCATAAAAAACAAAATGAAAAATTTAAATTTAAAAACTTGATTATGTACATATATATTTAAACACAATATTGTATTTCAATCAATGTGTCATATTTATATCACTCAATCTTGACTTCAATAACAGATTTTTTCAATTTAATAAAAAATAACCGTTTTAACATCCGTATAGTCATTATACAGACATAGCAATAATCAATATTCAATACAAATTAGCACTGTAGGGTAAATTACTTTTAAAAAGTGATTAAGTTACTTAGTCGTTATTTAGAGATAAATGCAATAAAATTACTTTACTTTTAAAATAGAAAAGTAACTAGAACTAATTACGTTAGTTCTTGTTCAGAAAAAAAAACCAATTTGAATAGTTAATACATAACAATATAATAATCTGACACAACACTGAAATATTGTCTACTGAATACGGAATAACAGCTTTCAATTGTGCTATTACTTATATTAACATATGTCATATAGATAATAGTTTATAATTTTTAAATAACATCATGGTCATGTATTTATTGTATAAATAATTATTAAAAAAAAAACTATTTCTTGTAAATGGCTATAAGTTTATAATAGTTTAATCATATATGCAAAAATTTAATCATTGTGATTTATCAATGATTAGTAAGTACTATACAAGTAACGTTGCCATTTTGAACGCCAAAAATAAAACAGCCATAAACATTTACAAACTAGCATTATCTCGTATTGGTTATACTCTTCAATACACCACTATGATTAAATATATATACTTTTTTTTTTAAATAATAATAATTTGTAACTTAAAAAAAAAAACCTAACACATTATATTATAGGTATTACTTATCAAAAGTAATATTCATTACATTTTTGTTATTTGAAATCAATCGTAAGTAACAAAATTACATAACACGTTGTGAATAAAGTAACACTCTTACAGAAACATGTTACACTTTTGTTACATTACAACTCGCACTGCAAATTAGTAGTACATACAATATAAAAGTTTTTCCAGAACCATAAATCTATTCATTACATCTAATATGCCACTACAACTAGTAACTACAGTAGTTTATAAACATTGAATAATGAACTTGGTAACTCAAATATTCTAAACCTATACATACCCCACGACAAGTTTATTTTTTATTGAAGAACAGATTTATTTGATTATAAAATCAGTCAAATATGATGTGTGCTTAAATTGTAGACTATATGCAACATTGATAGCAAAATGAATAGAATGTTTCACATTATTTAAGTTTGAAAATACATACATATATTTTTTCATAACTTACCACTACTTTTTATTCTACTTCCTTTCCAAGAACCTTCTAAATTTCTTAAAAATTCTTCAAAAATATTCACACTCTTTAATAATGAAGTTTTTTTATAGTCCTTTAAACGATTATTACTTGTGTTAGCGTCATTAATAATTTCTTTTTGCTTTTTTTCATATTCATTAATTTCTTCAATTAAAATACTGTGAAAAAATAAATTATTAAATATAATTATATAAAAAAAATATAATAATAATAATAAAAAATAATTTACTTGATGGTTGGTACAGTGTTAGGATTAAATTTATCAATAATTTTTGGATTAATTGGCACACAGACTTTTCCAGTCTTTGGATGCACACAGAATGGGGCTTTCAACAAGTGATTTAATCCTTTTGTTACATTCACATCAAGTCTTGGATAAGCTAAGTATAATAAAATATCTTGCAGGCAATTTTTAGTTTTAAAATTTAGTAATCCCTATTCAAATAATACATTTAAATGATTAAATATACATTTAATAATATTCAATATTTTTACTTTTTTTAAATTGTTTTCAACAACAAGAGTTAATGCTTTCCATCTTTGAGTGCTATTTTGATATGTTGAAAATTGTAAATCTATCTGTTCTTTTAGTTTTTCATCAGCTATAAATGATAAAATTTTATTGCACTGCGCTGTTGTTTCCAAGAAATTTTGTTCAGAAAGAAGTGAATTGAACTCTTCTTTTATGATAGAAATAGAGTGCCTAAGGTATAAATATTAAAATAAATTTTCAAAATATTTTGTAACTGTATCTATTACAACTGACTTCACAAATGGATGATTCACATTACACCTTTTTGAATCACCAGCAGATAATAGAACTAAATAATCAATTACTGCTGCACGTTCAGAAGGCGAAAGCTTTCGTGCAGATTCATCACATACCCAGCAATGAATACCTCGTCGACCTGAAAATACCCAAAGCAAATGTTTCCATCCAAAATCGTCACGGAGTGCTCTTTCCAAAATTTTTACAGCGATAACCATAAATCTATAATGTAACCATAATATTATGTTTTCATTAAATATTAACTTTATTGTTAAACATACCTCCAACATTTCTGACAAACTTCAGCACCAGAACAGCAAGTACGAATTTGATCATAGTCTGTCATATCAATATCAATTACTAATTCTTTTTCCATAGCATGAAATTGAGGATAATTTCGACAGACTTTAGGGCTGTAAAATAACACATAAAACTAAAGAAAAACGATTTTTTGTAATCTAATAATTAAATTGCACAAACCTCATGTTAAAAACTGCACCAATATCAATTTTAAAAGGACATTTATTTTTAATTTCTGTCTCAAATTCTTGTAATGTGTTGAATGATTGAAATCTTAAGTAAATATCTTCATGTAAAGTGAATGAAAATTCTCTATTAATAAAATTTTCTGGTTTAACTGAAAATAAATAATTATAAATATAGTTATCTATGTACTTTACTTATATTACTTTACTCTACTACTTATATAATTTGAGTAAAATTAAATGTGAAAATTGTAATAAATATTTTTGATAAATAATAATGAATATTTGAGAAACTAACATTTATCATGAAAAAAATTATTTAAGTTATGCATTTATCCAAATAACACATTTTTAGAAAAATACTTAAACATTTGAGTTCCTAAAACACATTACATTGTTACAATACAGTGGAACCCTTGATTTTAAATTACTGCTACTGGACATTATATTAGCACTGAATGCTATTCAAGAACTGGACAGGAAATCAGGGAGGTGTCCAAGGTGCATTCTATACACTAAAACATGATGCCTTCATTCCTCAATACGTCCCGCCATTTGCCTATGGTTTGGCCACCATCCGGGGAGTCCCATTCAGCTTTTAACTAAAATTATGTTTAAGAGAATGAAAAAGAAGATAGGAGACATATTATTAGGGTCATTCAGATTTAGAAAAAATATGGGTACGAGGAAAGCGATTTTAGGTTTATGATTAATAATAGAAAAAAGAATACGGAAAGATAAATTGCTTTTGTTGAAATTTAAAAGGCATTCGATAATGTTAACTGGGAAATAATGTTCAAAATACTGAAGAGTTGGAGTTGCAACCACGGAAAAAAAGCTGCTTTATCAATTGTATAAAAATGAAATAGCAATCATAAAAATGGGAGATATTCAAAGAGTCCAAAATAAAGAAAGATGTTTTAGATAGGGATGTACATTATCACCTATAATATTCTTTAATACTTACATTCAAGAGACTATAAATACTATAAGAGATAGGACACAGCTAGGCATAAAGGTAAATTAATAAAGAAGAAATATGTTGAGATTTGCAGACAACATTATAGTAATAGCGGAGAATGAAAAATATCTAAAAAAGTTTTTAGGAACAATGTAACTGATGGTGACGGTGATGGAAAAAGATTTACATATGAAAATGAACGCAAAGAAGACAAAAGTATGTAGTAGAGACAATAACACAAGAATAAGAATAAAATTATAGGATGATTAAATTATAGAATAAGTAGAATATTTCAAATATTTGGGTAACACTATAATATAATAAGCTCAGATTGAAAATGTAAAAAGGAAATCATAAGGCGAATATGCCAAGCTGAGGTAGCATTTAATAAGAAAAGAAGATTTTTTACTTAAAAAAACATAGACCTTAACATCAGAAAAAATTTACTAAAAACGTACATCTAGGGCATTATGTTACATGAATGCGAAAAATGGACTATTTCAAGAGAAGAAATGAGAATAATAGAAAAATTCAAAATGTGGTGTTACAGGAGGATGAAAAAGATAAGTTGGACTGATAGAATTACTAATGAAGAAGTTTTGGAAAGGGTATCTGAGAGGAAATCAATATGAAAATGTAAATAGAAAAGACGAAATTAATTAATAGGTCATATCTTAAAACACAATAAGTTGCTACCACTAATCTAAGAAAGAATAATCAATGGAAAAATCAAAAAATCATAGAGGAAGACCAAGATTGAAATACATAAATCAGATAATAAAAGATCAAGGATATAATTCACATCACGAGTTAAAGAGGAAAGATAGTGATAGAGAAACATGGAAGTTGCTGCAAACCAATCATTAGATTGAATACTGCATAAGAAGAATACTTAATATCTAAGAAATGTTTTCTCGAGTCTCATATCAACTAAAAATAAATAATACTACTTACCATTTCCATATGATAACCACTTGTGGAATTGAGAATATGGGAATAATTTTTTGTAATAAACATTCAGATAATCTGGAAACTGGTCGTCAGCCATTATTATATATAGTACTGTAATATGAATAGACTTATTACGGACTATGGTGGCAAATGATTTTTGTTCAATTACAAATTGGTTTAAATGATGCGTTCCTGCATTAGTCTTTAGATCAATAATAAATCAATTTATTATCACCAATTCACAATGCACGTGATAATAAAAGGCGGGAAAACGATGCTTTTAGACGACTTATAACCTCTTTGTGATATTTCAATTTTGTTACCGATGCGACGTGTGCAAGGTCAAAATTCAATGACGTCATTAGAATTTGTATTTACGTGTTTTCCTTGGATACACAATATACAAAGTACATACTGGTTTGCAGTAGCGGGGCAGAAAATAAAAACACAGTCTCATACTACATATGACACATTAGTCACGAACGCAGAACGAAAAATTTTACGGAATTGTGATCGAGTTATAATATACGTCGGGCGTAAATTCCATTGTTCAATTGCATTTTAATTATTTTTGTATCACACAGAGTCAAACATGTCGACCGCAACGTTTCGCTCGTTCGCCCGTTCATTCGGGTCGAAAATGTAAGTCACACCAACAAGTTTGCTCTTATTTTATAATTATGTTATAGTATATTTGTTATGTAAACACTAATCCTCCATAACGATTCTTCGACAAAAATCTAATTATTAGTCTACATTAAATTCATTTTCGGCTTTTACTTTGTAGTTGAGATTCCGGGAAATATTCCTAATTTTAGATTGATCATGATTACATAAGTCATTAATCAGTAATATTGACAAAGAGTTAACCATACATTATCCTGATCTCTCACAGTACCTATTTTGCATCGTTTTATGTATGCAAGTGTTATGACTTTAATCTAGTTACAGCATAGGTTCGTTCTAGTTGACTGAAGTTTGTTGGGAATAATAGGTATATTGTCCTTGAAAAATCACAAAATTAATAAAATAAAATAATTCACCTATTTCATTAGGTGCCTGTAATCGATGTAGACTACTTTTAGGTATGGTTTCAATGCTTTTGTAATTATCAATGCTAATTAAAACTGTTGGTTATAATTTATTCAGCATGACCAATTCTATTTTCTAATAAAATTGACTGTTAATCGCATACCTAGTTTATGTCATGTCTTCACTGATTAGTGTTTTATGAAAAGTATATTCAATTCAAAATATAGATACAATGTTTATTGCATAATGATGTAAGGAAATTTAATACCTACGATAATTACTTTAAGCACTCATAAATTTAATAGGCTTGGAAAAATAAAAAGTACTTTAATAAAGAAATACATTTTTATCATAGCTCATCAGTAATAGATAGATACATGAGTTATGAAATATCATATTTTATTTTAATGAACAGAATTGAAAGTTAAGAAATTGAATATACTTTTAATAGGAATAATAGGTATATTGTCCTTGAAAAATCACAAAATTAATAAAATAAATAATTCACCTATTTCATTAGGTGCCTGTAATCGATGTAGACTACTTTTAGGTATGGTTTCAATGCTTTTGTAATTATCAATGCTAATTAAAATTGTTGGTTATAATTTATTCAGCATGACCAATTCTATTTTCTAACAAAATTGACTGTTAATCGCATACCTAGTTTATGTCATGTCTTCACTGATTAGTGTTTTATGAAAAGTATATTCAATTTCTTAACTTTCAATTCTGTTCATTAAAATAAAATATGATATCATTTCATAACTCATGTATCTATTTATTACTGATGAGCTATGATAAAAATGTATTTCTTTATTAAAGTACTTTTTATTTTTCTAAGCCTATTAAATTTATGAGTGCTTAAAGTAATTATCGTAGGTATTAAATTTCCTTACATCATTATGCAATAAACATTGTATCTATATTTTGTTTTGTTATTGAATAAATATTGTACTTATAGGTAATATATTTACTAGTAATGTGATAAAATTAAGTATGATAAATTGTTCACATGTTTAAAATTAAAAAAATAAACATAAATATCAAAAACAACACTTTTTACAAACTTAAATCTTTTTGAAGCATTTAAAGAGATTGACATAATCATACACAAAATTTCCAAAATTTATTTTCACAATGTACCTACAAAATTCCAAGCCGACAATACAAAATTATTTAAGTTCAAAAATAAGTACCATTCTAATGCTTATAATTATACAGCTATTAATTCAGTGGTTTGAACATTGTGAACTGTAGGTAAAAGACAGTACTTTATGCCCTTTTAAGCAATATAAAACATTCTATAATTTTAAAAATAAAGCTAAAGTCTTATATTTGATCTAAAATAAAAGGTTATTTTAGTTTTTATTTAATGATTCAGTGTTAAATTATGATTTATGAATTTTGCATTTTTTATAATTACACAATACATCATTACGTTATCTATAAAAAAAATTATGTAAAAACCGAAAATTTGCAATTATCAACTTAACATTTGATTTGTGTTGTTGTTTCTAAAATGGTTAGATTTAGTGTTGTTCCTAGCGCTCCTATTCCCGGGAACAAAGCACTACAGATAAAGTCTAGTCATGGTCTTGTACATGTCTAGTAGAGATAACTTACAATTTATGATTTAATAAAATTAATGCTAGTATAATTATATATATAGTCTGTAACACGAAAACTGGCCGTTGGTCCCTCGTCATGGGTTCTCTCTTACTGTCAAATTTAACAAAATCTAACTTATTATTTCCAGTTTTAACCAATATTGTTCATTTAGTGTTTCAAGTACCACTATAAAATATTCAAGTTCTTAATTTATATAATGGTATGCGATTCATGTTTTTTTAAATTAGATACATTTGTATGATAACTAAATTTTAATAGAAAATTAAATTATCTATGTTTCTTGATATAAAAAATAAAACAAGCCCTACATATTTTATGATTGACTAAACTGTTATTATTTAACTATAACACTATGTTTGATGTTTTTAAGTGAAAAGCCAGTGCGTACACATTTGGTCAATGTGTATGCCTGTTTGACACTTTCCATGATAGCGGCTGCAATTGGCGCTTATGTTCATGTATACACCAACTTCCTTAGTGCTGGAATACTTACAGCTCTAGGTGGAACTGGATTACTGTTGGCACTTATGTATACACAAGACAATGGGAAAAATCATACTCTTAGAATAAGTTATTTAGTTGGATTTGCTTTTTTCACAGGTTTGTTTTTATTTATAAATAGTTTATCTTTTTTAATTCCTATATAATATTTATTATGTTTTAGGTCTTGGAATTGGCCCCCTTATGGAATATGTTATCCATGTGGATCCTAGTATCATACCAACTACATTTTTAGCAACCACATTTATATTCACATCATTTAGTCTTTCTGCCATATTTGCTGAACGCGGAAAATGGCTTTACCTGGGTGGTATCTTAATGTCACTGTTGTCTGTACTCGTGCTAATGTCTTTCGCTAACTTATTCCTAGGCTCGGAGCTTATTTTCAAAGTAAGATTTCTAATCTAAATTTTTAACCAATTATTACTACTTTTATTTTTTGCAGGGTTACCTTTATATTGGTCTTTGTCTTATGAGTGGTTTTGTTTTGTATGACACTCAATTAATTATGGAGAAAAGAAGAGCAGGCGATAAAGATTTTATTGCTCATTCTGTTGATCTATTTGTAGATTTTATTGGCATCTTCAGACGGTTGCTTATCATTCTGTCACAAAAGGTTGTTTTAAAAAAAATTAATATTTATTTTAATATACAATCTCAAGTATTTGTTTTATGGTTTTAGGAACAAGGATCAAAGAAGCGTAAAGACTGAATGATATTTTATTAATTACAAATGTAAATTACCAATTCAATATCAACTGTGTACCAACTATTTAATATAAAATTAAAATATTTTAATACTAGTGGGTTTATTTTTTTTTTGGTTGGCAATATATTTATGCATATTATTACTTTATAAGTCGTATAATTTAAGATAAAATAATATTTAGCCAATCTAAGGTACTTAATGGTCTAAATTGTTATGTCAGTGTAGGTGTTATTATGACATTTAGATTTGTTGAATTCATAAAATAGCATTATATATTTTTCTTATTTATCATAATGGTTTTCTTATAATAAACGACTAATACGTATGTTACTATAAATTACCTTATTGTTTTTGTTATTTACACAAAATATTCAATAATCATGTTAGCTAAATTTTATAACAAATAATTTTATAATAGTTGTTTAACAATTAAACACCAAATAACATTATGAATGAAACAGATAGTGGATCTATATCGGGTTTATTAAATCATGTTCCTCTTATACATTAATTTATCATTAAAAATAATCTTTATTTTAAAAAAAGAAAAATTGGAATGTTTCAAAGATCATAATCAAATAACAATAACTTATTCATAATTCTTATTAAAGCAATGAAAATGATTAGTTCACAAGAAATATATATTTAATTGAAATAGTAGTACTTAGGAAAATATTTATATTTTGTTTAGTTTCATAAATAAAATATAAATTTTGCCTAAATGTGAATGTAAAACATCTGTCAACATGTGTTTAATTCATAATAGACAAGTGATTAATTTATAATCATGTATTGTAAGGACCATAACACACTTAGCTATTGGTAAATCATTTAATATTTTCAATTATGTTGAAATCTACTGGTAAATGAAAACCATATATTATATTTGTTCAATTACAGAATATTAACATCTAATGTAGATGGGTAATTTTATAACAATTTGTCAGTTGTTGCCGTGAAGCAATACCATACATTGTATGGCATGCTTATGAAATAATGGATATATTTTCCAAAAATAGTCTATATTACACAGCTAAAAGTAGCAACACTAGCATACTAAGTGCAACCTGTAGCCATTTAATTATGACTCGTTTTAGGACATTCTTTCATATAGTCATATAGTTAGGCTGTACAAATTTAGTCTTCTTATTTATTGTTATAACCTGTTAATTTTTCTACTGACAATTTTGCTCAGATTTAAAAGTATAACATTTTTTTTGAAATCATATCTTAGAGGTCATTTTTGGATTATCTCAACTGTTTCTATAATCAATGGAAAAATTAGAAAATGTACAAACAATTTTTGTTTAAATTCAGTATAAGTTTGTATAGAGAACTAATATGACTTTTTTTAGCCAGCGTGAATTGTCAAAACATTGTAACCATTTTTGACCTATTTATACATGTAAATTTTACGGGAGTTTTTGAATGTAAGTTTTGTTCAGTAGGTATCTGAGATTAAAATTATTAGACCAAACAGAAATGGTAGACAATATCACAGGAGATTCAATGTTAAGTTTCACTTAATGGTAAAAAAATGAATTATAGAACATTTTCTTTTTTTAAATAAGAATTTAATATAAAATATTGATTATAATATTTGTAAATATTACAAAGCTACACCATTAACCAAACTTTACCCAAATTATTTTTTGTTTATTTGTTACATATAAAAACCACACTATGTATCCTACTTTCAAACTTTTCAACTACGTCTCACCCTTCACCAATATCGCCTTTTATTTAAAATAAAATCTCTTTCAGATCAATCATATTATAGTTAAGTATTTAATTTTTGATACCTACCTTATATCAATAAATATGTTAATACGAACAAATTGTTGTCAGAAAATATACCATTGATTGCATTCAATAAAACAATTGATATTTAGAAATTGAATGTTTTATCTGAAATTAGTAAATAACAGTAATAGTAAATTCCAACAACATGAAATGATTATTATTATTGACGTTATTATTTTTAAAATGTAAATACTCAAATAAGTAATTTGTATAATGAAGACACCATGGTGTCACAAGGTTGCTCAAAAAAAAAAAAAAAAAATATATAATAAATAATTATTTTCATTACAACAATAGAAAATAGTACACACAGTTACAGAAATCTTGTTTATCAAATTTCAAATGATTACCTTATTATTTATTTACAAAAAAAAAAAAAAAAATCCTAATAATAGTTGGCGGACTTATAGACTTCTGCATTATTATAACTTAGTCTAGTTTTTCCAGCTACAAAATTAAACAAAGCTTGTTTTCGTCAATAAAAGAAGTATAAAAAAATTTAATTACTAAAATTGAGAGATTTAGTAAGGACGGTTTCTGTCACCTCTCCTGTCACTGTAATAATAAAAATAAAATTATTTAATAAAAATACATGAATAATTTTTAAATGTTAAAATATTCTTACTCTCGCATTGGTCCACCGCCACGTCCACCTCCACCACGGCCACCAGGTCCTCCTCTGCCACCACCAAAACCTCTGCTACCTCCACCAGGACCTCCACGTCCGCCCATACCAGGACCTCCACGACCACTGCCCATACCACCGCCACGTCCTCCACGCATGGGTGGTCCACCTCGTCCACCTCCCATACCACCTCCACGTCTGCCGCCACCACCATCCCCAAATCCTTCAGGCCTTGGATCATTGCATCTATTACAATGTTGCCGCCATGAAAAGTTTGTGTTGGCACAAGTTGGGTTCGAACATTTCCAGTCACCATCACGGCCACCTGAATCATTTCCGCCACCTCGGCCTCCACCACCACCTCTACCGCCACCGCCTCCCATACGATCATCTCTTCTACGATCTGGGGGTGGTCCACGGTCATCTCTACCGCCACCACGACCTCTACCCCCACCTCTTCCACCTGAAAAATTAAAAATCCAGTATTATGTTCACATTTCTATGGTAATATTTATTAATCTTACCTCTTGGTCCACCATAGAATCCACCGCCATCTGATGGATCATCAGATACAGGATCATCCATTTGGTAACCACCACCACTGCTATATCCTCCACGACCACCACCGCCCCCTCTACCAGTGTTACCACGGCCTCCACCAGTAGCACCACCACCACGACCTCCCTGCCAATTATCTCTCTTCGTGGCTAATTGGACAGCAATTGTAGATCCATTGAATGATTTTCCTAATTGATATTGAAAAATATTATCTTAATAACAAAAAACTTAATAATACATATATATATGTGTAAATATATCAATAGACAAACCGTTAAACCATGAGATAGCACTATTCGCGGAATGAGCATCATCATATGTTACTGTTGCTTCTCCTTTTGGTCTTCCAGTTGATTTATCGTTGTACATCCAAATTTTAGGCTTTCCAGTTTTTTTATCAGTCTGTAGTTAAATGTAATATATACAATAGACAAAATGAAGATGAATTAATGAATATTGGATTATGATTATCACCTTAATAATACCAATTGAACCAAAGTGTTGTTCAATATCGGCTTCGGATGTACTAGAAGACATACCAGAAACAAATATTGTGTCCTCTTGGACAATGAAGTCACCGCTACGATCATTAGGCGGTCCGCCACCTACACACACAAAAAAAATAATTAATAAATTACAACAAATAATAAAATAATAATCAAAAAATAGAAAAACCAAGACAATCAGATACTTCTGTAAACCATTAAAAAGTTTTTCAAATATTTGGATGTCTTATCCAATACAATATCAACTTTAATAAAAATGTGTAAACTATTCATTTTAAATCTTCAAAAATAAGAAAAGAAAGTACCTTCCTTGAGTTGCAAATAAAATAATAAGCAATTAGAGCAACATTTTTAGGGGGACTCAAAAAACAGAAAATATTCAAATTATTAAAACCATGGAACACTCGCTTAATTATATAAAAAAAAAAAAATAATAAAAAAAAATGTTTTAACTACTAATGAACAGAACTGCACCAAACAGTATGAGTGGCGTGCATTTTTGGGGCGCAGTCAAATATTAACCCATACACACTCTTTTATAAAAACCTATTTTACTTAATATTAATACAACTATAGATGTAACCTGTGAATAAAACAGTCATTACTGGTAATAATGATTCAACACTAACCCAATAGTGGTATTTATAAAAAAAATTAGTTCTATAACCATACTATGTACTTAATCATAGACACAATACCATAAACCAATCAATGATGTCTAATACCAAAAATCTAAGTGTCACAAAAATAAACCATTATGTATTTTCCTTTAGATACCAACTCATAAATTATACCAGCTCGATACAGAAACTTTTTGTTTTGTAAAACTATTAAGAAAAAATAAATGTATTTTCTTTTTTCAAAAAAAAAATATAAAAGAAACCTAATAATTCACACATTGTAAATAATGGTTCTTATTTCCATATTACACATAATAAAATACCAAGTCATCAATTTAGATCAGTAATGCATATAAAGTTGAACTGGTAAAAATATAACATAACATTCAATATCCAATGTTAAATATCTTTCATTTTAAAATTAATTTAAAAATGTAGGTACCTATATTAATTTATTTATACCTTTTTATTTTTTTAAAACAAATTATTATTTTTAATATTAAACTGCAAGTTATATATTAAGACTATACAAATTATTAAATTCAAAAAATATTAATTTATTTTGGTGGTAATTAAACTTTTAATGAATTATTTTTCTAAAATATTTATATTTAGACCTTTATCCTAAAAGTATAAGTCGTATCTTTCAATAACTACAATGAAAAAAAACACAATAGACATAAAATCCAAATTATTTTTCAAGCCCATTTGTTTTTATTTTATGTGTTTTTAAATATACTTTATTAATATAATAAACATGTATTTATAACTAGAATAATATATTGAAAAATAGTAGAGAAACTGTTAAACCAAAAGAAAATTTTGTTTAGTATCATATTATACTATTAAGTAAACACATTTACTATGTGTTATATTCATTTGTATATGACACATTAGACTCTTAGATAGACCCCTAAAAATTTAAATTTTATATTAAATAAATTGTGAAACTGCTGACCACTTTGCACGCCACTGAATTTAGAAAAGTGAATAAAATATTATAAATACCGTTTTCTAGTACATATAAATATGATGAAGAATTGCTAAATACAGGTTGGAAGAGTATTACCTTGACAAGACAACTAACTTATCTTGTTATCAGCATTTGAGGATTTATATATACTTATATAGTTAACAGACTTATTTGAGCGCCTATGAACCATTTACTTAAAATGTATATAAAGCACCACTTGATTTCGGTGCTATTTACCTTTGTTAAAACCACCCCTGCCGCCAGAGCTAGAACAAAATAAATCGCATACACAATCAAACACGATTACATTTATAATTTGACAATTAAATAAACAATTCATTCATAATTTAAGAAAATAAAATATAAAGAATTATAATGGGCACTTATGAAATTAAGTATGTATTATATATGTAGACATTTTGAAATATAACTATAAAAATAAAGGTATAAGAAAAAATTAAATATAAACTTAAAAAAAAAAAAATCTAAAATCCCCAATCGCTGAGTGATTTAAAAATTGTTTTATTCTAACTTATTATTAAATATATTGAAAAAAGTAAAATAGAAAAAAACAACAAAAATAATTAATAATATGTTAAATTGTATTTTAGTTGTAGGTATGTGTTTTCAATAAATTAATTATTTGTCCATAGTATTTAAAATCATAATACCATTTATATGTTTGTATAGCATATTATGACTAATTTTAAACGACACCTTACTTAAGCCAACAACGGGCACTTTAACTTAATTGAGAAATAACTAACTTACCTAATGGATAAATCTTAATTAATAATTGCCACAGATAAATTGTGCCAAATAAAATACACTAACCAATGTTAGTTGACTAGTGTATATTCAACTTAAAATTTAACTATTTAGTTCCATTATAATTTGACCAAATTAATATGGATTAGGGACTATAAATACTTATTTACAAATGTACTTTTACATTCCAAAAATAGCTATAAGCTAGTCTGAACTAAAAAATACACGCCAAGTCGGGCTCACGAAAAATTAGTTATGGTAATCATGATATTCCCGTAGAAATTTCACTAAATAACTATAAATTCACTTTTCCACAATATTTTCAAAATAAAAATATTATAAGCATTGCTGCACATGGGGTGGCAGTATAGAACAATAAAACACAACTAAAAACCTCAATATTTGATTTCTGCATTGGCCTACAGTGTTTACTTCTCATGACTCAGACTATAAATTAGTAATTAATATTATATACCAAGTTTCACTTTGGGAGAAATTTCCTATTATCAAAAATAAATATTTGTGATACAAATTAATAAATGATTTGATTTTATAAAAAAATGTAACATTTAATCTTTTTAGTTTTTATACAAATTTATAAAATATATATCTCAAAAAAGTACTTTTTACTAAGTTAAAATAAAATACTTCAAGTTAATTAAGAACTGTAATATTATTACCTAGTCATATCTGGAGATGAATCAGTTCTTAATCTAATATATTTTAAATTATATACAGACATTATATTATAATATACTCAATATTGTTTTAACCGTTCTTAGTCATGACTTTTACGTTTAAATTAAACTAGATACATAAATAATAATAATTATAATTCAACCACAAAAACATATTTATTCAAGTAGCTTTACTGTGAATTTAGATTTTCACATCAAATATCAATAATTATTTATTAGTCAGTTAGTATCCTAATAAAATATACTTAATGCATTATAGATTATAATTTATCCAATTAATAATAATAAACACAAAACATATACATAAATTATAAATAAAAGCAGAACAAATAGCATCTCCAATCTGATAAAAACCAAATTAAACCATCAGGCAAAAGAGTAGTGTCTAAATCAAAATTCACAAGTCAATTAAATTTTGATAAATATAAAACATACATTTTCCATTCAATAAATTTAAGTGGCGGACTTTAATATTCTATAAAAGCTCAAGTAGTATACCTACACCATACTTTTGTTTTTATTTATGAAATAATATATGAAAACACCGATTGTATATATTATATCATTGTCATAACAAATAACCAAAATACTCAAATTATATGTAGATATTACTCAAAGTTTTCAAAAGAACTGTAATTAATAATCAAAATTACTGAAGTCATTGAAATTTTAGTCAAAGTCAAACATTATTAACCATGATCAAGAATTTGTTAAATACATATGTCTAGTCACATAAACATAATTGGTTAAAAAAAAAAAATTATTAGAAGATTAACGTAACTAATTCCCCCCACGGGAATTTAGAAAAAAACTTGAACAATTAATTAGTATTATATGGAGATATTCCAAATTATTCTTTTATTAATGAATTTATAAATAAAAATATTTTTCAATTAATCGCAAAAAATAAAAATAAAAATATTAATTAGGAATTGATTTGTCTATTTTAATTTGGTAATTGATCTATTTCAACCTATTAACAAAATTAGGAACAAAGTGCTTCCTTATTAACATTAATGAAAGTTAATGTTGATATAGTGTTTAATTTATTAGAACCAAGGGTAACTCAAAAAAAAATATACACGAGCACCATACTGCAGTTAATTTTATTTCACACATGTAACCATCACTACTTAGTTAAAAGAAATATAACATATGCAATATTAGAAAAACATCATATACAAATAATTGAATACTTGAAGCAATCTGTCACACAGTATTAATTATTAAATGTGATTAGAATAATTTATTACATGTTTAAATTTACAAAATATAAAACACTTTAATAAAGTATGTGCTATACTTTTTAATATTATGTTTATAAATCGAAGTCTAAATATAAGCATATAAAAATACAAAACAAAATTGTATTATTTAATTTTGAATAAATATACTCATCAACAGACCAAAAATATAATACCATAATTTGATACATGTTTATTATTTCGTTATTTTTAAATGACCCAATAATTTTTAGTGATTAAAACACCTCAGAAGTTAAATAACTAAATAAAATGCAGGCCAAATACACATTTTTTAATAATATTATGCCACCTAAGGTTGATACAAATATGTATAAAAGAGCTGTCCTGGGATAATAGGGACAGGTGCAGCTCCTGTAGTAGATGGGATGTTGAGAAGATGGGATACAAAAGAGAATTGAATGTATAGCTGTAGGCAACAATAAAATCATACCTAATGAAAAAACAATTCTGAGCAGAATTCAGTTGATATCATGCTTTGTCAACAAATATATATATATATATATATGTATATTATGGCAAAATAATTAAATAGGTGTTATCTATTTGCTTTAATAATATTTGTTTAATATTGATCAGATTTTTCCTCAGTTTTGTCCTGGTTTTTCATATTTGATAAGAAAACTCCTAAGAAATCAAAAAATTACCCCCCATAAAGTACCTCCCCACAATCATTTTTTTTTTTTCAGAAAACATACTACACTTAAAAATCGGAGGAAGATTTTGGTAGAAAAGTTGAACAGATAAAACAAAAATAAACATTTTTGTAAAACTATAAGCGTCTTCGCTCCACTCAGAATCTAAAACCGCAAGATTCAGTGTTGTTGTATAAAAATAAATTTAGATAAATATGAGTGACTACAACTATACTGCCCTACTAAAAAAATAATAATATCAAATTCAATAAAATGATAATATCATATAACATGACATAAATTTTACATTTTACATCAAATTACAGCATGTTTTATTAGCAAGGCAGTATTATTACTTTTATAAGTACACAATTTAAACTATAGTTATTTTTCTCATTCAAAAATTATTGTTGCACAATAATATTATGCACACTTATAACGGATGTATCAAAATGATACTATAAAGAAAAATCAACTGGATTCTTTTGTTAATCGAGATAACAATTGAATGAATTATCACTAATTTAAATAATAGACAATGTTGTGTTTAATTTATTTACTATTTTTCTGCGATTGAACACATATGTAATTAATATATTTAAAAAATTAGTTTCATAAAACTAAAATAGTTACAAAATACCTCAGATATATTTTACCATAGATATTGATACATTTTTATCAAATGTATGAATCTTAAAATAATCTTCATCAGTTTTATTTTTACTAAAACTTAATTTTATGAGCTTATAATATAAAAATAATAAGATGCCTTTTTTTAATTATATCACCAATCATGCAGTAATATAATTTTAATTAATTTTCTTTTGGTATATCTATAATATAACCAACTAATTGGACCTCACATGAACACATACCCAATATAGTTGCAATGAAATACTGTATTTTATCTTGATACACAATAATAAGATTCCTTTTATTAAATAATAATAATAAAAATAAAAAAACCTAATATACTGTACTTACTCGTATCCACCACCGCCTCCACGATCTTGTCTGCCACCTTTGAAAAAAATATAACATTAGCATATATTATAGATAATAAAATGCCAAATAATCTTAGTTTGAAATGTATATTTTACCCACTTTTTTTAAATGTAGTATAAGTAATCTATCAAGGTATCTTTCTAATTTATAGAAGGTTAATGAGGCAGTATGGGTGATACATTTTCAAATTTGTAATACACACATTTAATACTCATTATAAAAAAAAAAAAAAAAAAAATCATTTTTAAAACTTAATGAATAAAATACTAAGATTCCAAAAAATAAAATAAATAAATAACTATAATAGATCTGCATACATAGGAATATGACTTTAATTTGACTTTACGTATAGATACTAAATGGATAGACCACTCCTATAACAACTGTAAGTGTGACGATGCTCCCGGAGTGGCAGTCAACTGATTGAGGTGATTTATCATTCATTACTATATAGATTAAACATATCACTTTATGAAACTTCAAGTAACTGTACCCGTTCCTCTTGAAATATTAATAAGGTATAACCTATCCTTGTCTTTATTATCTATAACTTTACCATGGTACAAGTATTTTGCGAGCATAAAATTAATATTTTGATAATGTACAAAAATAGAATATATTTAGTAAACCTTTTAAATACAAATATAAAATTTTTAATTACCTCCAAAACTACCGGGACCACCATATCCAGTTGATGGAGGACCACCATAACCATTGCCTCCACTTGAACCATTGAATGACCCTTGTTGGCTTCCTTGTCTAAAGTTTGGTGGAGGTTGTTCATAAGCAGGATATCCACCACCTATTTCATATAAAAAAAAATTAAATAAATCTTAATATTAAAGTTTTATATTTAGGAACCCAATTACTCTTTAATACTATCCATGGTAGAAAAACATAAAACTATGCATTTTTATAAATTATTTATTTAGTTTATACCTTGACCAGTAGCTGCTGGTGGAGGTGGAGGTTGATTCCATCCACCACCACTTCCTGGATAACCTTGCGGTTGCTGAGTTTGTGGTTGTGGTGCACCTGTCTGTTGATAACCGGGAGGTCCAGGAGGAGGAACGCCATATGCAGGATATCCACCATATCCACCGGCTACACCACCACCTCCACCTCCTCCATATTGACCAGTTGAGTATTCTATAATAACACATTCCAAGTTGATTAGTTCAGCTATCAGGGAAAAACATCTATACTCAAATGATATATTCAATTAAAATAGCCTATTAACATTTTACAAGTTTTCATTTTATGTTTAGATCAAGTAGAGTTATGGAGGATGGCAGATAAATATTAATGCATTATACAGGTCTGGCTCAAACAATAAATGATTCATACTTAAGCATTGAAAGTATACTATAAACCACAGATATCTTGATAAAAATCAAGTTTTACAAACACAAAAAAATCATAGTTAAAAAATTAGGCAACATAAACAATAAAATATAGTTTGTACGTTTAATAAAATCATTTTGGTGAACAAATGGAAAACAAATAAAATGACTAGGCGCCCAATTTTGATATAAAACAACAATAGGTAAGTGTGTTTAGGCGAAGCAATTTTGAGCAACCTAGTTGCTAGAGGCACAACCAGGAGTGTTTTGTGATACCTAACTTAAAACCTCCCTCAAATTTCAGATTTGTTTTATGAATACAATTAAATAATTTGAATAGCAAATTTAGATATTTCTTTGTAACACCTGACCGGATTATTTTTTGAAAATCATAGCTTAAACCCCTCTCCAATATAGGTACTATAGAACCTATATTATAATAGTAAAAATCGAAATTTAAAAAACACTCCATGGGCAATTGTGATTTAACCGCAGTACATAGAGATTGGAAAACAGTTTCAGATAATATTTCAAAGTCGAAATATCGTTATTAATATATAACGAACATTAGGCAACCCGACATAATTTTTGGTGGTCGAACTCAAAGAGTGCACCAAAGGGGTAAAAAACGTGCTAAAGGGCGATGCTAAAGAGGAAAAAAGCGCGTGCGAATACTTACGTGGATTAGCCATTACGGGCGTTTTCAAAGAAAACGAGATACGGATTTCTGCTGACGAACAGTTTCTGATGTCCGTGTGAACAATAATCAAATTTGACCAAACAAATTGACTACCGAAAACGGATTATGACTATTGACTATTTAATGGCGGACCGGAATCGTCTCGTTAGTCGGCTACTCGCCTGTCACGATAAAATGGTGGACGGACGGGACGAGGGGAGATGCCATCGGACTCGACCATTGGCTCAAAATGGCGTTTGTTTACAGCGTTGTGCGTTACGTACTTACGTTGACTAGCGATACTTGTGAACGACGGCGGCGTGCCGCAACGGACGCCGACGATCCAGGGTGTTCGTATCTATCGGCTGTACGGGAAATTTTGTTCCGTAATTCTAGGTACACTTTTCTACACAGTGACGTGATCAATGATTAGGGAATCATGACATTGTGTATCAACTGTCAGCTGTGAACAAAAATATTAACATTTATACATTCAAATGATACAATGATACGTGTTATCAATTATCAACAAATATCGAAAACTTCTGTTTGGCACAGTCAAATTTTCGCATTACGTCAATACTTTATATATATTCATTCATATTCTAATTGATATACAATTATACAAACGTCCTAAACCGACTTTTTTTGTTAGTCTTGGCAGACTAGAGACTTTCAATATGAAACACAAAGTTTGGTACGTAATATTATAACATCTACGTTATTATTTACGTTTCCAAATTATTTTTTTGAGCTAGGTACCAATTTTTTTTAACTAATTTTATTTATTTAAATTGATACAAACAGTAATTTCACTACATTAAACAATTTATCTAAATTTATTTGCAACTATTCTAACCATAGGTACAAAACTATATTAATTACTACCACTGATCAATAAGTAAATTTACTAAGGACAATATTTTGTGATTATGGAAATGTATGAACGTTTTATCTTCAATTTATACTTTATGTTTCATATTTGTCATAACAAAATGACAGTGGTCCGTATATCAATAAATAGTAAATGAAAGATATGCTTATCGACTAGTCTATATTTTTGCAAATGTTTATACCTACTTGTATAATATTATGTTTAGTCGAGTTAATATAAAATTATACACATAATATATTTTTAACTTTACTATATACCAAGGTTTATATTAATAAATTATCATTTAATTTTAGTATGGCTTCTGACTTTTTCTATCCTAATATGGGTGGTGTGGAAGAACATATATTCAATTTATCGCAATGTCTTTTAATGAAAGGATATAAAGTCATTGTTTTAACTCATTCATACAAAGATAGAGTTGGAATACGCTATATGACAAATGGATTAAAAGTATATCAACTCGTTAATATTTTATATGCATACAAATAATGAAATCATTTTTTTTTTCTTAGGTTTATTATTTGCCAATTAAACCATTTTATAACCAATGTGTTTTACCTTCAATGGTTTCTTCTTTACCATTGATTAGATATGTTCTATTAAGAGAACAAATAACTATAATACATGGTCATTCAGCATTTTCAACTTTAGCTCATGAAACAATGATGATTGGTCGTTTACTTGGCATCCAAGTAAAATAAATTTAAAAGTTGTACATACGTAACAAATACAACTAAACTCAAATTCTATTTTTAGACTGTATTTACAGACCATTCTCTTTTTGGATTTGCAGACACTTCAGCCATAATAACAAACAAATTTTTAGAAATGTCATTAGCCGATTGTAATCATTGTATTTGTGTATCACATATCGGGTATTATATTAATTCAACTTTATTAAATATAAATAACAATTTACAAATTATACTTTTCCAGTAAAGAAAACACTGTTTTACGAGCACGTGTCAATCATCATAGAGTATCAGTTATACCAAATGCTGTTGATACAACTGCATTTGTCCCTAAATTAGAATTAAGAACTAAAGATAAAAGTAATTATCTTCTTTATCAACAATTAAATATTGGGAAAAGTAATTTTATCATGTTTATTATTCTAATTACAGTTACAATTGTTGTGGTTAGTCGGTTAGTTTATAGAAAAGGTGTAGATTTATTAGCCCAGATTATTGCAGATGTTTGCCTAAGAAATCAAAAGGTTTGATTAATTTGAATACAAAAAACTGCTACCTGTAAATCATTTAATTAGTCAACTATTTTTAAAGGTTCAATTTATTATTGGAGGTGATGGTCCTAAGCGTGAATTATTAGAAGATATTCGCTCTAATTTAAATCTTGGTGAACAAGTAAACTTACTTGGTAGCTTAGAACATTCACAAGTATGCAATGTCCTTAATCGCGGACATATTTTTTTAAACACTTCTTTAACTGAAGCATATTGTATGGCAATTGTTGAAGCCGCTTCTTGTGGGTATGATTTAGCATTTAAATTTAAAATAAAAAAAAATGTATTGTTAGTAATTAAATAATGATTTCAAGATTAAAGATCGTAAGCACTAGAGTGGGTGGTATTCCAGAAGTATTGCCTCCAGAGCTTATAATTCTAACTGAACCTAATGTTCCATGTAAGATCATTTAATTAATTAATTCATTTATTCGTATAACAAGAAAATTTAATTAAATATTATAACATAATTCTTTTAAATCATTTTTTAAAAATGTTTTAGCAATCCTACAAGGATTATATAAAGCTATCAACCAAGTAAGCAGTGAACTTGGAGTACCGCCCATTGAATGCCATCAAAAAGTACAATCATTGTATAACTGGATGAATATTGCCAGAAGAACTGAAATTGTATATAATATGGTTTCCTTAGAACCACCAAAAAGTTTAGGGAAACAGTTACGCAGGTTAAAATACTTTCTAATAAATCAGAATTTATAAAATATTTTAATGTTTCAATATTTCATTTGTAGTTATATATCAACCGGAGTATATCCATTTTTATTGGTTGTTTCATTTATGCATATATTGTTAAAAATTTTGGATTGGTGGATTCCACGTTCAGTGAGTATTATTGATTTATAATCAATACTATGAACTTACATTATAATTATATCTGAAAAATATATTTTTAGGATATAGACCTGGCCAAAGATTATAAAGCTGAGAATTATCAAGTAAATTCTAATACTTCAGTTTCTGAAAACCAATAATATTTGAAAAATAATTTTCAATATTGTAAACGTTTCCATGTCACCTGATTTATGGATGGATTTAATTATTAAATATTCTTTTGAATTTTGTTAATATAAGTAAAAGATTTATAGCCGTTATGTCCTATAGACTATTTGTTATTGCTAACCATTGGTTGACTGCCAGAATTTTGACAATTTGTAAAATACAACTGCTGGTTAACGCTAACAAACAGGATTTTGTAAGAACGGTCCTTTACTTTAAATATAGATAAATCATTTATTTTAATCACAGTTTCAATGTGTCATTTTAAATAAATTCTTTATCCGTGAAATAATAAAAACTATAATCCACTTTGTCTGGTTGCACTATTGCAGCCATTGTGGCACAGGTGTAATATGTTATCTATGTGTGTTGGTGTATTACAATAATAAATAATAATAATATTATTGTGATTACAATTTATTGACCTTAAGGTGTACCAACACAGTAGACCGAAATCAATTTTCGTGTCGGTTTTTCGAGCGGTATAAATTAATGCTACTAAACCAATTATTTTAGAAATTAATGATACACAGATAAATGAAAATTATATCTCTACCTACTTATATAATTAGTATAATATAAGTCCGAAAAAATGTCTATTTTAGACGTGTATTTCACACGTCACAAGGCGATGATAATAAAAATAATCTGAGCAAATTCGATCACAACTTGAAAACCCGCTGAACGTAATATTAACACAAACACGCACTAACACTAGCATATAAAAAAAAGTGGTATGTGTATATATGCGTCCTTGTTGGGTCAGTTAATCGCCCCCACTTATGACAACGGTCTGGAATGCGAACCTGCGTCCTGTCCTGCGGCGGAGGCCGGAGAGTATCAGGCTGCCACCAGCTACAAAGGAGATCCTTACACCCTCCGACTGTAGTGAAAAAATATTTAAATATTAAAAACCTCCCGAACGCCATTTTGTGCGTAGGTACGCGATCGACTGTCTAGTTTTTTTGTATGTGGATATTGTGTTGACATCGGTTCTTTCGTGTATTTTTGCGTTTTTCATTCAGTATTTGTATCCGAAAATCTATCATATAACTGACAAGTGAGATGTGCCACACTTGTATCATTAAATAAAAACAACTACCTTCCAACGGTGTTCTTGTAATATTGGTGTCATACGAGATATAGTACAAAGACGGAATATATACATATATTGTTGTAGATCTGTGCACTTGTCGCGTCCATTTTGACTTGACCCTAGAACGGTTTATACGAAACACTCAGATCACTTTAAAGACAGCGGTCTGTGTTGCGTTTAATCATTGTAAATACATTCAACCATGAGCTACCAACCCAGAGGAAGTATGTATTAATTGTGTTCTCTAATACTATCTATTTACTAATATGTTTCACTAATTTAGTGACTGGTAATATGGTCAATCCAATAAATGAGCCCATGGACATCAAAGATCCATCATTGGTATGGCAACAAGGTGGTCAATATTTACCAGATTCTGGAATACAGTCTGGAGGTAGTACTCAGACACATTCTATTACAACCAAAGAAGATGACATGGAGAGGGACAGACTTCTTTTTGACCTCGATCAAGGATTTCCTCAATCTTTTCCTCATGATCAAGTGGAAGGTATTAAATTAAATAACCTGTTATAGGTATTAACCCTAAACAATTTGTTTACATTTGAATAACTAACTTATTGTTAAGTCTTCCACTAATTTAATGTCTAATCTGCTTTTAGCGGAAAGGGATACTCCCACCTAACCCTATACCCAACCTAACCTTTCAGACAAACATTTTTCTTTAAAAATTAAAAAACCGGACAAAACTATGGAAATTATGTTTGACAGATTTTAATTTTTGAAACAGTATAATTCTTTAATTTATTTACTAGAATACGTTTAAAATATTATTTTAGTTTTCATTATCTTTATGGTAAGCAAATGTAATTATAATTAATTAAAATACATTTTTGAAATTCTTTTCAATAATACTATCAAATTTTGTATATGATTCCCAGTAAAATAATTTAATTTTTATTTCCAATATATCCCAGTAAAGAACCTGAAGATTAATAATAATCTGTTTTTGAAATTGAAATACATCAAATAAAATTATTACAGTTTTATCTGTCTCTTTTTCTCAATTGACTAAAATATACACTGTCACCCTTAACTGGTATTATCACGTTCAGTAAGACTCACATTTTGTTCTCAAATTTTCTATTTTAGATCACGACTATCATTGCAAAATGCATTATATTCAATCACTTGGCTTTCAATAACAAAATATATCTTTCATTATAAATAACTAATACACGTTTTAATTTACAAAAGTTAAAATTAATTTAATTTTCAAATCATTAATCACCCAATAAAACCACTAACACAAATAATAATATAAGTAATATTTGCAGGTATGAACCAACATTTAAGCCAGACTTGTGGTGAAAATTTGGAAGATGAGGTTGAAATGCCTGCTCAGTTTAATGTCAATAGTACAGCAAATGTGCAGAATATGACTGGGCCAAGTCAAATGTTGAAATATGCTGTTGTAAATTTGATAAATTATCAAGATAATGCTGAACTTGCTACCTGGGCTATTCCAGAATTAATTAAGTTATTGAACGATGAAGATCAAGTTGTTGTATCACAAGCTGCTGTCATGGTATATCAGCTATCAAACAGAGAAGCTGCTTTGCATGCGATTATAAACAGTCCTCAAGTACATCATATCATACCATATTAACCTTAAAATTATCAATTTAAATATATAAATAAATAAATAAAAGAATGTGTCACTTGGTGTATTATCTGATTTTACCTGACAATGAATTTTTAATTCAAACCAGTCGTATAATACACATATCATAATACTCCAGGCAACACATTTATTTATATATTTATTTACGAGTATTAACTATTTAATAATTTCATTTTTACTTTACTATTTTACCATCAATTTAAAATATTTCTTCATTTTATAGATGATCGCTACCCTAGTAAAATCTATTTCGAACAGCAATGATCTTGAAACTACAATTGGTGCTGTTGGAACATTAAGAAATTTATCTAATCACCGCCAGGGGCTATTAGCAATTTTCAAAAGTGGAGGAATACCAGCTCTTGTGAAATTAATGAGGTTATTTTGAACACTATAATAATGAATATGTAACAATATATAATAAGTCAACATTTGTTTTATTTATTTATTTTTTTACGAGTATAAACCATTTAATAATTTTGTTTTTACTTTATTTTAGTTTAATTTGTTAAATAATTTTAACTTTTTTTATATCCAGTTCTCCAGTGGTATCCATTTTACGAGATGCTGTGATAACTATTCATAATCTATTGCTGCATCAAGATGGTTCTAAAATGGCTGTACGTGTTTCTGGTGGTTTGCAAAAAATGATATCTTTATTAACATTCAAGTCAAATAGTCATTCAATCACTGTTAAGTTTTTAACAATTATCACTGATTGTCTACACATATTAGCTTGTGGAAATCAGGAAAGCAAATTAATAATATTGGCCGCCCAAGGACATGTTGAGCTTGTGCGTATCATGCGTTCATATAATTATGAAAAATTATTGTGGCTTACTTGTCGAGTTCTTAAAGGTATATAATATTGTAACACAATTATTTCATATTTTATTTCTTTTCGTTATATATTTATAGTTCTGTCAGTATGTTCACGAAACAAACCAGCTATAGTTGAAGCAGGTGGAATGCAAGCTTTAGCAATGCATCTTCAACATGATAGTCAACAACTGGTGTATAATGTTTTATGGACTTTACGAAATTTATCAGATGCTGGAACAAAGGTAAAGAATAAAAAATATGTTTGAGGTTAATAATAATTAAAAATAAATTAAATTTAGATTAATACTCAAATATTAATAGATCATTGTGTTTTGCATGTAAACCTATTCATATTTATATTTATTTTTTTAAATTTGATGAAAAATACTAATAAATTAATCCTGCATTTATAGCAAGATGTATAATAATATAATCAAGTGATATGTATAAACATTACATTGTTTTAGTTTTAAAAGTAGAGTCCTTATTTTTTTAATATAATATTTATCTATTGATAAAGTAACATTAATTTAAAAACAAATATTATTATTGAAAGATTTAAAAGAAGCGCTATTATTTTTCAAGATACTGACCTCCGCTGCATTGTAAGAGTAATTCCAAAAATAATAATGAGTAGTATGAAAATAAAAAAAATTATTTTTATATTTTTTCTTCCAGATAATATTAACCTAGTTTCTTGAATAAATTAATAGTGTAAAATTACCATACCGCTAGTTATCTCGTTCCCTGACAATAATACTTCTAAAATTAATTGATTTTTTTATTATTTGTTAAAATATAAATTTAAGTATTCCATTTTATTTTAAAATTAGTATGTACTTATGTACTTAAATTTATACTAATCTACAGTTTAATTGTGATTTTACTGGAATTTCGCACAATTCAGTTAAAAAATGAGGCATCTCACTGTCTACTTTTTATTTCTAAAAGGTAGACTTTCACTTGATTTTTGGTTTATAATGTGATATTTAATGTTTTTTTTTTTTTTTTGTCAATTTATGGGTTATCTTGGTGACTCATATTTTTTTTTCAAACTCTTATTTTATTTGTTGTCAGTAGGAAAGTCCCATGTTTAAAGAGATTAGGAAGATAAAAGATTCTTCAATCTTTTACAGTCCTCGTAGGATCACCGCTGCCTTAATTACACTTCTCTATCTGTCTAAACTCCTCTATTGTTATTGGCTAGGTACATTTGACCATCTTTTATTTTGATAAATAAAAAATTTAGTTCAACAATTTATTGAATTATTACGATTAATTTACCATACATTTAATTTTTACTATTTTGGTGGTTTGAGTGACTATTTTTATTGTGAATTGGTGTATTAAAATATAAATTAATAATTAGGCAAAGTTAAAAGACTGCTATTTTTTTGCAGTTCATAAATTAATAATTTTAAAAGTGTATGTGCCAGTTCTATATTTTTATTTTGAGTGAAATCATATTAAATTAAGAAATGCACTTAAGATATAAAAAATTGTATTTAAAAATTACTTATATTTTAGGTTGATGGACTGGAACATTTGTTGCAGTCCTTAGTAGGTGCTTTGAGTCATTCAAATATAAATGTTGTAACTTGTGCTGCGGGAATTTTATCAAATTTGACATGTAATAATCAAAGAAATAAGTTAACTGTATGTCAATTTGGAGGTGTAGAAGCTCTTGTTCGTGCAATCATGAGTGCTGGAGAAAATGAAGAGATAACTAAACCCGCTGTAAACTACTAATGTTTTACTGTTTTAAATTATTTAAGTAATTTAACTAAAATTGTATATAATCTATTTAAGGTTTGTGCCTTAAGACATATAACATCAGGACATGCTGAAGTTGAAAATGCTCAAAATGCAATGTGTCGATCCGGTGGGATTCAAGTTGTGGCCAAATTATTGCAACCATCATCTCATTGGCCTCTTATTAAAGCTGTAATTGGTCTAATAAAAAATGTAGCTCAATGTAAAGCAACTCATGGACTTCTTCGTGAACATAGTGCCATACACAGTTTAGTGGGACTTTTAATGCGTGCTTTCCAAGATCTTCAAAATGTGATTATTTGATTAATTTATTATTTATTAAAAATAGTCAAAACTTAATATAATGTAATAAAATTTATTTGTATAGCATTCAAATACTAGTGTTAAACCAGAAGGAGTTAGAATGGAAGAAGTTATCGAATGTGTTTTAGGTACTTTACACATATTAGCTAAAGAATCACTAAGTCGACCAATCATGCGTTCTCAACAAGGATTTATGTCAATATTAATACAGTTGTTGTTTAACAACTTTGAAAATATTCAACGTTTGGCGGCCGATACATTAAATGAATTAGCAGCTGATAAAGAAGGGGCTGATATGATTGAAGCTGAAGGTGGAACTGCATCACTTACTGAATTATTACATTGTGGAAATGAGGCTCTAGGTTAGGATTTTTTTTTTCAATCTTCACAATACAGTGTGTCCCACTATGTTTGGCGGATTTTTCTAGCGCTTTTAATATTATATATTTTTTTTTTCAATCTGTTTGTCTTCCACGGAAACATTGATTTGGAGAAAAGTTAAATTTTTATTTTCATCCTCCTAAACACAAAAAAAAATTACTTTTTATTTATTTACTTTAGGAAATATTCAAAATAATTATTTTGTTAAAAATATTATTCTTAAAATTTTAATATATCACACATTCATATTCGATGAATAATTCTTAGTTATAGCCGTTAATTAGGTGTGAGAACAATTAATATTCAATAAAATAACACATTGTGCAATAAGAAATTACAATCTGCATTTCTTTACTTTCTATTAAATATCAATTGATTTCATGCCTATTTTATAGAAATTCAAACTGCTATAATTAAGAAATTATTAATCTGATATGAATGTATGATACATTAATATTTTAAACATTTTCTTAAGTGAAAAAAATAAAACAGTTTTTTTTTTTTTTTTTTTTTTTTTTATTGTCTTTAGGGGATAACAATAAAAATATAATTTTTCTCCAAATTGATGTCTTCTTTAAAGACAAACCGATTGGAAAAAAAAATTTTAAAAAATTTAATATTAACAGCGCAAGAAAAATCCATTAAATACAGTGGGACACATTGTATAAGTATATTTATTTTTGTTTTTTATGAATCATTTAAAATGTCTTAACATTATTTCCAATGTTTTACTACTATTAATATTATGACTGACCAAAATTATTTTATGTCAGATTGCAAATAGTGTAAATTTGTATATTACTTAATTTATTTACTATTTGTTTATTTTAATGGTTATTATTTTGGAAGTGTAAATGAACTCAATGATTTAAATTAAATTAATTAAATTTATTTAGCTACATGTGCAGCTGCAGTACTATCAAGGGTTTCTGAACATAAGTTACAAAAATGTCTTTCAATGGAACTGAGTAACTCATTATTCAGTGAAGATCAAAATTTATGGCCATCAGGTGATCTTGGTATAGCACCAGACCTGCAGGTATATATTTTTAAAATCTTTATATTTTATTTGTGTGCGGAAATTTGATAAAACATTTGATATGTACATCTGCATAGTTTTTTTTTATGGTCACCGGTTTGGTAAGTTAAGTAATTTGATTAGGTGTTTGTTAATCATTTTTCAAGCAAGTTTTTATTATATTATATCCTGCACTTTATTTTATATTTTATTATTAATACATCCATACTATAGATTGTTATTAATAGTTTTTATTTTTTTATATTATAGTACATAGGTTTAAAGTAGTATTTTTATGTTTTTAGTTAGGCATTATAAATATTAGAAAAATTGCACACCTGTACATTGTTTGAGCTTTTGTGTGTTTTTTCACTCAACAGGACATGATAGGTGCAAACGAGTATGATTTATATGGTCAAGGATTGAGCACTGTCTACAGTGGTGTAGGGTCACCAAAACACAGTGCTTCAGGTACACTTTAAATACATAAATGATTGCTTGAATAAATTTTTACAGTAGGTTATATTACCTTGCTTAATTCATTAATTTGGTCGCTATGCTTGGGATTTTGGTAAGTTATAATACTCACAAACTAAAATTATTAATAGTTATTATTTAATTTATATATATAGTTGTACTAATATTTCTTAAAAAAGTATTCAAATAACAATAACTAACATAATAATATTTAATAAATATACATTATTATTGAACTACAAAACCTTCCTTATTAAATTCTATAGCTTAACATTTTTGTCTAAATAATTATTTTAATTTAATATGATTGTATAACTGATAAATTAACATAACTTATGATAGATAATTTAAAATTAATCCTACATTTTATTATTATGTGTTAACTAACTACTGATATTAAAATTATATAGAACAATTTAATAGATTTAAAAGAAAATATTTGTTAATTTTTCAGGGTATGACACGCTACCCTTAAACTCAATGGAAGGATTAGAAATTTGTCCTCAACATGATTCCAGTTATGGCTCAATGGATGTTGATTTCGGTCTTCAAAATGATTTGACTTCCTTACCACTCGAACTATAAAATGTGCAGCATTTATTTGAAATGCAATTTTTATTTATTAATTATTTGAAACACTGATTTATGTTATGTATGTAGTTTTTATTATAATTTGTGTATGCCATAAGCCTATAAGTTAAGAAATGTAAAAGATATGGTTAAATTGTATAACTCCATTTTACAGATGGTTGTAATTAAATTATTTAAGTTTAAATCAATTACTGACTGTTTATTATATAATTATTAAATCGAAACAATAGTTAGATAAAAGTATTTAGTGTAACATGGAATCAACTTTTTGTATGTTAGTGTTTTATTTACCTATAAGACTTATATTTGACATAATTTTAGATACTGATCAAAGCAAGAAATTTATTAGTTTGATTATATTTTTATTTTTATTTTTTTTTTTTGTTTGTAAACAAAACATTTTTGAACAAAAATCATGACTTCAACAAGATATCCAGATGGTTTCTTGTAGATGAATTTTTTGAAGTTGGGAATTGGTGCATTGGTAACTCATGTTTTGATTTTTTTACTTATCTTAATAATGGGAAAAACAATATTTATTCTTTACACAATAATAGTTTCTATTAAATAAAATTTATCTTTTTGTAATTCAGTGGAATATAATTGTTTAAATCTAATTATTAGTAATTACAATACAATTTAAAAAATAATCTTTTTTTTTCTGTGTAGATTTTTGACCCATAAACATTGAAAAATTTGGTGTAAAAATCCTTTTAAATTTTGCTATTACAAAATAATACAATTTTCAACAGTTGCCTTCTTGAGGGATCCTTTTTGAGGGATTTAGAGTAAACAATTTTCTGTAATGGACTGGATTTTGTTTTTTATTCATAAATACTATATATATTATACAATTTGACATTTTATGAATGAAATGCTTTAATCGATTAATAATTCTACATAATCTTATGCATATATATATATAATAGTATTGATTTTATCTTAGCGCTGTAATAAATATTTTAAAACATATTCCAATAGCTTTGGTTTTATTTTTAAGTTTAACATAATAGATAAAAAAAATAATACTGTTAAGGACCAATTTTAATGAAATGATCTATTATAATTTGTATTAATGTACAATATAGTTGTAATTTAATATAATGTGAGAGTACATTTTAGATTCTTAACGCAGTAAGGTATGTAATGGTTTTACTATGATGTGTAATTTTAATTTTTTCTATCTAAGCAACTTTTGTTCTGATATTAAAGTGTGGCATCATTTCTGAAATTAAATTGTATCTATTTGGAACTTGGGGAGTAATTTTTTGAATTTCCATGGAGTTTTCATGAAAAATTAAGAAAAAAATAATATATATTGACAGTAAAAGTTATTATTTTACATTTGGTTGTCTACCAGAAATATTGATCCGAATTAATAAGTGTAAGTAGTTTATTTTAGAACAGTGGGAGTCAGTTTTTAATTTTACTTTTACTTTCTTGATTTTTCAGTTGTTATTTTATATATTACCAACATTAATTTTGTGTAGTATTAATGATGAACATTTTACATGTAAGCATGTTTTTAAAGTAATAATAACATAATTTCACTTAGGCACCTACCTACTTTCTTTCAGTTTATAATAATTTATAAATTATTAATTTATACCATAATATTTAATATGATATTCAGTTGTATTTGATAGAAAAATAGAATCTTAACTGTAATGTATAGGTAGATTAAAAAGGACTAGAATTTGTATTATTTGTATGTATTTTAATGGGAAAATCACTAAAATTATGGACATTTTCTATTTTTTTCATTGTAAAAGTGTATTTAAAATGATACACCTATGAATATAAATTATGCTATATTAGTATTGGGGCACTCTGTTGTCTTTCACCAAAATAAAGATGGAGAAGAGTACTTTAAGACAGTGTGGTTGGCTAAGAACTTTTCGACCCGGAACATCCCTTTTTACGGCTCAGTGTAAATAATAGGAAGTAACACTTTTAAATACCACCATTTTCGTGCCGATATATTCCGGAGCACATTGAATCCGAAGCTTGGTATCAAAATAACGTACAAGAGCCCCTCTTTAAGTTCCCAAAATATCTAAGGGAACTCGGACACTGATTGGGAGAAACGACGCACTAAATTTTCAAATTTCGGTCAAGTGTTATGTCCTGAACTGCTCAGAACCGTACGTAGTTATCTATAATTTATTGTTGCGTAGAATTCACAGGTCTATGGTTTATGATGAAAATTAAACCTATCCAGATCACTACCTTATGTAATAAGAATTTCTTGTTTTCCTATGACCTTTCCTACCTTCGCACTATAGAGTCATTAATTAAATCACGAATTAAACATACTTTAATGTATTATCTATAATGATAGAGTGCTTCGGATACCATTACCATATAGACTATAGAGTTATAACCATGACAAATATTCTCAAACATCCCAAAGAATCAACACATTTTGAAAACGGGAATAAATCTAAAATATCATTCGGGTCTTTTATTTGAAGTTAGTAGTATGGTCACACTGATAGTTATCTTTTTTCTATGGAATTATAATCATAGTAATCCCTTACCAAGATTATGACTATACGTTGAAAGAATTCATAATATTGTTATCGACCGTGGTACCTACTTTTATAGGAACTCTTACAGAAAAAGTATTCCCATGACCCCACCACTTATGATTTCCAATCGTTGTCATTGTTTTATTTTGATTGTGCAATATTATTTATTTCACTATTTGAGTTTCATTAGTCATTACATAGTGGTGATTTGTGATTCAAATGTATAAAAAGTTTAGTTGTTGGTTCTGAGTTTTTCTGGTAATATTTTTACTGTTCATCTTTCGATTTATACGTTGTATTCCATTATTTGGATATTATGCTGGTGTGATATTTTATTTGTATTTACAGTATTACAATATAATAAAAGGTAAGCTTCACGTTGCATTTTGGTTTCACAGTTAAATTACCAAAATAATCAATAGTTTGTAATTTGCATCCTTTACATTAATATTTTTATATTATAGTTATATTTAAAATATGTCTACATCAATTAAACAAATGTCTATTTCTCGAAATATATAATAAGTGTTAGTACCAAAGTGAAAATCTCGTCATTACATATTTGGGAAAAAAATGACTAAACATTATGAGTCATAGGGATATTTAATAATGACAAGAATAAACTTCATCATCACAAGTTAACTTTTATATGCATTCTTATAAATAATTAATTTTGTTTGATATTGTGTTGCAGCTGTGTTAAAAAATGTATCAACAAAGAGTGTGTAAGTAGAATATAAAAATTAATTATTTTAAATATTTTTGTTTTATATGGTATTTTAATTTAGTGCTGAAGAATACTGGTTATTCAAAGGATACAACCATGATGTGGCAACCGGGTACACAATATTTGCCTGAATCTGGTATCCATTCTGGTGGTACTACACAAGCTCATTCTATTACCGATAAAGAAGATGATCTAGAACGAGAACAATTAATTTATGAACTTAATCAAGGTTTTTCACATGGATTTACTCAGGATCAAGTTGATGGTAAGCACTTATAATTAAAATTAAAATGTTGATTAATTGAATTTTAATTTCAGAAATGAATCAACAATTAAGTCAGTCACGTACCCAAAGGGTACGAGCAGCGATGTTTCCTGAGACACTTGAAGAAGGTATTGAGATTCCTTCTACACAATTTAATCAAGGACAGTTAACAGCTGTCCAGCGGTTAGCAGAGCCAAGTCAAATGCTTAAACATGCTGTAGTTAATTTAATAAATTATCAGGTAAATTAATAGAAATTTTATGTGTACACAATATAATTATAATTTTTTCATTATAAAAGGACGATGCTGATTTAGCTACTAGAGCTATACCAGAACTGATTAAATTATTGAATGATGAAGATCAAGTTGTTGTATCACAAGCTGCCATGATGGTTCATCAATTATCTAAAAAAGAGGCTTCAAGGCATGCAATCATGAATAGTCCTCAAGTAAATATAGTGTTTAATTTTATCAAATTGTATTAGTTTTTGTACTGAATTTATACGAGTAGATGGTCGCAGCATTAGTAAAAGCATTGTCAAATAGTAATGATTTAGAAATGACAAAAGGTGCAGTTGGTACTTTACACAATTTATCACACCACCGACAAGGTCTTTTAGCAATATTCAAAAGTGGAGGAATACCAGCTCTTGTTAAATTACTTAGGTATCTATCTAGTTCAAAATAACAGTAGTGTTTAATTTAATAATATTAATTTTGTTTTATTTTTAGTTCTCCAGTTGAATCTATTTTGTACTATGCTATAACAACATTACATAATCTGTTACTTCATCAAGAGGGTTCAAAGATGGCAGTACGTCTTGCTGGAGGTCTACAAAAAATGGTAGCACTTTTACAGCGTAACAATGTCAAATTTTTGACAATCATTACTGATTGCTTACAAATATTAGCATACGGTAATCAAGAGAGTAAACTAATTATACTTGCTTCTCAAGGACCCATTGAACTTGTGCGTATTATGCGTTCATATGATTATGAGAAGCTATTATGGACAACATCTAGAGTTTTAAAAGGTTTTAATTTAATATTATAATAATATTTTGTTATTGTTTTAAATCAGATTAACCATTTATCATTTTTAGTTTTATCGGTGTGTTCAAGTAATAAACCGGCAATTGTTGAAGCTGGTGGTATGCAAGCTTTGGCAATGCATTTACAACATGGCAGTCAACGTTTAGTACAAAATGCTTTATGGACGTTACGTAATTTGTCTGATGCTGGAACTAAAGTATTTATTATTGCCTATTATAAATTAGTTCATATGAATTTTATAATAAACACTTTTAACTTAGAGTTGTACATAAATTAAATCTAAGTTTGTTAATTAATTTCTTTTTGTAATTTTAAGGTTGATGGTTTAGAACAGCTATTGCAATCATTGGTAATCGCATTGAACCATTCAGATGTAAATGTAGTAACTTGTGCCGCTGGTATATTATCAAATTTGACTTGTAATAATCAACGTAATAAAGTCACTGTAGTTCAAGTGGGTGGTGTTGAAGCATTAGTACAAACCATTATGAATGCTGGAGACAGGGAAGAAATAACTGAACCTGCTGTAAATTTTGATAAAAATATATAATTTTGTTTTAAAATGTGAAAGTTTTAAATTATATTTTAGGTCTGTGCTTTAAGACACTTAACATCTAGACACGTTGAATCGGATAGTGCACAAAATGCTGTACGCCATATCGGGGGTATTCAAGTTATAGTGAAATTGTTACAACCTCCTTCTCGTTGGCCTCTCGTTAAAGCAGCTATTGGACTAATTCGAAATGTAGCTCAGTGTCAGGGTAACCACGTGCCATTAAGAGAACACGGTGCAATACACCATCTGATACGTTTACTAATGAGAGCATTTCAAGATATCCAGAGAGTATGTAATATTGTTATATTTTAATCTGATATAATATTTGTTCATTATTATTTTATAGACATCTACAAATAGTAGTGTAGCAGGATCATCTGGTAGATCACAATCTGGTGGTGTTTATGCAGATGGTGTGCGTATGGAAGAAATTGTTGAAGGTACTACTGGTGCATTGCATATTCTTGCACGAGAATCACACAATCGAGTACTTATGCGTTCCCAACAAGGACTAATTGCTGTATTAGTTCAGTTGTTATTCAACGATATTGAAAATGTTCAACGGGTCGCTGCTGGTGCTCTATGCGAGTTGGCTGTTGATAAAGATGGTGCAGATATGATTGAATCCGAAGGTGCTACAGCACCATTAACTGAATTATTACATTCCCGCAATGAAGGAGTTGGTAAGTGTAAAATGTCAACTTTTGTTACATAAAATTAATGCCATTCGGCTTTTTATAAAAGTAAAATATAAGAAAAAAAAAAAATGTGTAGGTAATTAATCACATCAGGCCTGTATGAGGGCTAGATAGATAATTCCAGTAGGCATATGGTATTGTTTATGTAGGATGAAGGAATTTACCTTATAGTTGACAATACCATACACCCTGGAAGGTATAATAATACTCTTACAGTATCTACCTGTTGTAAAAGACGCCAAATAGTGTTGCATCAGATAAATAGCTGATGTAAAATTCTGTCAGTAAATAACAGTATAACGCATTCTAAACAAGACTTTGCAAATTGTCACATCTCAGATTTGAGTAGGGACGACAAGTGGGAAAAGTTAACATGGTGCATGTTTGCTGTTGATATAGCTTTCATAAAAGAAAATCTGGATGAAGTTAACAATAAATTTGAGAAATAGAAAGTAGCACTTCAAGGAAAAGAACTAATAATAAATAGAAGTAAAAAATAATTTATAAAATATGAGTATAGAGTAACAAGATGAAACAGTTAACAACAATAAGCTGTGATGTAATAGGTGAGATTGAGGATTTTAAATAGGTACATACCAAGGATCTTGTGTAAAAAAGAATGGTATCTGACAAGAATATGAACCATAGAATTAAGTGTGATTGAATAAAGTAGAGAGAAGCATTAGGTATTTTATGTAACAAGATAATTTCAATGTGAATTAAAGGTAAGTTTGAAGTGTTAAATGGTTGGCAAAAAATCTTTATCTAATTAAATTATATTATTAAAACGTGAATAGATTTTTTTTCGGACAGCTATATTTGAAGTTCAGTATTTTGATGAGCCATTTATTGAGAAAAAATTTTAAAAATTGATTAACTAGCTAAAGATTTATTAGAAATATGTAAGTACATTGTGTTCATTATTTAAAATTTTTACTTAAAAAATAAAAACTCAAAAGTTATTTGTTGTTTTAGACTTTGCTATTTTTAGTCCACGTTCTATAATCGTGCCAAAGGCCTAATTTTAAAAAAAAAATAATACCCATAAATAATATAAATAAATTGTATAATTATTTATTATGAGATAATATCATTGACATTAAACCATAGACGTATAAACTTAATATGTCTATTCATTAAACTTATAGATCATTATACCCCAACGTCATTGATAGATGACAGTACTAGTATATTAGAGTTCCCTATTTGGTCAATAAAAGCACGGATGATTACGTGTTCATCTAATCAAGTTGCATAGGGCTGCTTATAATTGTCATTGTGTTATCTTATACTACCTATTATATACAATAATATACCTACTATCTAAGTAGTACATTTCTGGTATTTTTAAACAAAAATGTGTTCAGATAAATAGTTTAACAAAGTATTTGAATAATTAGAAATTTTTATTTGTTTTATTCAATATAAGTTTAGTAACAGGAGCATAAATTCTGGGAAACTTTTCATGGGGGCTGTTAACTTTAAATTTCTGGTGCTCCTAAAATCACAATATTTAAAAACATGTTTAACTTAACTTTGCTCAAAATCATATATATTATTGTGTACAGATATAAATTAAATAATTGTATGTATCCTATCTTCCCAACTTTCAAATTTACAACAGTGGTACACACATAAGCATTATAATTTTGTTTTTTATATCATTTTGTTTTTTTTTTTTTTTGTGTGTGTATAGCTACATACGCAGCAGCAGTTTTATTCAGAATGTCAGAAGATAAACCAAATGATTATAAAAAACGATTATCAGCTGAGCTGAGTAATTCACTTTGCAGAGAAGATCAAAATACATGGCCACCAAATGATCTTGGAATGGCACCCGATCTTCAGGTAATTAAAACTTACATAACTTAATCCTAAGTCTGATTTAATGTGAAATGTTTCTAATAGCCAGAGGCATACATCAATTGTTAAGGTATGTTTTGAAACAAACATTCAATTGTAATTTTGCTTTTTTATCTGATTTATGCATTATTATATCATTTTGTATGAACATACATTGTATTTGTACACTTAGAATTTGCATGAGATTTTTATTGTTTTTATTATAATTATTATTACTATATTTTGTTCAGTAGTTAGACTATCTTATATTTTTTAAACAGGACACATATGATCTGTATGGCCATGGTCTTGGTAGTATACACAACGGAATTGGCTCAATGCGACACAACAATTATCACCAACAGTCAGGTATACAAGTCTTATAAACCTAGTTTTTGACTTTGCTTTACTGTTTTAATTGTTTTACGCTTATTTTGCATGCAATTTTCCACTAACAGTAAGTAACTCAATTTTTTATTAAAATATTTAAAAAAAAATGTGTTGGTATATTTTTTAGTATTTTTTCCATAATACTCATCACTTATGTTGTTCTATAACTTCATTAAATTCTAAGTTAACTCCCATCAGTAAGTTCCTATGAAAATACAAATAAATCCTAAAATATTTAACTCTTAATTATACAAATGTAAATAGTTTATATTTTTATTGTGAGTATGCATTGTTTCAATCAAATATTTAAATTGGAAATTATCTTTTGATTATCATTTCAACCTTCATATTTTTAATGCATTACATTGTGTATCCTTATACACTTTTAAATGTTTTAAGTAATAATTGAACATATATTAACCAAAGCAACATAATATTAATAATTTATCTTGATCTTTAATGATAGATTAATTGAACTAAATGACTAAATTGACTAAATGAATATGTTATTACTAATTGATTATTTTTCAGAAACTTCGATTGTACTAATGTCCCACTGTATTATCTTGTTGCTAATATCTTTGTTAATATTCAAAATTATTAAATAAAAACTCCGAACTATACAATAATCTCATCACACATTTGTAGAACTTAGTTTTAAGTCTCACTGGAATTTTCTTGTCACATACAACACCTGACACTTCTCTCCACTTTATTGTGGAGTGACACTTAATCCTCTAGTTCACACCCTTGTCAAAGTTATCGTTATTTTGGAAAAAAGATACTAGGTACTTGAAACTCTAAACCTAGCCTAATTAGTTTTATTGGCTATCTTGTCTTATTACTCCAAGCTCATACTCTGTTTCAATTCTAATTATCCTTAGTTATTTTTCTTAACTTATTCCAGATTTGCTCTTAAAAGCTATATCATTTGTCACTTTTTTTTTTTAAATACAACTAGCAGCAGTGAAGGATCTATTTTCAAATTGCTTCATCCACTGTTTCCATAATTTATTGTTTATTTGATAAAATTAATGAATAATAAAAAAGAACCTATTTTCCTAGGTTTCTTTGTTTTCTATACTTGTCGTTTTCTTGGTGGCCTGGCAAGCCCACCAGTCTGAAAGCTTGTCCTGCCTGCCAACCCGATGACTACCCACTAGTCTTGCACTATCGTATCTCCTCTTACCTGTTGTCGCTGCGAATATCCAAGATGGGGCAATCTGCCAAAGTCTTATTTTGGACTTCTCATACTATTTGATAGAATTGTATACTTACTGTTGACCTGAAGCAACCTTAGTATTCTGATCGCTTCTTATAGGGAGAATGGTATTGTCAACAATAAAGTGAATTTCTACCCCTTACAGAAACAATACTATATGTCTACTAGAATCACTTACCTAGGCTTAACTAACAGTTAGGTTGCTTAACCCGTAGCTTTATATGCTCCCTGAAGTGAATTACAGTGACTATTTTAAAAATTTCAAAGTAAAGGATTAAAATGTAATTTTTATCTAGTGATTAAAAAGGATGAAGATATTCTTCTCTATATATGTGTCCCATTGACATTAAATCTAATTGAAAAAGTAAAAAAATTGAATATTATTATTTGGAAAATATGATGGGCCGCCTATACAATATACTTATAATAAAATGTAAATTTCTGTTTTTTAAAGGGTATGACACGCTACCAATAGATCCCATGCAAGGCTTAGATATATGTTCTCAACAAGAATCTAACTGTAGTCCAATGGATGTAGTGGCAGCTAATGATATTGATTTTGGGCGTCTAGGAGATTTACCTGAACCTCCACAGGACAACAATCAAGTAGCTGCTTGGTATGATACTGATCTATAAAATTTATTGAAATAATTGTTTAACCAAATAAGTATTAATTACAAATAGATTACATATTTTATATTGTTAAATAAATTACAAACTACCTAAGTCGATTGAACAATATTTTGATAAGTAAATTACTTAATATTGTAAACATATTCAAATAACATTGTTAATAATTTTTTTTTTTTTTTTTTGTGGGTGTAAGGTTAATGGATAATGATGTTAATTATGTTAATGGAGTATATATTATATGAGGTCCATTCAAATAATACAAACTGATTCCATCTTCTATAATAACATTATAACTTTTATAACTCTAGTCTAGTTTTTGAATTATTAGTGTTGGTCATTTATTTAATGTATCTAATAGAAATTTAGTATTGTGTTTTTTAATTTATTATGTATAATTTTTTTCCAAAGCATTTAAGTTTAAAAACCAAACCATTTATATTTTATATTAGATGAAAGTTTGATCTCTGTTATTCTTTATTTTTGTTTCCTTATTTACAATATTCTAGAAACCATGATTTATTTTAATGAAATAATTACCAAAGTCTTAAATTAAATTTAGTTACTAATTTCATAAATTAACCTATTTAAATAATTTATCATTATCAACATTTTATGTATATAAAAATTTATCATCTAAATTGTATTTTATATACCTAATATGATGTAACAACATTTAATTTATATATTTAATCAGTATAAATTTGATATCGTGCTTATTATTGAGTTATATGTATTATTATTTTTAGTATTTGTATATTATTTAATGTCCCGATATTATTTAATATGTTCTAATGTTCTATATGTTTCTACTGTCAAGCAGTGATACATAAGCGAAGTACATAGGTAGGAAATTACATTTTAGGGGGGCCATTGAAACGTATTAATTTATTTACAATTTATGTTATTAAATTGATGTTAAAATGTTAATTTTAAATTAAAAGAATTATAAAGTTTAAACAATGTACTATACAAAAGCATTTTAATTTTCATTATTACAAAAATAATTAATTATTTTATAATTGAAATTTGAAATTTTTTAGTTTTTAGTTTTTATATTTGGTTTAATGCGGATAAAATTGTTTATCTTCTCAAAACTATTTAAAAATTTGATTCCATGTTCACCATATCGCACTCTTGTTATAAGACTGATTTTGATTTATTTTTTTTTTTTTTTGTTAAGGCTACAGTTCAATAAGCTATTATTTTTCTCTACAAATTCTCTATACTATTACAAGTCAACACAATCAACACATCATAAATATATTTGTAGAAATGCTTGAAAATTTAATAGGAGGTTGATAATAAGTCGTACAAAGTGGTAAAAAAAAAAAAAAAATGTATTGATGTATTTTTTTTTTATAATTATTTTAAAATCAAATTTTACGAAAATTGTAAATATTTTGCAGCCTTTCAAAACATGTATAATAACCGAACTTCGCTCTGAAACAATTTTCGTTATCAATGGTTTATTGTTGGTTAATGGTATAAATTAAATAACTTTATGTATTTCGCTTTCTCTACTACCCACCTACAACAGTAGCCGCACCCGTTCCGAGTATAAGTTCTCTTTTTTTTTTTTTGTACACTACTTTTATACCAAACATTTTTCTTTAATCAAATGATATAAAAACACTTTACTTGTTTCATTTTGGATCTAGTTAGTAAATTGAAGAGGCAATTTTTTTATTTTTCATGGGTTTTCTATAAAAATTTAGAAGTATAGAAAAAACTGACAAATATATTATTTAAAATTTGTACGCTTTGTTTTCTACCAGAAATCCTACATTCATCTAAAAATCTCAATGGACTTTTTTTATTTAATTTTGGATCTAGTTGTTCATTAGTGAATTATTTTTCTTTTTTCCAAGCACTTCATAATAATTGGGGAAAATCGGAAAAACCTGTAAGAAATACAGGAAAGTATTAACATAATTAATTGTTTCATTTTTAATTTTGGCTTTTTTTTGTAAATCGTACTGAGGTGAAATTTTCACAGAAAACTCAAATGCTTTTTCTAAACATAATCCAATTTTCAAAACATTTTGACTTTTATAGGAATTTTTTATTTGATAGGTACTATGTATACATATTAATTACAATTGATACAATTGTTTAACCAAACTGAAATGCTTGGAAATTTCTTGAAAAACAGTTTAATATTTTACTAGATTATTTGTATGTAGCGGTAAAAAGTCGAGTGCAACGTAGTAATTTTTTTTTATAATGGTTTTAAGATTAAATAATTTTTCGTTGGTAACGGCTGATGGACAATGGTTTATCGTTGTTTACAAATATAAATTAAATAACTTCATGGTTTCTATAATAATTCGAAAACACTTAGGAAAAACGTGCAAAATGTATGTCCGTATATAAAAAAATCTTCTCTCCGAATCACTTTTAATTAGCAATAGTTTATCGTTGCGTATAGATATAAATACAATTTTCCTCTACCCAGTGGCGTGCTGAAGTAGGCTTTTTTTGAGGCGATTGCCAACTAAAATTGATGGATGGTCAAGTGACCAAATATGTCAAACGTCGATTAGGATTGACTTTAGTTCAGAGGTCAGATAGATGTCTTTATATATTTACTTACGAATACCACGATAGTAGCTTATATTATTATGTATAGTATATATTTTTGAATGGGTGGGTTCTAATTTTTTCGTTTTGCCTCTAGTATGAAAAATGTTCAGCATGCTACCGCCTCTACCTATATTCTAACTTTACAACTTCTTATCTATAACAGTGGTACACTTGTTCCCAGTATCAGCTCTTTTTTTGTTTCATTAAGTGTTATTGTTCTTACGTCTAACCTAAGTATTTTTATGAGATAATACATTCACAGCTTTTGATGGGAGAATATTTTTTGGAAGCCAAAAATTAAATTTTCACGTTCCTTCTAATCTTAACAAGTACAATTCTGGACTCTATTAAGAAAGCTAACTAAGCATATTTCGAAGGTACTTTTATTCTTTTATTAACGGATATTTATCTGAATATTCTATTTTTGAATTAAACTATTATAAGATAAGAAAATATATATTTTCTTATCTTCTTATAATCAAGGTAGCTGAGCCCAAATGAATGGGACTATAAGTATAGTTGGGGGTGCAGATATATACGAGGTGTGTTCAATAAATACTCAGACAAAATGTATTAAAAATTATATTTAAAACTTACAAACTATTTAAATGGATCACCTTCAAAATAGTGTTCTTTAGCTTTTTGAAACACCTTTGAATTTCCTCCATAGTTATAGCCTTTAGCTCTTGTGTTGCTTTATGGATAGTTTCGTCAACGTCTTGGAATCTGTGGCTTTTAAGGGTACTTTTTAGTCTTGGAAACAAAAAAAAGTCACAGGGAGCTAGGTCAGGTGAATATGGTGGGTGAGGTATCATTAGTACATTTTTAGATGCCAAAAATTCACGTATGGAAAGTGTTGAATGCGCTGGTGCATTATCATGGTGCAAAAACCACGACTTTGATTTCCACGGTTCTAGTCTTTTACGGCGTACTTTCTCTCTTAATGTTCAAACATTTGTTTATAGAACACTTGATTTATTGTCTGACCCGTAGGTACAAACTCATAATGGACTAAACCAAAATATCGATAAAAAACAATGAGCATTGCTTTGATATTTGACCGGACCTGACGACACTGTTTTGGACGAGGTGAATGTGTGGTCTTCCATTGCGATGATTAAACTTTAGTTTCGGGATCATATCCATATACCTATGTTTCATCACCCGTAATAATTGATTTTATAAAACTTGAGTCATTAGAAACTTGATTTTTTAGTTACAAACACTTCAATGCGATGTTCCATTTACTCTTTGGTTAACAATTTTGGCACTAATTTTGCGGACACTTCATACCCAATTCATCTGATAAAATTGAATGACAAGTACCAATTGATATGTCAACTTCATTGGCTACTTCTCTAACAGTTAATCTTCGATCGTATCCAATTTTGTTTTGAACAAAATCAATGGTATCATTTGATTTTGATGTTGATGAACGCCCAGAACGATGATCATCTTCAATGGATATCCGACCTTCTTTAAAACATTTGAACCAGTCAAAAGTTACACAACGGCTAAATGAAATTAATTTAAATTAATTTAATCACTTCTGGTACCAAATCTTGTATGTATACAACTCTTGTTTTTAAAAATAAATTACGTCTGACACTGATGATAAATTAAACTCTTTTGCTTTAGCCACATCTAACATAATATTGCAGCGATGTAATTCTAATTTAGCCCAATCGAAATCAGAGCCATAATATTCAGTTATAATAGATGTATTTATTTTTTTAGGATTAACTATATAGTTATATACTAGTTATATACTATATATAGTTTTCTACTTTTGCTAGATTTATTAAAACGTACCTAAATATAAAACATTATCGTCGCAGTCGTCGTCGACAACACCATCAAAATAACAAAAAACCTAAAACATATATTAATTAAATATAATTATTTTCCCATGTACAATATTAATGTATTAAATATTTATATATTTTATTTAATGAACCATGAGGAGCACCGCAGCACCCCAATACTCGGCGCCCATGCTAATGAGTATATGTTTTATCTTCGATACATTTAACGAATTTGCTACTATATAATTTATGGGAACAGGTACCTACATATTTGTTTACATAGGTAACGTTATAATAGTAGATAGGTATACAAAAGTAAACATATTAGATTATTTATCTGTCAACGACTACTTTATATTGACCTTATAATATTATAGTATTATATTTTTAGTGTGGTTTACCACGTATTAAATAATAATAGGTTGGTACCAATTGAGAAAAAAATGTGTTGGTAGGTTTTAGTAATATTTTACTTTTTGTATTAATTTTAGTGAAATGTGCATAACATCATAGTAAATATAGTTGGTACCTACGCGTATATAGAATACATTATTAGTTGGTATTTTATAGATTTTCTATATTATTTTGCTTAGTAAACTTCTTTAAATGCGGCTCGTCCAAACATTTTGGAGAATATGTGGTATATTCACAATCGATCTGACTTACAACAAATTTCAATATGTATTTTCCGTACTGCTAATGGCTACGTGTGTATACAACTATATTACTGCGTCTGAAACATTATGCAAGCTGGATCATAGCTGGTGTGAAATTTTCTCAAAGCCAATGACAGGAATGTACACTAGGGTATTAGCTTTTACGACTTTCTTGTCTAGAATAGCAATTGTGGTTCAATCCAAACATCATCTATTTAAATATAAAGCGACCATTAAAGCCTTTGAAATTTATTCGCCGACCTCTACAACAGGATTCAGGGAATATAAATTATTTTCATTTGTTATAGTTTTTCTATGTCTGGTCACAATTTTACCGATAAACATCAGCCGACTATATCACTTGTATTATTACGAGACTCATAATGATAATTCATTGTTAGTTTACTATCTGTTCATATACATTCAAAATTTAAGTATGTGTTGTATTGAAACGCAATTTGTTAGTCAATGTTTTATAATATACATTAAATTTCGGGAGATTAATGGCGATATGAAAAAATTGAAAGACGAAAACTTTAATTATGATAAATACCCTTTTATCATGGGTTTCTCAGCGGTGGCATATAAAGATTATAAGACATCTTTACAGTGTGTGAGATATGACAAAGACTTTTACAAGCCGCCCTTCGTGAGTCATCCAATGGCCAATACGGTGGAAATATTTAGAATTAAACACTGGCTCACTCGCCAAGCTGTTGATATCCTGAACAATTTATTTGGATTTCACATGGGACTTTCGGTGTTTTTGTTGTGGGTAATGGCTTTGTTTGATATTTATTATGAAATATTTCGAAACGCTCCGTCAAAAATATTGGTCTACTGTTGGTTATTGCAGTACTGTTTAAGAATGTTTATGATTATTCTAATACCACATTATACAACAAAACAGGTAAGCAATAATTCATTTAAAATGATATACTTAAATAATTAATTTTTATAATATTACGTAGACAATACTTATAACTGATAATGACTAGATCCTGTCCATCTGGGGTGGGAGAATTGAATAATGCATTATTTATTAACATTGCACGTTTTAAATATTTAAAAAAAAAAAATAATAATAAAAACAAGGACGGATATACTTCGCACATGGGCGCAGCCACTATTGTAGGTGGGAAGTTGGGAAGGTAGGATACAGACGGGAATTTAATGTTTAACCACTACTATCGAAAAAACGATTCTGAACTGAATTCAGTTGATAGTGTTGCTTTGTCAATAATATATATGTTACGGCAAAATAATTATAACAATGTGCATCTCCATGATAACAATAATTGTTTGAAAAATATTAAAATAAGAAAAACAAATAAATACGGTTGCCAATGACAACCTCATTTTTAATCTTTCAATCTTCTTTAACCTAAAGAACCGGATTTTCCTTGTTATCTCGAATATTAATGAAAATTTCAAAAAAGGTGCTTTACTTGGAAATCAGAGTAAGCTTTATAGTAGAAAAAGTGTTCATATAAAAAAAAAATAAAAAATACACATCTTTGTACAACTAATACATTCTTCGCTAAACTCAGAATCTAAAATACAATAAATTAGTATCTACATAGATGGTCAAAAAATATGAAAATATAATTATTAAATTACAGTTAGTAGGTATAAACTAACCTATAATATTTAACTTGGGTCACTGGGAGAATATTTGTCTGCCTTCATTATTTGTTATAAACCAGCAATTGTTATTTTATTTTACTCTATATCATACCTTTATATATATATTTGGCTCATTACGAACAAACACTCATGAGTGTTTTACATTAAATTAATCACTCGGTACACTATTGTTATTTGTTCTATATTACTTTGTTATTTTGCACTGTATTATTGTTATAACTATCTGATTGTCAAATGTAAAATAAAATAAATAAACTTACTAACTTAAAGTATTTACTGTAAATACGTATAAGGTATGAACAATATTCCTAATGCAATGATAATAATTATAGGCAATGAAATCAAAATCATTAATTGCAGACACAAATAATCGAATGCTTGATAATAGTACAAAAGATGAGGTAAGACGCTGTAATATAGTTTTTATAATATGTTTTAGTGATGGTGAGCCACTTTTTCTAAACACTATATTTCGATATTTTCATACTCCAGACATTTTTATCTCGAAAATAACTGGTCAAGTATAGATTTGAAAAAACATCGATATTCGATATCGGCTTATGATGATATTCGCCACTAATATTTGTGTACCTATTTACTTAGCATTAATTATTTTAAACATTTGTAAATTTGTTTGTTATTTATACGGTTTTATAGCTGCAGTTGTTTATGAATCAGATACGTAATCATTCCGTCGAGTTCACTGCGTACGATTTCTTCACTTTGAACACCCAAATTATTAAATCAGTAAGTTCACAAATTAATTACAATAATACTAACCTCAAGTGTACTGTTTAAAATAATTAATATGTTTGTATACATATGATATAACTATTTTCAGTGGCGGATACAAGGTGGGCAGCAGGACGACCGTCCCCCTCCCCTTAAGCCGCGTTTTTACTTAATTCTTATATTCTATTACTAGCAAAAGAGTAAAGTAAGTAAACATTTATTTTTAATAATAAATCCACCTCATTCCTTTAATAACCCCTGGATCCGCCATTGACTATTGTGGTATATAAGTAATGATGATTCATATCATTGATTTTATAACTGTCGTCTGTGTTATAATAATAAAATAGTAGACTTCTATAAAATCAAAGGTATACTGCACCCTTGCACTATACATATTATGTATAGTGCAAGTGTGAAGTGATATCCACTTTATTTATTAATGGTAATAATATTTTAAAACGATGATTATTTAACTTATCTATCAGCTGTACACATTTCAAATTACTTTTCAAAAATATCTAAAATAATATTAAATTAAATTAAAAAATGTGCGTGTATATATTTTTTTTTTTATAGGCCATAGCTGCTGGTTTGACTTATTTGGTTATATTAATACGATTCCATTCATAAACTAGACCTAGTAAAATATTGGAATTTATTTTCGAATGGGTAGGTATATATCACATTTTTAATTGTATGATTTTTTTTTTTTTTTGAATTGTACTTATTACAATTTTGAATCTGTTTTATAACAATATGGGTGTTTTGGCGATATTGTTTGATAACTGAATGCACTAAACGACAACTCGGTTGCCGAAATTAGTAAATAATTAATAATTACATTTACTAATTATTCATTGGAAAAATACTGTACAGTACTGTACATAACTTTTTAGCAATATTATAACCAAATAGCGAACTGCCACAGCACATTGTTTAATCAAACTTGCACTGAAAAAACGGTGCAATTTAATCGCAATTCAATCGCCAATTCAATTTTGCCGAAAAAAAAAAACTGTTTTATATCTACTGAAAAAATATTCTCATTCTGCTGAATATATACGTTTTATAATAATATTTAAGATGCGGGTTTGGCCGATTTTACTTTTATTTGATTTTATGCAGATTGTTTAATGTTTATATTATTTATTTTAAAAACATTTAGTGACATTTTCACTTGGAATCCAAGTCCTGGTTTTAGATTCTGAACACAGCGAGTGGTTTATTGGTTTTACTATCTTTGATGTATTTTAGACTCGGAACGTAGCCAGGGGTAATTGGTTTTACTACAAGGTGTGTTTTTTTTTTTGGTCTGTAAACAACACTTCGAAAAGAAATCTTGTTCCAATGTGTAGAATATAGCATCTTTTCTGAAAGAAAATTTTCCCTAGTTGGTGCATTAAATTTTTTGATTTTTTAAAGGAAAATTTCAAAATAATTGGGAAAAACACGAAGGAAATACAATTTCCCTTAAAGTAAAAAACAAATAAAAATTACGGCGCAATGGTTTTACTATCTACAATTTTCTAATGTTTTCTACAAAAAATATTGCTCTGATAGAAAAATACCAAGAAATCTTTTTTGTAGAATTTTTAATCTAGTTGGTGATCAAGAAAGTAGTTTTTTAAATTTTGTTTTTTTAATGTAATTCAGGTTAAAATATTCGTAAAGACTTGAAGTTTTGACAGAAATCTTATATTTGTTTTTTCTAAACGTTGTAACATTTTAGCCATTTTTAAGCTATTTATAGATATTTTAAGGTTTGAGTTTTTTACGTAATTTTTATGAGGGCTAAATTTTATCGGGAAAATAACTCATTGGAAAGTATTTTGTCGGAAAATATTTCGTCGATATGCGATATGGGATGATACCGCCAAAACACAAAAATAGGAGAATATAATATAACACTATTTACCTTGGTATTATATAGATATATAGATACATAATATTATGTAATACCTATAGGTATATCTTATTATTAAAGTCCTAACTCTAGGACTAGGGACTTCTAGTATTTACATATTATTTTTAAAAGATTAAAAATATAGCAGAATTAAACATAAATAATATATACATTGTATAAAGAATTTAAATACATATATTTTTGCATATTTTACAGTTTTGCTTTTTAGAGCATACTTTAGTAATATTTAAATTTTAATTGTTATAAAAGGACATACACTCATCTTATCTTATTGTATGCCAAATATTAATGAATTATACACACTTTTTTTCAATCTACATTGTTCAAATCCATATACTCACTGATGTGCAACAACATAGTCGAATAAACTATAGTAAAATAGATACTTTAGTTTATAAACAATTATTGAGTTTGATTAATAACTTTCAAATTATTCATCTCAAACAAATTTTTTAGTTTTTACGTAAATACCATTAATAATGGGAAAAAACAATAATAGTTAAGTTTTTAATATTTCAATAAACAAAAAAACATTTTTAAAGCATATTTGCATGTTTTTTTAGAGCTAGAAGTCTCTAAGACTACTTATTATAATATACACTATTAATACTTATTATACTCATATAACTAATTTGAATAACACGGAGGGACGGTGATGTTCATTAATGGCTTTACGGAAGTCACGAAATTTTTTATTTATTGTATTCCATAATGTATACATTTTTATCTATAGTTCATAATTTAAATGGTCATACATTTATTTTAAATTGTACCTATTAATAGTATTGTTTTTAATTGTTATAATGTCATATGAATATATAAATTATTATTGTGTACGAGATATTATTTGGTACCTATTTACGTGTATATAACTTGTTTACATGAGTATACAATATAGGTGCAAGCGGAGAAAGATTGTACGTAGGTAATGCGTGTATAATTTTAAATTTATATAGGTACATCTACCAATCCTCTTCATGTCAATAATTTTCAAAACAAAGTATCAATAAATATTATAGGTACGTACTTATAACTTACGTTATTATACTATACATTCGGCTAATAAAATAGGTTTTAATAAGTAAATACAAAATAATTGGAATAAAATGCCGAAAATAAAATTAACGAGATCGCGGCCCATATAAATGTCAAGTCAAGTAGATACAAGTATCTAGGTATTATGTTTATTTTGTTTTGCCGGACGTCATTATTCAAAAAGTTATTACAACCATTAGATTTGACGGTTCCGTTGTTTTTTTAGTGTCGGTTGACTAATGCAAGTCGAATTATCTACAGACCGTATCTTCAAAATAATATAGGTAGGTAGGTACGTCAAATACAAATATTGTAAATCTAAATAATATAATTAATAAGCGATGGTTAATTTTAGGTTTACCTGCAGTATATTACATTTTTTCATAGCCACGATGACGTGGTCTTATTGGCCCATCTCTTTATTTTGGAAAACATTTGGCGTATTTCCAGTTAGCTTGAACGACCATAGAACCCCAGTATTATTCACCATATGTCTAATAATTTCGTCGATTTACGTGTTGTATTACACGCCGTTAGTGTGCAAAGTCGGAATTCAGTGCACAAACGAAATGGTGAAAATCTTAAAAGAAATATTCCCCGGGATAATAAATGTTACGACGATGGTATCGAGAATCGCGTTGCTATGTACGGTCAAACTTATATTTCGGAAATACAAAGAAACGCTGGAATGCTACGAGCTATACTCGCCGACAACGCCGACGGAGGTCAAGTGTTACAAAATGTTTACGTTTGCGACCGTGTCCGTGTGTCTCCTTCTCATTATACCGATAAACATTATACGGTTACACATATTGTCGGGCCTCGAGGAAGTAGACGGTTTTGAGATCACACTGTACATATTAAGTTACGTTCAAAACCTGACCATGTGCTGTTCGGAAACGCAATTCACGGCACAGTGTTTCATGCTGCACCGGAAGCTGAAGAAAATCAATGACGAGATAATCGGACTGAAGGGATCGCTAATAGATTTTTCACGTTATTTACATCAGCCGTTACAAACAGAGCGGTCGACCTGCCGCAGCGGCGAGCAAAGCGACCGCGGTTTGTTTGACGTCTCGCCACGGCACGTGTCGGGGACCACAGCGGACGCAATCGAAACGTTGAGGATCAGACACTGGCTGCTCCGTGAGGCTATTGGATATCTGAACGACCTGTTCAGCGTACAACTGTGCATGTCCGCGTGCGCCCTATCAACAATGATATTTTTCGACATCTACTACGAAATGTGTCACGTGATGGGCGAGTTTTCGCTGTCGAACCTGGTTATATACAACTGGTTGCTGCAGTACGGGATCCGGTATGCGGGCATCATTCTAATATCGCATTTTACGACAAAACAAGTAGATATTACATTTACCTGGTAATAATTTTATGTATAACAGCTTTTTGGTTTTGGTATACCTATAGGTTCTAAAGTCTAGAGAGCCTATATATTATATAATAATTAGTAAGAGAAAGTGGTTAATTAATAATTAATATTTAGGGGACGGTTTTCTATTGGTTATACCTTTCATATTAGGTGACGCGATTTTGCGTTGAATCGGTAAATTGCGTTCCCGAAAAAAGTTCATGGTCATATATACTATGTAAGTTGCGGTCTGGGTATCTTTTATATATACGTAAATTGCGATCCAGGTATATTTTATACATACGTACCTAAATTGCTGCTAAGGTATATTTTATATAATATATGCCTAAATATTTGTTATTGATATGTAAATTAAGTCTAAGGTTTTTTTTCCTAAATCAATATTTTCCTTCCCATTTTACAGAATTTAGGACTGGCAATATAATTGTATTAATACGTATGTAATGCATACATGTATTATTGTATGTGTGTAATTACAATTTTATGGTTAAAAATATTGGTTTCGATTTTTTTTTGTGTCTTTAAAAATGTATTATTAACAATTAATAACATTATGTATTAGGTGAAAATGTGTGTAATTAATTCGTTTTTCATAACGTTCATTTTTATTAAATTGAACAAAATACACACAAAGCTACGATCAAATGCGCACTGGCTGCTAGTAATATTGCATTAGTGAACATATTATTATCTACATTACAGATTATAATTAAACTTTAAATTGTACAGCTGATAGAAAATCGGAATATCCGGGCTACAATTTATGTACATTTCAAAAATACTAGTCGACTGTACAATTTAAAGATTACGTATAGTAATATTCTACGATAAAGATAATATTACTTATTTCACTAATAAAAGTTTTTACGTTTTTACGTTGTTCTGTGCGTATTTTAGATTCCAAGTTAAGCGAAGAACCTTATAGTTTTACAAAGATGTTTATTTTTTTTTTATCTGTGTGTAACTTTTCTACTAGAACAATTGCTCGGATTTCTATGTGTAGCACGTTTTTTGAAAGGAAATTGGCGTGGGGAGGTTCTTAAAGTAGACCATTTTTCGATTTTCCCAAGAATTTTCCCAGCAAATGTGAAAAATCGGGATAAAACATGGGAAAACCGGGAAAAACTGGAAAAATCGTGAAACGTGAAACAAATATTATTAAAGAAAATATATAAAGCCTATTTAATTATTTTACTATAAAATGACATATTTATTGGCTATACAGGTATACATTAAATTATATATAACAGTGGTTGCACCCGTCCCAATTATTCTAAAACGTCTTTTTTTTTTTAAATTAAAGCTTATATATTATTTAGGCATACACACAAAATTTAAAATAAGACGCAATTTACAGAGACCCATTTTGTGACTTTTTTAATGCACTATAAAATAAGTGTATCACGTAAATGCTAGGTATGTACAACCGATGCTATTAGTTCACTTAGTACCCACTACAAAGTATATTGCATACTGTAGACGTACGTAAAACGGTGCGTCCCTTAAACGGGACCGGATTACATTATTAAAAGCACAGTAAACATCGTTTATGGCCCAAAAATGGATGAAATGTTAACAAAAATATATAATATTTTACGTTATGGCCGTTTGTTAATCGGCACATCTAGTTTATCATCTGTTCGTATTAAAGTTACAATGCGATCTTTGTAAGTAATCTATTTCAGATTTCTATTTTTGATTTAATTTTTTCAATTCCACATGAGTATTAATTATTAATAATTATTATGATTAGTAAAACTTATGATTCAGAATGTTTTTAAATTTGTATCCTCCCCTTCTCTATCAGTAGAGCTACCACAACTTGTGCACTATTATTCACTTTATTCACTTTTTTATGAATTCTTCACTATTTGACAGTATTTTAGCAAAGTGTTCATATATTATACGCAAAAAATAATTACCTCCCAAACATTTTATTATATAACTATTAAAATTATAAAGACTTAACATTTTTATATATTTTTGTTGTTTTTCCTAGAAAGGAGGAAAAAATTTATTCAATTTTTCTCTGATCATTCGAACATATAAAATCGCAATTTGTTATTTTAATTATATCGTTCATGAACAAAATATCTTCCTGCTTTGTTTTTAATTTATATCACAGTTTTGAATATTTAACATACCTGATATCTATGATAATATACAATTTAACATGTTTTTTAATAATTATTATCACAAAATATCAAAATGGCAAATGCTTATTTTATTGTTATTATATTCAATTCATATTTTTATTTTATAACATCGTTTAACTGTGTTAAAAGTAATTTTAAGTGATAATTTTTGTCACAGACTAGCCTTTTTTTAAATATTTATTTTAAATGACTAATCGTAAAATTAGAAGAGATGGGATATTGTACACTCAAGGAACATAATTTTGTAGTGTTATTAACACTTTCACTGTGCTATTTTATATTTAAAAAAAAAAATGTAATATGATATATTAAAATGAAAAATTTAAGAACAAATAATTTTAATTTTAGAATATAAATCATTATTTCAAAAAAATATAATGTTCACTATTTATTAATTTTTTAAATAATCTTCATTATTTAGTCACTTTTTTAAACAATTTCTTCAGTATAATCATTTTTTAGAGCCTTATACTTGAGTGGCAGCCCTGATTTCTTTCAACAGGATAAATTTCTGGTGTACCTATAAAATATAGATACACCGCAAATATCCTAATAATAAGACGTAATATATTGTTATTTTAATATTTTTTGTATACATTATTATAGATACACCTAGTGACGTATTTTTAACATTTTTAGCGAGTATACTCTTGAGACGAAAAAATAAGAAGTAAGAATGCGCCGCATAATCACGCATACGCTCCACTACACCATTGGACCCATACGACTTATTTGCTTACAGTCCACAAAGTTCTTAATCCAGCACTGCCCATGAAATGCTGCAGGCAAGAACAGTCGACAACTATTTTATAACATATAGGCTCTCTAAGTGTACCGTTTTGACTGCTGTGTTAAGTCTACACCTGAACAGTGGTGGATGGGGTATTTTGGGTGTCTGGAAAACCCCAACATCTATGTTCAAATTGTATAAATGTCTTAAAAGATGTGTTTTTTTTCATGTATAACATACATATAATACCCCTCTTCAAAAAATCTTGGTTGCACCACTGTACCTGAAAATGGATTTGGTTCTGTAAAATTCCATTAAGATACTAAAAGATTAAGTAAAATAATAATTTTTTCTACATATTTACATAAGTTTTATATAATTGCACCATTAGCCGATAGTGTCATAAGATCAAGACGTAACTAGTGGAACATCATTTGTGTAACATTAGTTGGGTACATTATAGTTAAAGAAAAATTTGTTAGATACACTTAGGATATTAAAAAAAAACTACTAATATAATACTAGTTATTTACTTTCCTTACCTAGTACAATGGTATACCAATTTACGATGATGCTATTATTATACATGTATATTAAATTTCTTTTATTATTATTAATTTTTTACTTTAAAATATTATATTAATACGAAAATTTGTATACGTTTTTCAGGCACTTTATACTAAAACAATTATAGCAAACTTAAAAAGTAATTATTTGGATTGTAATATTAATGAAGAGGTAAATAATAGACGTCACCTATACATTATTTTATTATCTATATAATATCTGTATAAATTCGTCTTGATAAAATATTAAACCTATGTAGTTAAATCCTAAATGGCTAAATACCTTGAATACTTTAATACAATACCTACCTAAACTGTAAATTGTAATATTATAGATATTAATTTATTTACTTTTGATTATATATAAATTATTTTAATATTATTCATTCAATATTTGATTTATTTATAATGATGTATTTAATATTACATTTTAAAATGGTAAAATTAATTTGTTTACAGCTTCACTTATTTTTGGACCAAATATCCCAGAGTTCTGTCGAATTCACGGCATGTGATATTTTAACATTAAATATACGTCTTATTACTTCAGTAAGTTTAATTTTAAAATAATATTATGTGATTTTAATAGGCCTGAGCCTATCAATATGTCAACCATATTAAGCTTATTATTAAGCTTGTATCTATACAATTTGTAATATGCATTATTAAAAAATGTAATTCAAATTATAGTGGCATACTGAGCTTTAAAATATAATCAAATATAATAATTATAGAATTCTTTGTAGCGACTTTGCCCATACTTAGACGGATAGAAAAGTCTGATTAAACTATTTTTCCAATACGCCATTAAGTGGGTTTATATCTTCAGTATATTGATAGGAACTTTGGTTCAATCTTATATTCATGTGTATTTTATCTTCTATCGTAAAGATAACTTAAGTATACAAAGTCATACGAATTGATAGAATATCCGACTTACGCAATTATTACTCACGGCGGAAGTTATACCATCATTTAATAATAAATATTTGAAGTTTTCTTGGTAGAACTCCGGCTTCGTTGAAGTCTTTTAAAATGATTGTGTCAATACTTTATATTTTTTATTAGGTGTCTAGGTATTTGTTTAAGCATAATGTGTTATTTTCTACTTTGTAATTGTTATTTATAGACTATTGCTGCGGGGATAACTTACCTCGTCATTTTGGTACAATAGTGATACTAGTCAGTCAAGAAAGTAGATATGTTAGTGCGTTTCATAAGATATAAAAATTACTAACACAGGTATTATTAATTATTGCTATCTATTGATATAATGTAATAGATCATTTTATTTTTATATATTTAATTAAATACACACTTTACTTACCTAACATAGTACCAATACTGTCTGCATTCGCCTGCAGTAATGCAAATTGCAGAAACTTATGTTTCAAATGTTGAGTCACCATTGCTATACGCATGACCAACAAGAAACCAGCTCTTAATATATATGGAGAATAATTATTTTTTAACAATTAATTTGAATAGTTCAATATAAATTTATTTATTTTTCATAAAATATGTTCTAAGTTCTGTAGCAATTTATGATGGCGATCGACTGAATATGCATGATGCGCACTGCGTAGTCTTGACAACACTTAATTTATTATAGAATATATTATTATTATAATATCGTAATATAATTATTTGGCTATCAGTTAGTATTATTATTTTTAACCTAATATATTTACACAAAATTAACATTTTTTACAGTTATACTATTGTATAAATATCTATCTAATTTAGTCAGCATTTTCTCTTAATAGTTTTGTTGTTTATTACTATTAAGTGAAAAATACTGTGAAGTATCTCGGTTTCGGAGAAAAATTAATTTCATAATTGTATCGTAATAAATTATATGCGATCGTCACCTCAAATTGTTCTAAATTAGTTGTGAAGTTTTAAGAAGCTACTAACTTATTTACTAAAATAATGTTTAAATGAGCAAACGTATAAGTAATTTTAAAGGTCTGTAGGATTCATTAAACTTAATCTGTTTAAAGTGTAGTTAGGCATCTATATAGAACTATACTATTTATATTTTATAGTATATGCTAAGTATATTATTATAACATTTAAAATAATGGTTCACTGCATATGACTGCAGTACACGATTAAAATTAAATTTAAAGTAGCTATATAATTACAATTTTCAATAATTAACAACCTCAAAAAAAAAAAAAATGATAGTATGAGGAAAGTCTTTCGGTATTAAAATGTCCTTTCCTGATACTTATCTAGGCAAACAAAAAATCTCTATACATATTCAATTTACTATGTGAACAGTCTTAGGTACTATACAAAATAATATTTTTCATAAATTGCACCAATTATAAACAAAAAAAAATCTTGTTTTGTTGTCTTCTTCTATACATGTAAGTATATAAGTATACATTTATCTGTTAGTTTATCTTACATCACGAATAATAATTATAACTAGGTATATAGATATATAAAGTGCCTTGAAACTTATATGTCCTTGACGGTGAATTTGTGAAAACAAGAGCTACTAAGATAATGCTATTTGATATGTTAATATTTTTATAATACCGTCCCTAGAATTTACGACGGCTACAGCTCCAAGTGATATTTAAAATTGTCGAGGTATTTTTATTTTACTTAGTTTTATGTGGAGAAAATTGTTTTGATCAAGCAGAAATGCTAACAAATTTCACATGAGGTTTATTATATTATGTACTTAGTTTTAAAAAAAAAAAATGATCCAAGCGGAGGTGTAATTTAGAATTATTTTATAGTTAAAATTTTGTTGAAAATCGTCAAAATCATTGCATTTCATGTAAAATGTATTGATTGTTATGAATAAGAAGATTTTAGCCGTGCAAAAATGCTTGACATAAAATACACCTAAGTAAATTCTAGAGTCGAGAGTAAGTTCACAAAGTCTTCACAAATCGGTCGTCAGTGTTTCGTAGTGTTTCATAGTTTTAAAACAGATTTTATTTTAAGCGACAAGGAAGTAATTTCAAAAATAAAGAGGTTAAAATAGACAAGAAAAAGCTGTCTTAGGATAATGAGGACGTGTACAACCATTGTTATAAGTGAGAAGTTTAGAAGGTAGTAGAGGGGAAATTTAATGTATATCTGTACGTAACGATTAACCATTGCTAACGAATATATGAGTCTAAGCAGAGTTCGGTTAATTGTGTTGCTTTGTCAGCAATATATATATATATATATGTTATATTTTGGTAAAATAATTATATATGCATTATATATTTTCTTTAATAATATTTGTTTAATATTTTACCTATTTTCCCGTTTTACTAACTTGTTTCCCGGTTTTACCATTTTTTTTCCGATTTTTTCTATTTATAGGGAAAATTCTTGGAAAAATCAAAAATGACCTCCTTAAAGTACCGCCCCCCCTCATATTTACATACTTTACACAGACAAATTATTTTCAAAGTAATTTGGAGCAAAATTTCTAGTAGAAAAGTTGTTCAAAGGAAAAAGAGGTCGTAATATTTATTTACTAATATCTATACTTGCCTATTTGCGCCTATCGAAGGAAGTTTACTTTTTTTTGTTTTATAGATACACATGTTTTTATGGTACTTGAAGCACCAAAGGATTTATGATTTTTAAAACAAAACTTTTTCAAATCATTATTTTCCAAAAATGTACAGGTATATATTTTAAACATAGTACGTATACGATCTATGTTATTAGAACTAGTATATAACCTATTACACTTACTTTTCAAGGATTTATCTAATTTTTGAAAGCCATCCGAATTCCTTAGACTTTTCTAGGTCATGCGTATACTCCCTAGTTTAAGTAGTTTATGTAACTTTGTTTACATCAATTTTCCCAAAATCTTTAGGATAAGATTATTGTTATTATTTGTAAGCAATATTATAATAATTAATTACAAATTTAAATTACAAGTACCTATAAGATCAGCGCTAGATAGGGAATGTATCGGCCCGTTGAGTTTCAGGATTTTCGTCGGCCTAAATTTATACAGAATAAATCAAATTGACATATATTCAATTAAAAATAAGTGTAATTATGTGTGGCCCACCGAGATTTTCTCGGTAGCTTCAATCCAGGCATATATGATAAATATTTGAACATTTTAAATAATACGATAGAAACACGGAAACTGAACTGAGGAAAGTATTAACTAAACTTAATGTTTATTTTTGTTTAGGTTATTATTAGATAAGGTATAAATAGTAATTACACCTAATACCTAATACAGTAATACTGTATTAGGTACACTAATATAAATGATTAATTATTTTTACTAAAGTGTTTATACTATTATACCTATACTAGTACAAGTATTATATATAGTTACTTTATACCTAGGTACCTAATATATTATCATATTTTTTTAATAATGAAAAATGCATTGTTATTTTTAAATTGTGTGAAATTGTAGGAAAATATAATGTCATTTATAGTCCGGCTGTTTAATAGATGATGGATTTCTAAAAAAAAAAACAGTATCCTTATAGTTTATAATATGTATTATACATATATACGAATACATATATGTCGAACTAGAAAAAACTGGAACGGGGGAAATGTTGGAGAAAGTGATCTCCCTGACTACTCCGACAAACGGATACAGCTAAGACTATCGGTAGTTTTAGTACATGTGCAAACAGTCCATTAACGAGGACGTCTAAAAGAGTATTGTGAGTTGTGGCGCGTGTGCTTATATAGAATTTTTGTGTTGAGCTTATATTAAAATTATTTCTGGTTCTAAACACGAATTAACATAAGATTATTTTTATGTTGTTTATCTTTTCAATTGTATGGTGCGTTTTCGGGGCACATTTTTAAATTTCATACCTACTTATTATTATTATTCACATTTTTATAAAATAAAAATGAAATTTTCCGTCGAAAAACGTAAAACATTCTGATATTAAAATGACTGGAAAAAATCCCTGGGATACAAAGGTGAGTAATCGAAACTATTGTAAAATATATATTTGAAAACATCCGATTATTTGTATAAATTCCTAAGTATCATCAATAACATACAACAGTCTAAAACAGTTTTGTTTGCATTGCAAGAGCTTTTAGTTTTAATGCTGTCTATCGAGTACTTTTATCAATGTCATAAGAAATGACATTTATATAGATAGTTATTTACTATACCTACGTAAAGACTCTTTTATATACTATATTATAGAACCTATATTAATTTAGTTTAAAGGTTAGATTTATTGGTTCATTTATTTTGCGTACATAGTTCCTATGATTGCTATATTTAACATATTTTAGTTTAATAATTAATTTTAAATAGGTGTAATAATAATTATTATACAACGTAGTGCCTAAAATACATCTGATTTCAAGGGACACACTTTTTAATTCAATTGTTTTCTTTAACAGATTCCCATACCAAAAAAACCTGTGGGGGTTGTAACACCCACAATTTTGGAACGAATGCAGTTTAGCTCCCAAGCGATATTTTGAAATTTATTTTTCTAAAATATGCATTTAAATTTATTATGTTTAGCAATTAGCGTCCAAGACTGCGAATTTTCAATTACTGCCAATAAAATAGCTCCTTGCCGTTTTCGCTCAAATATCTCATAAATATCGAAAAAATATTAGTTAGTTTTAATTTCATAAAAAACTTCTTTATGTTATTACACATACATAATAAATGTAAAAATGTAATGTGAACAATTTTGGAGACAAAATATCTTTGTTGTTTTATAGATTGAGTAAATGAATACATGATGTATAGCTATAAATACAGCTTATTATGAATATTACTGGAAAATGATACTAATACAGTGATACAGTGATAAAATAAATAAATACAAATTTTTTTTATTCACCGCAAACGACCACCATCGCAAACAGGTGGTAACAACGCGTACAATATATAGGTACGAGTACATTGTTGAATTGTTGAAAAAAAAATAGGTTTCGAGTAAAAACTGTACTAATATTTTTGCGTATTACTCAAGCTGTTATCAATCGATCAACTTGAAATTTACAAAGTATTATCTACTTAATATACTGATCAAACAGAGTAAATTTCAAACAATCTGTCCATTTGTTTAGGCCACAAAGAAGTCGGACCAACTGTCGTAAAATTGCACAGGTTAAATAGGAGTTGGCCGTCACGTGTATTCTACGTTTGACGCACGAGCTCTTTTTTTTTTTACTTTGCTTTGCGCCGTGACCTCGCCGCTGAATACTTTAAAAAAAATTACTTGAAAATAATAATAATAAAATTAATAAATATCATTAATCTAGTGAGGTAATTTCTATATAGTTGGGTCTGAATGCGTGATGTTACAATTTAAATTATATATATATTTGTATTTTTAACGCAGATGATTAAATTAAATTATAACCTACAAAAAAAAAAAAACACATATATCTTACATTAGACACTCGGTTATTATGATTTCCAGTTAATACATTTAAGTACTTAGTTATTTCATATTTTTGGTGATTGTTAACGTCATTCAATATTTAGATTCTACGTGTATTTAGGTATACAATAGATATAGATGTAGTTATATCAGGTACATATACAGGGGGTTAGGGATTTTAACCTCTTCCAACAAAATTTTAAAAAGCATCGTATATGTTTTATAATTTAAAATAGGTATACAATTATTTTGTATTTAAATTGTTTACTCGTAAACCTCCCTCCCCCCTGAATTTTTTCTATGTACGTGTCTAAGTTGAATAGATTATAATTTATAATAATTCAGGTAGCAACACTTATAACAACAAATTTATTTATTACAAATAGATAATAATGATTATATGTAATAAGTACTTGATGACAATAAAAATAGTTTTAAAATGACCAATACATTAATATATATTAATAGGTATATTATATACATGAAACTCTCATGAATAGGTATATCAAATATCTGAAGTGTATTATAGAGTATCCGAATAGATATAATTATTTTGAATCGTCTGATTCTATGGATGTTTATCGAGAAGATTTAATAAACAATTAGGTACACGGTATTTAATGAACCGTGACCAAAATAATATCTCAGAATATATATTTTTTTCGGGTAGTCGAATTAAATGGAAAGCCGGATAGGTACTTACTTAATTTAATCAATGGTGATAAATGATAATCACTAATCATGATTTATCTATCCAGTTGTGAACAGAATTATAATAATAATTGATCGATCATTAATCGTAATATTACAATATACAGTCAAATTTGAGATAACTGCTCGTAATCGGTTTTTAATCACAGTGGCGAATTTAAGAGGTTGGGGGTTACAAAAGGTCTGGACTTTCCTCAAGACACCGATTTTAATTTCAATAAAGTGTTATTTAAAATATAGGTGCCTATCTAATAATAGATAGGTACCTTTAAAGTCCATACTATTTTTCGAGACCTTTCTCAAAAAAATATTTAAAATTCACCATTGTTTGGACATATGGTTCAATAGAATTCAACGACCGATTCACTAAAATAGTATTACAACTATGGCCTGAGACTTATTTCACTTAAAATCCACAAACATAAAAAACACTTAAAAACGTTAAAAAATTACTTAAAAAATATTATAACCATTGTTAAATTGTTAAAAAATATGTTCTAATACCAGAAAAATGATAAACACGAAATAATTATTATTTTAATAAAATAATACGTCTTATCATTTTAATAGTGTTAGAAAATTGTATTTTAATAAGTTAGTCATTAATTAGGGGACATTTAAGCCACTTTAACAATTTTGTAATTTTAAATATTTTAGTGCTTTTCTCTGGAGTTTTTTTTTACGGTTTTAGGTATTTGTTTTTGTAGATTTTAAATGCAAGGAGTCTCGATTCCTAGTCATAAAGAATGAATTTATGATAATTGTTATTGTTGTTTTAAGAAAATAGTAAACAATATTATAAATTATAATTTAAACCTAATTGTTGAATTATTATTATTTTAAATGTTTTAAAATTTAAAACGTAGATGTTTTTAACGTATTTATTGAAAAAACTTTAAAATGTTACATCTCTAAACTACAATTTAGGTCACTGGTTTCCAAATAGTTTTCATCGGGATCGGTTTTAAAACTTATCCAAAACTGGCTCCCTTTAAGGCTCTAGATTGACTACGGATGCCCGTAAAAATGTATTCCCATGTCTAATTAAAATTAAAATTAAATCTAAAGGTGTCCACGTAAAACGTTTTTTTTTTGTTAAAAAAAATGCAATAACTTATTTTAAATCAAAATTTAAAAATCGTATATGGTTGTATTCTGGTGATCCTGAAATTAACATATGAAACACAATCGGGCATATAGTCCTCCTACTAGCCCTACAGGCTTGTACAGGTTGATCTGTCCATAAAATTTGTGATGATGCGCTCATACATTTCGCTGTCCAGTTCTCCCATTACTCCTCGGATTTCTTGTTTGAGTTGGGTGAGATCACGGGGATTATTCTCGTACACTTTTGACTTAACATAAATCTATAAAAAAATTCGCTGCTAGGGGTTAGGTCACAAGACCATAGTGGCTACCTTTAGTCCCTACGCAATGAGATAAGTTTGACCGGAAAGCAAAACGCGCAATCTTTTCATTGTTACGAACGCCTTCAAAACACACTCAAAAATAATATCAAACGAAATCACACGAAAATTCAGGTTTTTAAGATAAGAAAGCTTTCGAGTACAGTGATATCAACCCAAAAATAAAGAAATGGCGCACTTTTTAAAAAAAAAATTCTTTCGTGAACATTCTATGTATAATTAGAGGCTATCAGTCGTTAATAGCCCTTTCCAGCAAATGGCACAATTCGACATTTTTCTATTTTAAACAGTATTGTTAGTATTGTTACCTTGTGTACATTAAATATAATTATATACATAATATAATAATATTCTACTTTTTTGGTCATATTTTATTTATAATTACAACGGTTACGTTAGAATAATGTATAATATTTCAATAACACCTGTATCTGCAGTAGCAGCAGCTGTAATTCCGTTGATTTATTAAATTTTCGAAACTATATCTTATAGGTACTATTGGTAATTCATTAAATTCCTACATTATTAATTTTTTTGACTTTTATATTATAATATATTCAATAAATATCCGTGGCACTGGTGTTCTAATTTCATGTTTCTATAAAATATATAATAATAATATAATTTTACATTTTCATTTTGCGACAAAAATACAAAACACATATTTATAATTTTACATGGCAGAAAAAAAAATTGTTTAAGCCAGGTAAAACAGTTTCGGCTGTAAATTATATATTTTACTGCCTTTGTTCGTACAGACGAAATTGAGAGCTGACATTTAAATAACATAATTTTCATTGAAGAAATAAGTAGGTACCTATAAAATATTATGATAATATAATAAGTATACATTTGTATTTTATATGTAAGTATATTATATACAATTTCACGCGTCGATTCTATCATCGTATATATTTTGTATTAATCGTTTTGTCTGCAATCCTCGTGAAAGCAAAGGAGAAACTAAGGTGAGCATGTTGTATACGGTGTACCTACTAACATAAATATAATGTATTATAATTATTATAGATATCCGCCAACTGTTCACGTTTACGCAGACGAGTGGCGTTTAATGGAAGACCAACCAATTATAATAATAACGTATAAATAGTGTCTTATTTACTGAAATAAAGAAATATTGGTTAAGTCACAATCTGATTCTGATCTAGTCTATATAATATTTATAACAGCGAAGAACCCAGAAAAAATTGTTTGGGAAGGGAAGGGGGGTTAAGCCCCGCGTTCACCAATGATCTTTATTATATAAATATATGATTTGAGAATTCTCTATAAAAAATGTTCCACTGAGTATCTTTTAAATACCATACTGATATTTGTATACATTTTTTTGTATTAGGTACCTACTTAGTTATACTTTCCAGAAATATTAGAAAAATGAGAGCATGGACAAAAATATCTCAGGCCCCTATATTTTTGGAGCCAAGTGCACCGTCGGCACTCATATTAATCTGTGTAAATATTATAACTAAAAATATTTGAAATATTATACGCTATAATATGACCTAACAAATTTTAAAATAAACTATAGTATGCCATAAAAACATGAAAAATGTATTAATTTTTTAAATACAATCGATAAAAAGTCATACATTTTGACTGTTTGATGGATCAATACGCCGAGCTACTTAAAAATAGATTATAGTATGAATCGAAAATGTAGGTATTTTTCTTATGGATTTAAATAAATGACAGATTATTTCTATTATTTATGAAAAATACAAAATAAATCATCATATTATGCAAATTATCAAAAATGTGCACCAAAAATTGAAAAAAAACACTAAATACCTATCTAAAATACTTTAAATATGAAAAAAACAGCAATGTAAAATTTCATATTTGGAGTTTTTGATGAATAAACCAAATATAAAGCTCACTCTGCTATTTTTATCTGTAGCCAATAATAATTAGTAAATGCTATAAAATCCGAGACCTGATTATAATATTACCTATACTAGTATTAATAATTATTATAATCGTTTATAATAGTATTAAAAAATATAATTGGATGAATAATTATTCATCCCGGGTGGCCGGGTATTACTTTTCAACCTACCCTTGTAAATTTAAATGTAATTTATACAGTACCATATACATGTATAATACATATATATTTATAATTTGGTTTTAAACAAATTAACTGATGATATTTAAGAATGTTATGTACCTATATACTTATTATCATTAATACATTTTGTCTCAATATCTTATAATATTAATAAAATAATGTGTCATAATATGATAATTCATTACTGTATCTGAGCGCATCGTAGCTGCTAGGCCGCACCATTCAAGTATATACTTGTGTATACTTATATATAAAAAGCTGGTCAATGATTTCCATTCAATAATGATATACTGAGTTGACCACTGTCTTATAATAAAACCGAATAATAATAAAATATACATCAGAAGAAAAATCACAATCAAATGACTGCGTGTGTAACATGTTATTTGAATATACTGGTAAAAAAAATCAAGAATCGCCGCCCCAAATTGTGCTCTATAGTTTCCACCTATGTATGTGTATACGTCTGTGAGTATGACGCACACGGGGTAACGGATTCACTATACTTAAAAACCAATATGATATTGACCACATGTTGACCGCACTTTTTACCGATACGCAATATAATAACGATAAATTAATATAATACGTACACATTTGTAATTTATTTTTATTTGGCAGGAAGAATCATAATACATATTATAAATTACGCCTGAAATTTAGCAACATATATAGACTTGACTACCTGAGTAGTTAATATATTAGGTATATAGTGGCGTATACAAATATGTTCGAATTTTCAATTGAATGTGATATAGTAATTAATAATCATTTGCAAATCTTAGAATCGTTTTATGTTCAAGATGTTCCAAATTTTATGTCACCACCAAATTTTCCAGGAAATATTTATTTTTAAAAAGTGATTTATTTAAAAAAACTTTTTGGAATAATATATTCTAAAATGTTATATTGTCCTTATTAAGTTTTAAATCGAAAATCAAAAGTAGATAGCCAATAGCCGATTCGCCCCCAAAAATAAGAGTGACAAAAAAAGGACAATGTAACATTTTGTAATATAATATAATTATAGAGAAAGTTTTTAAATAAATAATTTATAAAAAAAAATAAATAACCCATTAAAAATTATGCTGTAGCATAAAATTTAAAAGACTGAACACCAAACCCGCGACCAAGGAAATTATTATTGCGCCCAATTAAAAAAAGCCAATTTTATTCAATAACTTTAGTTTACCATCTGTGAATAATTCAGTTGAAATTTACATATATATAGGTATATATATATATACATTTCAAGATAAATTTACTAAATAAATACTCATAGTAGTTCTATGTATCTAAACCAATGGGAAGGCAATTATATCACTGTATAATTAACAATTATAGGGCAATAGTGCCCTAACTGAATACGGACACTATAGTGTTCCACCTCAAATAGGGTTCAGGAATACGCACCGATAATGACCGCAAGTTGACCACTGCAGTTTAACCGTAGGTTAGGTTAGGTATACATACGCACACGATAGACCGTCCGACGACAATCGCCCGTTATTTCCGGAAGGACAACTATGGCTTGCCGTCGTCTGATTTAGTCGAGACATGACTCGTTGAGTAGTTTTTTTTTGTTTTTTCATTTCTATGTCGCGCGCTAAGTGCCGGTCACCATTATCATATATACGTTTCCGAATCACAAACATTTGCCGTGCGTACCGTATATGATGTACAGCGCGATCGCTTTATTATCAACAGGTCAACGTCGTCGATTATTTTTTTCTCGAAAAATAACATTTCGATCCGTCTAAACCTCGTAGATAATACAATCTCACCAATCATACATTATTGGACATGCAATATTACTTTTAAACGGAAACGCACAAGAAGTCAAAAAATTTAATTATATTGATTACCGGGCGCCCGGAAGGAGTAATTCAGGGGCGACAAATGACGGATATATCATATCGATATAATATATATAAATTAGGTCAAAGATGGTGGAAAATTACGTCAATAATATCAATTCGGGAAATATAAAAAAAAAAGATTTTTTCTGTTTACTTAAATTGTTGTCTTTGACCGATCAATGTCATCGTTTCTCATGATTGGTGGTAAAAAGTGATGCATAACATTATCAAGGTATTATAGGCGCTCATTGAGGGGTCAAGAAGTAGTGACGTCATTACGAAGAGGATCTGGCTTTTTTTTTTATAGTAGTTATCCCTATAAAGTATACAAATTGTTGAAACTAAATTTGGGGTGTTAAATATAAGTATAAATATGAAAATGTTTGATTAAAATTTGAATCAAAATTATGACTAATATCATAATTAAAAGCTGAAAATTCGAAAATCCATGTATCACTTAAATGTATAATATAAAGTAGTAGGGATTAAAAAAAAATGTAACATATTTTTTATAAACTGTACCAGTATAGAATTTTTTTTGTTAAAAATTTTATATTCTCTCAAAATGCATCGTTCGTCCGACAATAATATTGTTAAAAAATTACGATCACCGTGTATACGGTACGTAGATACTACTATATATAATAATATCTACTGCACTCAAACGGGTAAAACGCAACTAGGTCAACCGCTTGTGCCCATACAGTAATTCTGTACGTTAAACGCGTGCATTAGGCAGTTACGGATTATTGCATCAGAGATGAGCGTCGTCGGTCTCTAAACACTAAAACCGTACGCGGAATTATGTATATACATACATAGATACTCGTATTTTAAAAGCGTGTAAACATCAGTAAAACCGTTCCGTAGGTTTGTTTAAACGCCTATACATATTCCCATTTCAAAATGAATTCATAATTACCGCCACCTAACTAGCTATGCAATGCCACGAATTCGTGCGACATAACAAAAATTAGGGTTAGGAAAATGATACACTAAGCACCTACAGCAAAAAATACATTAACAAATTATCAATAATGCTACACAGTACATACATGTATAAACAAATTTTTCTTTTTAAATTTTGAAAATGATACTAGAAAATGTACTTATTCTTGAAAATCGTAAAACAAATGAAAAATAAAATAACTTCCTCATTGCATCAATTAGTTATAATTTTCTTTTAGAAAAATTGTTACACTTCGGAGCAGAATTTCTGATAGAAATTGTTCACACAGTATAAAAAATAAAAATAAGTAAACATCATTGTATCATTGTAAAACTAATACATTCTATTTGCTTCACTCGGAATCTAAAATGCAAATAATACAAATTCCAAACCCTAATAATAATACACATGGCGGAAATTGGTTGTCGCGTCGATGACACGAAACGATTTACTTGATATTTTCGTGTGATAACCGTGGTGAGAACTGCGTGCTATTATAATAGGTAGGTACCTAGTAGGTATGACGTATATTATGCGATCCGAATTGACACGTTATTTTATTCCCGAAATCGAGTATAAGTATACCTAGCTAGCATACGCATGGTATTAGAGAAAACGTTAACAATACTTTCAGAAAAAAAATACATCCGTTTTTTTTTTCACGACGAGTAACGAACGGAAACTAGGAATAAACAAATAAAATAGAATTTCCGTTTCATAAGATTAAAATCGCACGTTAGCCACCCTTTAGAGGCTAAATTTTGAAATAAACTGAAGCATTATAATGTATTACGTTCTCAGAGAAATTCTTTAAATAATAACGAAAACCTAATCAAAATTTGATTTAGTTGTGAATGAAAAATAAACAAACAAATAACAAACACTTTTTCGTTTTTATATATTTCGTGCAGGTTTTGAGATTTGTGTTGAACACCAACAACTTATTGTATATATAGACGAAATTATTGTGTGTACAAAAGTAAAATCCGGTATATTTATGAAATTGTAATGTGCAAATATATTTATTCTTTCATTTTACATGTTGTTAAACGACTTTCTTTTTATATTATTTTGCAATACACACGGATACGAGACAAATTATATTTATTATTTTTTCTGAAACTTTTCAGATGTCGCACTTTCAAATTAATAAAATAATTACACGAATAACGTTTAGCATTCATCACGATGAGAATTTTGTCAGTTTACAAGAAAAAGTTTTCAAATTCGCGTTTGTTTACCTGATAAATTCTCACGCAATAGGCTAGGTATAATAGCTGCACGTGAATATTATGACAATGGGTATTAATTTTGAAACAAAAAAATAATAATTTAATTTCACCGAAAAATGAAAAATTCGCGTGAAACAATCGGAATGCAGGGCGTGTATCCGATTTTTCCCTAGGTAGTTACCAATTTACGCGGCGTGTTTAAAAATCTAAACAACTAAACATAAATACTCATATAATAACAATTAGGTATAACACTTTCAAACAATTGCAATTATTTTATTAAACAACAATCAAACGTGATTGTTTCATTATTCCCAGCCAAGTGTCCGTGTAATATATCTAGTTAATTGAACACAATTATTGTAATTTAGTATAGTAACATTTTATTTTTTTTTTTCAGATTCTAATAGTAAAGCGGAGAAGCTATAAGTTTTACTAAAATGTTTTTTTTTTCGATCAGTTAAAATACTGTGCACATTTTCTGTTCAATAAAATTTTATATGAAAATAATTTTCTGGTTCCCAACAGTTGACAAAAAAAAAAAAAACTAACTTTGAAACTTCGATATATTAGTTTTTGTTTTATTAATTTCTAGATTATTTCTGAGCTACAAGGAAGGGGGAACACGGTTAATACTACAAAAGCTTACCAGTTTGCAGAGTTTCGTCCACAATCGTTTTTCATTCGTAATGATATATCGTTGCATACAGTATATTATATATATTAAATCATCGTATAAAAATCCTAGTATCCTACCTATTTTAAACTTCTCTACAAGCAGTACAAACAAAGTTGCTTACCCGTGCTGTGAAGTATATTCGGCATTTTTTTAGTTGTGATATATTATGTCGTATCACTCAATTATTGACTTGTCAGTATCATATATAACAGAATACTCGCAACAAACTTGCTAGTTTAGGTAGATAGATATACCTACCTACTATTCACACATTTATGCGTGGTTCGAATATTTTTCTGTTTTCACACTCGTCAGCACTCCGCGCTATTATAACATATTAATAATATCACGTACAACTTCGTGAGAAGACGATGTTAGTTAATCTCACGGATAGATACACATGTAAACCGTGCTACAAATTATACAAGTTATAACGATATAAAACTGCCTACTTCAGGGTACAAAGCGCGATCTAGTGTTTTCACTCGTAATTGGATCGTCTCGTTATAACACAGATTCATTAAATTTAGGGAAAACTTTAATAACAGCCAACACGTGAAATTTATATTTTTGAATTTCTTATATATCCATATTACTATCTTCATATGATTATTATTTTGTAACTATCGATTCGAATTTTTATAATAGGTATTAGAAATTGGTTTAATTTAACAAAACTATAAAACAAAAAATGGGTTTAATGATAGGTACCTAGGTATAAAAACCCTATGTCCAATTAAATACGATAAATAATGTCCTACAACGTGTGTAATATTACCTACTATGGCACGTAGTCGTTAAAAACATTTTAAACCATATATTACCTATACCTACCTAATGCCCATGCCCATTCAGCTATAAACATGTATGAATGTATGATTAATTATGAAATACCTATATAACATGTTAAAACGTAATTAATGACAAACTCAATTGCATAAGGTAAAACTTCAAGAATAAAAATTCGAGCACGGGTCCAATCGATAAGCAGGCACCGAGTCTAATTGTCTTCCAACTGAGAAACAAGTGTTGAAAAAACTAAATCATCACACTAAATATAAATATTAATGTCAAAATGCATGTATCAAGTTACTAATATTATCAAATTAAAAGACGATATAATACCTTATTAATCTATAATCGTTTATTATATCTAGTTTCATTCAGTATTTTAATTTGTTAAACAAATTTTAAACATTGAATTTAGTAAATTTGTATTAAAATATGAATTTTTAAATCTCTCTTTAATATCTCTTCGAGAAAATCTCGTTTTAAAATTAAATAATTTATCTCGACAATAATGCGATTTGAATCGAATGTGTAATATTTAAGTAATCTTCTTTTAAAATTTAAGTATTAAAAATTTAAAAAATCTTCTTGAAACTATTAAATTTGAAATACATAAATCAATAATAATATAATTAAGTTTTTGTTAATTAATAAATTGAAACTATAATATTGATATATTACATTCAATAAAGAATTATACAATTATAATGAAATATTGAATCTAGACATGTTCTGGAGTCTAAAGATCGCCTTATAAACTTATTATAATTAGGTGTTTTATTTTTGAAACTTAGCGAAAAAAGAAATTTATTGAGACTCGTAAATGTAAATTAATGTATTATATATTTGTGTCAGCAACATTTAACAGGTTTATTTTTTTTTAATTCAATTATTTTTCTATTATTTATGTAAATAAATAGTAATATAGGTAATTAAAATATACAATGCATGATTACCTTTATATTCTATTTAGTATTTATACTATTACAACAATAATATTCAGTACTTGCGATTTTAGTTTACAATTATTAATTATTATAATTATTCTTCTTCGTAAAAGCCGGAAAAGGGAGAAGAATTATTACAATAATAAGTTTTGAATAATTATATTACATTAATTATTGATGCACTTTTATAAGTGTTATCATAATTTATATTATTGTTTATAGGTAATATTTTGTGTTACATTGTATTATTATTATTTTTTTTTAAACTGCATTTACGATATTAAAAAATAATAATAATAATATTTTCAATAATAAAATTTAAACATTAAAATGATTTATGTTAATTGAATAAATATAAATTTTATTCTCATTCTTTAAATTACCGATTTATTTCAAAATAGGTATTTATTATTATTAACCTAAATATGTTTAGAAAAATTTTAAAGAAAATGTATTATATAGGGGTATGACTATATTGTTTATAATATACCTCCATAATTATTTTAAACAGGTTTTGTTCGTTTTTTTTTCCAATGTTATCTAATTGTTGTATACTGTGACTAAATAATATGTAATTTAATGGGAATTCTTAACGGTTTAGAATCAGTCAATAAACTCTAATACCTACTTTTTTCTATTCTTAGAAAAAGTACCTAAAGTGGTATTAAATTTAAAAATACCTGACTAATTTATACTCAAACGTAATTAAAATTACGTTAGGTATGTTTTTAATATGCGTTAAATTATAAAAAATATCACGCTTTAAAAATAAAAATAAAATTTAATTTTTTATTTGTTTATACAGACAATAAAGTCATTTATTCTGTTATAGCTAGTAGTTCATTGATTTTTTTTACTTATATCGTATTAATATTTTTTAAGCATTTTGATTTAAAGGAAATAAAGGGATAGTCGTTTTATACAAATTGTATAAATTATTCAAAAATGTAAAAAAACGCTTTTCATCCGGCATCCTACAGTGATAGTGCAATATTTATGTACCGTGCAATTCAAACAAAATATTAGTATTAATTTTATTAAATATAGTTATTAATTTTATTTATGTTTCTCATGTGGGTTTAATACTCAAATTTTAAAAAAACGTATAGTATATTTTAATATCACAGTAAATATATAGGTATGTATGGATATTTATTTATATTGTTGTACACACATAAATATTTTGAAAAAGACAATATATTATCAGAATATCAGTGGATTTATGAAACGACTAACGTGTCGGCAATCGGCATTGACCGTGATTTTAAGTTCTACTATCCAGTTCAACGATTTTGACCTTCAATTATATATATACTAACAAGGTACCTATCATCACGAGTCGATTGGATTTATATCAGCAGCGTAAATAATAAAAAATACTGCCTAAAAGAGGCGAACCAAGGGACGGGAGAGCCAACCGACCCATAGTTTTTTATCATTACTATATAACCCCTATTTTGAAAATATTACTAAAATATTTTTTGAACATACTGTTATTATTATCAGTGATGGTGAAATGTTTTAAATTAAATAATCACATTATAAATTTTTGGTATATAATATAGTATATATACAATATTATATTATTTTATTGTTTTGACGATACTTACATATAATAATACGAGTAATATCAAGTAGCATATTATACAAATTTAACTAAAACTGGTTTATAGGATTGTTTAAATAAAGTGGGTTACCCATCAATTAACCAAACAATTTGTTAAAATTCTAAATATTAATATTGTAAGTTAGTTATCTATGTTAGTACCAAAATATGAAATAAAATAGGTACCTAAATTTTGAGTAAAAAAATTGATTTTGGATTTAATAGTTAATTTCCTCCACAGGTGGCCTTTCTTGAGTTGACTATTTAATTCGACCAATACTACCTATCCCGCTCAGAATCTGTTTTTATTTTTAATGATTTATCATTGTCTTCAGTATATAAATTAAAAAATATAATTATCTTTTATCGTGTACCTTTCAAACTTCTCACCTATTCAGTGCCTACTCATGGCGGCGATAGTGCGAAGAACGTCCGGTTTTTTATTTTTTAATTTACAAGTCATTGTAAAAAGTATTATACATTTTAGATTTAAATAGTTTAGTATTAATTCACGCTTGTATTTTTAAATTTGTTCACAAAACTTACACATTTTTTATTTTTATAGGTTTCAGTTGTAAGCGGGGCGACCAGTTCCTACGCCTCAACAACTGATAGCGAACTCAAATTCACTAGAAAATTCAGTCAAAGATATCGATGGAGGTGTTGCATTATCGAAACGATATTGGTGTTTTTGTTAATATTCTCCCTATCATTATACGCAGGCTGTGAGTATATGATTATATAGTACGTTTTAATTACAATTCATAATACTTTATACCTATTACCTAGTACCGACCTTACTAATGGCAGTGGCCGTTTTATTTTGGTAATTTTTGTTTAATTAGTATTTATTTCCTTATACAATATAATAGTATCTATAAGCTATAAGAGTAATCCCTATAAAATACCAAATAAAAGAGACGGGGTATTATAGTGTACTCTAAAAAAAAATAACTTGGGTATTTCAAAAATATTTTGTGAATGTCCAACGATTTTATATTTTTAACGTTTAGTGCTCGTCGCTCGACTTAGAGGAAGTAGTTTACAACATTACAATGGTTTTATAATTTTTACTATATCTGGAAATGCCTAATATAAGTTTTAGTGGAAATTCAAGGTCTTTACGATTATTTTTCACGGAATTACAAAAAATGAAAACAAATCGAATTTAATAAAAACCGTTATTTTGAAAATTTTCAATTTCCTGACGGTTTTTCAAGAGTTTTATTTTCTCCCTTAATTAAGAAAACTACAAAAAAAAAAATCAAAATATTACCATTAAATGCTCTAAATAATATGAATTGTCTATTAGAAACCATCTCTAATATTGAGAATAATTTCTAGTAGAAAAGTTGTTAACAGATAAAAAAAAAGCTACCCTAGGATAATGGGGATGGGTACAGCCACTGTTATAGATAATTTAATGTGTATCTATAAGTGACGATAAACCATTGCTAACAAAAAAACGATTCAAAGCGGAGTTCGGTGATAGTATTGCTTTGTTAACAATATATTATAATATGTGATATATGGTAAAATAATTGTATAATTATAGTATTTTTTTTTTAATATTGTAACTATTTCCCCATATTTTTCTTTACTTTTCCCATTTATTAAGAAAACTCCTGAGAAATCAAAAAATGATCTCCTTAAAGTAAATTAATTTAGGTTAGGCTTATTTGATCCACTCAGAATCTAAAAATGAAGTAAGAGAAATGTGAGGGTGCAAAGCCCTCCTACTTCATAAATTTGATTAATTTAAATAATTGCGAGGAGCGCTAATTTTTGTTTAAGTTTTATAGTCTCTCTTCTTTTTTTTCCAATTCAATCACTGCGTACGGTAATATAATATACTAGACATTTTTCAATACCATATATTTTGACTAAAAAATATCAAGTTATTTCATTTTTTTATTATTATTATAGGTAACCTACCTATATAGATTTTATTTTTCAAATTAATTGTGGTAATTAAATGCCGTTATTTGATAAACAGGTCAGCAATAATCGATAAATCACAGTACAAATAAGTTTATGTCGTTTATTGATATTTAGAATTCTACAGTTGATCGATTTCTTAAAGCGATACGCGTAGATTAAATCCTATATAGGTAATAATCCACTATGTATATTATTATTATATTATATACCTGCAATTAAATTATTGATATAAATGTTAGCACGTGGTGTACAATGTACATTGGTTATTTCGATAAGTTTTTAGAGACGTTAACACACACTTTGTGGTTTTTAATTTATTTTTGAACGAAATGAAATAGTATAACATAATATTGCGTCATAGATTTCGTACGGTCTAGTGTCTATAGCGTCTAAGTGTGCAACAATATTCATGATAATAATATTGTTATGAAATAATAAAATTTATAGTTTCTTTAATATATTTATACATTATTAGAATTTGTTAGGTTACATTATTTATTTAAATGTAATATTAATATAATATTATATCTAATATTGTTAAACTTGTTAAAAATATATTTGTTAAACAAAATAGATTAATATTTATGATTATTTAACTATATGAACACTATATTCCGGGTCGCATTTAGGATTTATCAAAGATGTCCTGTGCAAACAAATGCCACCCACCCCCCTTAAGTTTTATATAGATATTAATCTTTTTTTGTTTTTTCGTTTAATAAACGATATTTACATACAGTTGGCAGATAAATAAGATAAATTTGGAAGCACGTTTTTAAAAATTTAAATAATAAAAACCTATAATTTTATAGTACCAATACACCAATCGTACAGTTTGCATCGTTCAAGTACAACAATTAAAAATAATGTAGGATGTACGATAATAAAACTTCTATTGTACGTTAAAATATGATAATCAGGACGGATTCCAGGACAATGCACATAAATCTGCCATCCGGTGCAATAGCACCTATTGCTTCCCTCTAAATATGACCTTGATGATGTCAATCTTTTAGATTCTGGGCGTCACGAGGAATGTATTGCTAGAAAATTTTGTCTAGTTGGTACGAAGTTAGTTCATACATTAAAGAGAAATTTTTCTTATTACTTGGGAAAATCCGGAAGGACGCGGGAAAATTTACATAATTTCGGTTTCTGTAATTTAAATTTATTTTTGTTATTTTTTTTTTATTTGGTTAGAAACGATTGTAGAGCGCCCTGAAATATTGTTGAGATCATTTCACCTATAAGGAAATTATAATGATATTGTTAAAACTTGTTTTTTATTTTCATCAAAATATAAAAATGTTATTATTATACTATATCTATCCAGAACAATAGTGTCTGTTTCAAATAGAAAATACTTATAGTAGTAGAATAAAAGTTAAATAACCGTTCAAGTTTTAAGTTTTTTATATATATGGATCACAAAGGCTAAACTTCGTCTTTTTTCAGATAACATATAAATTTTCCTCAAAATCGATAATCTTAATCAATGTCTTGAACTACAATCCGAACTCAATATTGTTACAAATTGGGTACCTGATATTGACCTTAATACAAATAAATGTCATATTATGACTTTCTAGAGAGCGATCTCCTATTCACCACAACTATATTTTAATGGTACCACTTTTGACCATGTTTTTCTCTAGAAAGATCTTAGTATACATTATATTCTATCTTTAAACTTTGAACATCTTATAAATATAACCGTAGGTAAAGCATTAAAATTCTTGAAATTTATTAAGCGTAATACCACTAATTTTTCTTTTGTTCGTTGCCTCCGGACATTTTATTTCGCGTTAGTACATTTAATATTAGAATACGGAGTGGTAGTATGGCATCCTTACATGGCTAACGATGAATTAAGACTTAAACGAGTCAAAAGTAAGTTTCTTTCCTATGCCGCCCATATCTTCAATATAGTACACCCATCATATGATTACTCCTTAATTCGTAGTATATTGGAAATTTCACTACTCTCATTACCCAGAAAAACATTGACAAGGAATTTATATCTTCACTCTTAAGAGGTACCATAAACGCTCCTGATCTCCTATCAAACGTAAGTTTTCGTATCCTTTTCTTCTTCTCCAGACATCACTCACTCTTCCTAGTACCAGCTAATAGTACATCGTACGATAATAACCACTTCTGACACAAAATGCTTCGTAATTTAAATAGCCTTAATTTTGATTTCAATCATAAGTAATTAAATGTACGACTAGTTGTAATGTTTTTATGTTTAATTTAATTTTTATTCATACATTTTTTCTTTTTATTTTTTTTTTTAAGGTAGTAATATGTCACCATCTAATTTGTATTTTGTTGTCTCGGCATTTTTTTTGCTTGTTACTGTGTATTATTAGTATTTTATTATAAATAATTGTTACTTGTAAACCAAACTCAAAATGTAATTTTAAAATTGCCGACTAACGTTTATAAATAAATAAAATAAAATAAAAATATTTATTATTATAAATACCCATTGTAGATAGAATTTGGAAATTTGTTCAAAGTATATTACATATAAATGTATATATTAAATAATATAGGTGATTATTACAGTTTACATTTTTATTATTATAGGTTTTATAATACAATAATAGTACGTATGCTAAACGCACGAAATATCTGAGTTTCACTTTTTATACTTTACACAATATAATAATATCTTGATCCACAATTTGAGTTATCAGAATTCGGAATATGTTATTTATCAACGGATAATGGTGTGTTTAATATACTTATTGGTTTCACAATACAAACGTAATATTTTTATAATTAAATAAAAACATGTTTTAATTATGGTTTTATTTTTTGATGAACCTAATATTACCATGGTAATTCATAATTAATATCATACACTTATGACTTATCTATAGTTTAATTTTTTCGAAATGGATCGTGCATGCATATAAATATCTTTAAATTAAGTGTTCTTTTATTATGTCGTTAACTCGTTTTACATAAAGTGAAAATAAAATACATGTATGTATATGATTTAGTATATAGTTCCAACAACAATTTGTTTTTTCAGAAAATAATACAACGATGCCGTGTATTTAATTATTATACGCCTATTCCTTAATTTTCAAATTAAATAAGTAATAACCTAGGTGTATTTTTCAAATATAGGTATTGAAACGAACTACATAATAATAAAAACAGATTTTCAAACAATACGATTTAAATCACGTACGATGTTTCAATCGATCATTCTCCCATAAAAAAAAACTTGTTTTGTATATAAACAAATCTATTAAAATTATTTAATGTTTATTATGCTGCTGATTCGATATTAAAATTCTCATTCATTCATTTTTTTTTCTCCAATAGATACAAATTACAGTGCCTATTATTTTATTTAGTTAACGGCTTTCTGTTATTTTTGGATTGTAACGCTATTATTATACGACACCGTGAAAAATGCATTATATGAGTTTACCTATAACAAAAATAAATAATCTCGTGGGAGATTTTGTTTGTTTTCATTTGGATTATGTTTATTCGGTTCAATGACCATAAAAAGTACCTATTTGTATATAAATTGTGAAGAATGTACGTAGAGTTAAATAGATAAAAAAAAATAACCACACTGATTAGTACGAAACAAATTTATTACTATTCAATATTTTTAAAAACCTAGTTTGATTAACGTTTGTGTTTTGTTTAATTCTAAAATAAAAGCATAACAAAAATGCACTTATTTTGAAAATATGATACTACTATTTTCTAGGTGGTTGGGGAAGGAGAAGCATAAATAATATAAGTTTTTCAATTAAAATGTATAAATGTCATTTTATTGTATATTTTTTTGGAAATTTTCTCTGGGTGGTACTTTAGAGAGGTCATTTTTTTAAATTCTCATTAATATTCGAGATAATGAGGAACATCTTGGTCTTTAAATTAAAAAGATTGAAAGATTAATACAAGGTTATCATTGGCAACCATTTTTATTTATTTTTTGTTATTATTAAGTTTTTATTATTTTAATATTTTTTATCAATCATTGTTGTCATGAAAACGCGCATTGTTTTAATCATTTTTCCATAATATGACATAATACCATACATTGTATTGTTGACGAAGCAACATTATCGACTGAACTCGATTCAGAATGTTTTTTCGTTAACAATGACTTATCGTTGCTTACAGATATACATTAAATTCCCATCTGTAGCCTAATTTCCCAATTTCTTATCTACAACAGTGGCTGCATCCACGAGTCTAGTATGTCTGTCCTTTTTTTACGGGAGAGTGAAACTATTTATAAGAATAAAACTGGATGTATATTTATTTATTTATTTATTTACGGAGAAAAAACTCCATTTCAAAATCATAAATAAAAATATAACAGTAGTAAATATAAAGTGAGCTATAAATATGTGTGTACACTATACAGTATAAGAATAATTTATATAAAATACAGAATGTAATATGAATAATAATAATAATTATTATTACAATGAATATAATAAAACATAGTACATAATTTGGTTACATAATAAGATTAAATCGAATCACAAATTTGTTTAACATTATTTATACTACAAGAAAATAGATCTATATTAGCAGAATCGCCTAATGAAATATGCTGGTGAATTTATTGAATAATTATTTTACAATAATACAAGAAAAAATACATTACTACGGGTTTTGAGGGGAGCTAATAACCCAATTGTCCCACCTGGATCCGCCATTGATCTATCCATCGACAATATTCACCATTCGTAGTTCATACGAAAATAAATTAAACCTTTATACAACAAAAGCACAGTAAAGAAATTGGAAAGTCGACAGGTATATTTTTTAATAATTTATTTCTGTGATGAATACGATACACATTAGGTACCTAGTTACTAACTATATATTATATTACCTGTATGTTTTGTTGGACGTTGGACCTATTCGGATATACAATATAATAATCTTTCTATACCCGGAATTGATTAGGTACCTGTCTATATTATTATAATGTCTTTGTGTAATTATTTTGAACCAATCGAAATTTTTAGTCTATGTATAATATAATATATACATCCATATTTCATATAGAGTTTATTTTGGGGAGCACGCATATACAATGTATGGGAATTTTAGTTTACTGATTGAAAGTGTAACAAAACGGCGCTTCCTTTCACCCATGATCGACCGTATCCAATGTGTTATATATGAGTATTTCTATATGCATTAAATATAATATTGTGTACATATATGAATCGCTATTTTGTTTATCGATAGAAACGCATAAAAAAACTATGTAAATAAAAAATACATAAAAGAAACTGATTTTCCGTCTTAAGCAATTAGGTGAACGTGATTCAAATTATGATTTTTGTAAAAAAATAAAATAACGAATAATCAACATATTTTATTTACACCGTTACACGTAACACGTTACACGCACTGTTGATCAAAATCTATACAAATAATGTGTGCACCTTCCTGCTGTGTATAGGTATTAGAGATTTATTTTATAAAATGTTTGCTGTTTAACTAAAACGTGTCTATTAAAATACCTATATTCGGTATTAATAATAAACAATTTTAGGTGAAATAGAAATAAGGCAAATATCATTGATATAATCGAATAATATAATAAAGGTAACTTTCGATTTTCACATTGATTTAAAATGTTTAGGAATTACAAAACAAAATTCTAACAATATCGTACACTATACAAGTGTAGGGAAATAATACATATAGGTACCTATAATAGCAAATGAAGATTTTAGTATTCAGCGTTATTATTATAACATAAGAAATTTGATAGGTAGATACGAGTAACCGTGAAATTCTAACCAATAGGTTGAATGAATCAAATTACCTATAACGGTATTTACCGTTGGTCGTATAGATTATTAATATCTAAATAAAATTATAATATGCTCATATAATTTTCAGATGATTATTTACAACGTACGTATAACGGCGAAGAAAAGGTATTCCGGGGTGATCTAAGAGCAAACGAATATGGAATAGATTTAATCGATTTTGACAATCCGGACAGTCAAAACTATCAACATTTTGTATTAAATTACACTAATTTAATCAAAAACATAATAAATAGTAGTCCGTTAGAACAAAAATTCGTCGATGCCGAAGTTATTTCTCTTGAACCGTAAGAATAATAAAAACTAATTACCTACATATTATATTGTTAACCTCATGATCTCCGAAGTCCTACTGATGGAAAACCCAGATGGGTGATTTCAGTAGGCATATGATAATGGTTCTGTTACGTGGAGAAAGGAATTAATTTTATAGTTGACAATAGGCAATAGCATTCTTCCGGTGGGAGTATCAAAATACTCTCATGGTACCTAATGGTCGTCTTATCGTAAGAGACGACAAATGAAGTTGCGACAGGTCAACAGCCAGTATAAAATTCTGTCAAATAGAATGCCTATTATGAGGCATAATAGGCTTAAGAAATGAAAAGTAGTAATTGAAGAAAATGGGCTAAGGATAAGTAGAAGTAAAATAGTTTGGAAGAACAGAACAAGACAGCTAACGACAATAAACGGTTATAGGTGAGGTTGAGAGTTTTAAGTAGGTACCTACCTAAGATCTTTTATACAAAAGAACAGTGGCTTTTATGAGGTTTCATGAGGTTTTAATTCTATGTTTCATAGGATTAAGTGTTGTTGGATAACGTGGAGGGAAGCGTCAGATGTTTAATGTAATAAGAAAATTCCAATAAGACTTAAAATTAAGTTCTATAAAAATCTAATGGAACTATGATGTATTATATGATATTGAGTATAGCAGAAATAAGAATGCTTAGGTGGATGAGTAGAGTGACGAGAGAAAATAGGATAAGGGATGAATGCATAAGAGGTAGCTTAGGCGTGGCTTCAATAGTAGATAAAGTTAAAAAAATGACTGAGATGGATTGAGCATGTCATGGAAAAAGAGTAATCTGAAGCAATAAGAATTTTTAAGAAAATAAAAGTAGGAACAAAATAGTGGTGCGTATTTAGGATTTTGTCATGGAGAGAGACATTGAATTTTTAAATATTTCGTTATATACATTGTGACCGGGTTAGAATAAAAAAAAAAAATCCAATTTTAAATTTATTTATTTTTTGTAAATATTTTATAATTCAATCTGTACCCTAGCGTTAACATTGAAATATTATAGTAATTATTATTATTATTATTTTAGTTATACTATTCTAAGAATAAAGAGAAGAAGAACCTTCTTTCTATTTAAGTTCAGATGAGTTTCGTTTTTAATAAAGATATTTATCTATAGGTATTCGTATATCGTATAAATAATATAGCTACTAAAAAAAATATCAAATGGGGAGATATATTTCCCTGATCTCCTCCCTTAAATACGCCACTGGAGCAAAGAGATAGAGGAAGACTGAGTAAGATATAGTTGGATGCGATTAAAAATTATAAAAGGACAGTCAGTGTATGCGAGGTGGGAGATCAGGTCAAGTGGGAGTTTAAAATGAGAAGGGCCTAGTCTTAATAGTTGGGATAAAGGCGAAGGGAAAGAAGAAAAAGACTTATATACTATAATATATACTACTATTGTTTGTGTATAACAATAATATGTATGTCCAGGCGTTTTTTATTGGAGGTAAAATCTAAACCATAAACCATTCTAACTCATACTCACTCATATTCACTCATAGGTAACTTATGGCAAATAACTATTAAGATCATTTTTTTAAATTAGCAAGATAGCACGTATCATTAAAATTTGGTTTCAATTTTCTCATTATATTATACTGAATAGATTAAATCTAATTGAAAATATAAAAGAAATAAAAACATGTATAAATACTAAATTCATTATTATAATGTTTAAATAATTAAAACATAATTTTAGTTCAAGTCAGCGTTGAGTATTGTCGACATGTTTAAACTCTTCATTGATATCTGTATGATATAACACTGATGATATAGGAAACAATTTTTAAGTTAAAATTATGTTTTCAGTGATGACGGTGTCTTGAAAGTTAATTTTGGATTAAGATTTGAACCAGTAAGATGGAGAATGTCTGTGACTGTGGAAGATATACTATCAGCGTTTCGTCGTTTATATCCTTCGACAAATATCGTCCCGGGGAGCTTGCACATTAGACAAATAACCAATAATGCTCTCATCTCGACGAAACCATCGACATTGGCACCAGAAATTACATCTAAAACAACCGAATTTTACTCAACCAAATTACCCCCCAGAAGATGCACACCCGTAAGACTGAACTTGTGTAAATCCGTTTTGGAATACAATTTGACTAGCTATCCTAATCATTTTGGACACAGTAATTTGGATGAAATTCATGAAGATTTAATAACATTCAGGTCGGTTTATTAGTATGCAATATTGCGAATATTATATGACGAATGTGCGACATAAAATTTTTGAATTAAAGTCTTGTTTCCATTGAATTTATATTGGTTATGATCTTAAACAATAGCAATTTAAAAAAAAAAATGTTGGGATGAAAAATATTAAAATATTTTTTCCTCTTGCACAATACAATTTCTTCTTTTAACTTACATGGTCTCATATCTTCCCTAAAATAACTTCTACAGCGACTTTTCTTTTGGCCTTTCTATTCCCTGGCTTCCATCTATACTTATCTCATGTAATTTTTGATTTGGGTATGTATCTGACTGTTTCTCCACAAGTATAAAATATAATTACTTATATTAGTGTAATAATCGGTTGGCCGTCATTTTCCATAGAGATTTGGTGGACGCCGAATGTTATCAGAGGACGTTGGAACTGGTCTGCCAGCTCCTTCAACCGGCTTGCATTGTCGGGCCAGACGGGGACGAGGCCGCTGTAGTGCTGCCGTGCGAACACAGTTGCCGGTTGTTCACGGCGGGCTGTGGGCACCGGATTCCCCCTAAGCTACGTGACGGTTTCGACTGTTCTAAGCTACCCGACTACAGTAACATCGGAGGTACGATGTGCGCGTCCCGGCCCGGGTGCGACTACAAGCTCCGGACGTCCGGTCTGTCAAACCGGCTATGCGACGGCGTGCTCGACTGTCAGGACATATCAGACGAGACGACCTGCGGCTATTGTCCCGCTGGGTATCTCCATTGTATCACCTCCAGAACGTGCGTCCCCGTCACGTCCCGATGCGATGGCGTGGCCGATTGTCCGGGAGAAACGGATGAACGCAATTGTTGTGAGTGTACCTACATATATTAGGTATTGAATAATAGCTCTAACCACTGAAACCCGGGGGGATGTACTCACAAGGGAGAAGAGAGTGCCACATCTCTATTTAACCTTTTTTTTTTTTATTAATATTACTCATTTATGTTTTTAAATTTTCTGTTATTAGTGTCTTTTTTTTTATTGGTGTATTTTTTATATTTGGTGACAATATTCAACACGAAATCATCGTAAATGATGAATATATTTTACACGATGGTATATATTATGTTCTATTACTTGTAATTAAGATGCAGATGCATATTGTTTGGAGGAGTTGGTATCAAGTATTGTACTTGAAAATAATGTATAATGGTTTTATACCTATGACAGATTCTCTCCCTCTACACATATAAAATCAAGCATTATTCAAACGACTTTACAATTTTGTTTAGTATTGATTTCACCAACTGCAAGGTCCATAGACCAAACGTTACCTTTGGCCACAATAGACGCGTATCCGCCTGACGGTTATGTATTTTTCGTCGAACGAGGAATGTCGGGCAAACTGTGCGCGGCTAATTTTCAAACGGACATACCAAACCCAAAAATGAATGCGGCCCTTCAAACAATCGCAATGTCGCTATGCCGTACACTCAACTATCAGTAAGTATTTTTATTCACCTAATTTCTATTAATATAATAGTATTTACTATTAAGTACAAATATTATAACTGTGCGGTTGTATCGTAAGGAATCTCACTAATGCAGAAGTCGTCGACGATGAAGACCAGGCGACTCAAGTTCCACCGCGGTACGTTCACGTCGTTGATCCGTTTGCGAGTGAGATCACTTTTAACTTGGGCACATGCCCCAGTAAAAAAGTTTTGCACGTTGCGTGTAACGACCCAGGTAATATACAATTTGCATAGTTTTTAAATAGTTTTTCCTGCTGTTAAAACATAAACATATACATATAGTTTGCGGAGTACAAACGAGTAGAAGGCAAAAACACGGTGTCGACGGTCTAAACAAGATGGCATCCCACGGAGATTGGCCATGGCACGCTATACTTTACAAAAGTGGAACTCACGTTTGTGACGGTACTCTTATTTCTCCAGAATGGTTACTTACCAGTGCCTCGTGTTTTCAGGGGTAATTAAAATATAATAATGTATAATTATGTATATAGTAGCAGTCCCACGCCCGGCGTTGCCCATTCCAATTCGTAAATATTTTAACCTTTATTCCCGTTTTGCTTTGTCCGTATCAGTATATTAAACGAAACAAAATAGGCCGAAAGTGGGTAGTCTTACGGCAGATATGAAAAGTGTTCTATTGTATCATACATTATTTCATCCATGTTACCAAAGATACTCACATAGCTTAGGGATTAAACTATTTATCCACTATAATAACGCTAACATTTTAAGTACTGTAGTTTTATTACGTATCAAAAAATATAAAAAGCTCTGACATACTTCGCACGTGGGTGTAGCCACTATTGTAAATGGGAAATTAAGAAAGTAGGATATAGACGGGAATTTATTATATATCTATAAGCAACGATAAACCATTACTAATGAAAAACCTATTCTGAGCGAAGTTCAGTTGATAATGTTACTTTTTCTCAATTATCTCGAATATTAATGAGAATTTCAAAAAAAATCTTTTTAAAGTATCACCCAGAGGACATTTCCTTTCAGAAAATTTTCAATACTTAATAATCGGAATAAGCTTTCTGGTAGAAAAAGTATTCACATAAAAAAATAATTAACATCATTGTAAAACCAATACATCCCTAGCTCCACTCAGAATCTAAAATTCAAAGATGATGTTTTACGTGTTTTCACATTTCAATCACTGAACCCACTCAAAATAGCGCATGTTTTTTTATCCATGTTACCAAAGTAGCCCATTCTATTTCTGGCCAAAAATAGATAAGTAAACAGTCAGATAGACTCTTTATTTTAATTTTTTTAGTTATTATGGTATTTTTATTTCCGTTTATTATTTATTCATTTTTTTTTTATTTCATCCATATTACTATAGTAATTCATAATTCAACAAAAATATTTTAATTTTAGTACCAAAAATACCTAAAAACTTTTCAGTCCCTTCAAGTTTTATTTATGCGACAAAAAGTAGCCTATGCGACTAGGCTCAACTATCTCTATACCAAAATTCATCAAAATTTGTTCCGTAGTTTAGGAGTGAAACATAACATAGAGACATTTATAATATTAGTTAGGAGTTAAGATTAGGATATATATTATAATATATAATATACATATTTTAGAACTAATTAAAATTACGAATTGCAAATAAACTGTAGATTCATAACAAATATCAGTTGTATTAATTCTTTGATTTTCTTTCATGCTAATCACGGACCTCAATTACATTATATAAATCAAATTTTTTAAAACGTCTATCTTTATAGTTTTAAAATTATTCTTTTAGTCAGAGTAAAGCCGAATGGGTGGCACGATTAGGAGCAGTAAGGTTAAACGCTATGTCACCATGGCAACAAGAAAGACACATTGTCGGAATGGTTAAGTCTCCTGTCGAAGGAAGCACTCTAGTCTTGATTAAACTGAGTTCACCAGTGACTTATTCTGATCACATTCGGTCGGTATGCTTAAGCGATGAACATACCGAAGGGCCGTATTTACACTGTCAAACACTTGGATGGGCGAAAAATCGTAAGTTTTCCCTGTAATTTTGTGAAATAAACACAATAAATATAATATTTTATGAATATTTAGAAGTTTACCGTTTCTAAATGTTTTAAATTTTAGGAGATTCTCTTCAAAGAATTGAGGTTAAAGAAAGTTCAATGGAAAGCTGTGCTAATATCAGCATCACAACCGTTAACAGTCTATGCTTTAATTCGATTTACGATCATAATGATTGTACGGAGGAAGAATTCGCTGGCAGCCCAATGATGTGTCTATCGACCAATAAAAGGAACTGGGTTTTAGTTGGTGTAACCAATTGGCGTATTGCTTGTTCCGCAGATGGTATGATGAGGCCTAGGCTTTATGATAAAGTCAAGTCAAACCATAAATGGATAAATACGGTTTTGAAAGATGGTTAAATAGTCTTGTACTTCTACATTTTTTACGTTTATAATGCATTAAATGTGATTCATGTTAATTTATTGTAGCCCAAATAAATTGTATAGTTATACGCCAATTTTAAATTATATATGTGTATAATATCAATTAGTTTTACGTTTTTTTAATGCTTAATTCATTATATGTTATGTATTTAATATGCTATTTTATTTTTTTATATTGATTTTAAAAAAATGTTTGATGTATAAAGTATAATGTTCTTTTAAATTACCTAAATTTGTTATTTTAAATCCAAATATACATAATTTTATTAAGTTGGGAATTGAAAAATTTTTAGCGTATATTACTTCACGTATATTTCTTTTCATAAAAATGATAAAGTGTAAGCTGTAAGCTATGTTAATAATACTATTTTATAAAACGTTAGCATTGCATTTTTTAACCATTATAACAACTATAATAAATTATTAAAATAAAAATATAGGTACTAAGTAAATACGAGTACGCAATAGCAAAGATTAAGGCATTTTACCGAAAATGTAATCATAGTTAATTGGTAATCAGTATAAATTAACGTATAACCTATTATTTTCATCCGAATAATAATTGTGTATTAGTGTATTGTCAATAATAATCAATAATTAACATACTTATACTAATTGAGTATTTTCATTTTATCATAAATCATGGATACTGCTTTAATAGCCCAAAGTGTAAAATAAGAAAATTAGTTAATAACCTGCTCTAAAATAATATAATAATATTAAGAAAAAGTGCGATAAAATTAAATGCCAGCAGCAATATTTATAATAGATAATTAACATGTAAGGCCAGTCGCCTTTAACCTGTTTAGGCTGTGAGCTAATCATTATTTTGAAACATAACTGATACTGTTTATGGCAAATTAAATTATTTAGTAAGTAGTAACAGGTAATAAGGTATACTGTAATACTGTATACCAGTATAGCAATTAATCAAAAGCTTTGAGAGGGATCATTTTTTTTTACTCGTTTACTTTTTTCCTATAAGTATAATTTAATGACTCCCCTATTCATGAAAGAGCTAAAAGTAACAATAGTAGGGAGCTTAGCGCTCAAGCGCTAAGCTACTATAAACAACAATTGAGCAAATGGTGCTGAGGCCGTGAGAAAATGGGATGGTGAAATTACTGGTAAGAAAAACTGACAAATTTTAAATTAAATAAAACTAAACTATTATAAAAATTATACATGGTACAACATTAAAAATTGAAAAATATTAAGGGTTTTAAACAACATGATTGTTTTTTTATATTATGTTATCTTTAAAAATCTCTAGAATTGAATTTATGAATATAAATAAATAAAATAAATAACAAGCTTAGTCGACGTAGACGCAGAAATAATAAAGGAATATATAGGACATGTTTAGGTAATAATCTTAAGGGGACGTTGTACCTTCATCTACTGTATCAATCCGACTACAGGGTAACATGCAAAAGCAATGCTTACGCAGACTAAGTAAAACTAAAGCACTATAAACATATTCTATTTAATTTTAGAATAAAAATAACTATTATGAAATGTATAGAGAAAAATATTTTGAAGGGAATGTCATAGGGTTTTTGTATTATTCGAAATATACAGCTCCATATAAAAGTTACAAAAACCTTTCTTTTTTTGGTTTTTAAATAACAAACTTTTTTAATAGTTCATAGTTCAAAAAACACCTATGATAATTTTTTTTTGACAAAATCGAAAAAAAAATGTTTGATTGTATCAATTTTGCATTCGTTTTCATGTTAATTAATAAATAATACATTTGTTTAGAATAAACTTATGGTGTTACAAAAGCTAATTTGCAAGTATTGTAATCACCAATGTATTTCAACATTTATTTAGATAGATACTTTAAGAAAGTAATTGATTTTTCATATTTAATAAAATTTACATATAATAATTATTAGTAAATTTATCACAATATTTGTTTACATAACATTTAAATAATATATTAGACAATCTATTATTTCAGCCTTTGTATAATTGTGTTCAACAACTTCATCAAATTCCCAATCTTTCTCTTCAATTATTTTGTACATTTTTACATTGAAATTTTGAACTAAATTTAACTTCTTTGGTTTATAGATACATTTTTCTATGTCGACCTAGCTATACCTGCATGTCAAATATATTCACTGAGCAAATAGCTTTTCCTAATTGATCAACAATATCCTTTGATCTTATTATAAGATCATCCTGAAAAAGTTTTTCACAAATAACCACATTAGCATTAAAATGATCTATCCCTAAAGATTTTAACCATTCCTTCTTTAAATGTTTATCTTTATGTATATTAAAAATGGAGAGTTTCTTCGAGTTGTTACAATGAAAGTAACAAATTTTATTCTGCATTTTCAAAATGCACCTAACTACTTAAGTTAAAATAAGGCACATCTAAAATCAAATACTAGTAGACAATTTTATGCAGTTTGCATAATTGTTAGAATTATCAATTACAAAATAAATCGATGTAACATAAATAAAACAATAATATTATAATATAAAAATCCAATATTAGTAATTTGAATAATTATTTTGGCGGGCTGTTTCTAACCTCAAAATAAGTCAACTCGGCAGCGCTTTTATGGCAACACAGGAAACCTTTCTCTCCTTTTAAGTGAAAATATTGTAATTGGCGGGAAAATAAGAAGTTGTTCAACCTTATCTTCTAAGACCGTGATAATAGTTAACCGAGGTCAATTATAAAAGAGATTTAATATGTCTATGATGGACACACTGAAATCTTTGCAGATAATATTTTGATCATTAGCTTCCATAAACAAATATATCATAAAAATTATCTGATAACAGATTATTAGATTACGGGTGAAACACAACAAAATCTGCTGCCGCGACTTCACGATTACGGATATTAGCTTAATATTTAACTTAAAACTTTAGTCCGGGTTCAAATGCCGTGATGAACGTTAGTTAGTTATCGGCTTTGATGTCTTTCCAAAAAGAAAGAAAAATGAATAACGTTTTTGTTTTTAGAATACATGTGATAAAATTCGTGTTCCAAGTACTACTGGGATTTGCACATTTTCTGTACGCGTTTTATACGTGGCTCATTGACCAGACGTTATTTAAACAGCCTGACCCATGGCGAAATCAGTCCATAGATGTTTACGGCAAGTATAAGTTGACGAAAAAGCCCAACCACCTGGTGGTTTCGGTGTGCCAGGAGGAAGTGTTTTATGAACATCTGGCCAAATTACTGTCCTGGGCGTTGTTTTTGGAAGTGCCTGTTGTCAGTTTTTACCACAATGAGAATGGTAATGAATAATAATGCTATATTATTAGGTCTGTTCATAATTGTTGCTCACGAATTACTGTTCTGTGTATGTGACCTATGGTGTATTTCCCTGCTTGGGTTTGTAAGCCAATATTTGTAATTCGGGAAACACTATAAATGAATTATCATTTAGGAATTTTAGGAGAATTAAAAAAAAATATATTTTAGTGTTAGCTTATGTGCTAAATTTCTGCATATTGTGTAACTATATTTTGGATTCTATGTTTCAGGCATATCTTCTGAAGAATTATTTTTTGCATTCAGGGATCAGTACAATAATTTACTTACCAAAGTCAGTTGGGAATTAGGATTTAATGATAATATCAAATTCGAGTCTAAAAAATGTATAAATGGTGAGTATTGTAAATATGTTTTATGTACCTATTTTTTAATTAGTAAATTAGATTTGTTTGTTAATTAAAACATTTAAAATTGTAAGGATATAAATGGGAACCAAGAATCAAAGTCAATATATTGTCGTCAAATCATTCCAAATTACAATTAGTAGATGCATTGCGCTCCATATGCAGAACAGAAGAAAAATTTTCGGACACATTAGTCATGTCTGCAATCGATAAAACATTCCCCATGGTTGAACCAGATTTAGTTGTGATTTGTGGCAAGTCTTGTACAACATTTGGATTATTACCATGGCACACTCGTGTCACTGAATTTTTGTAAGTTAAATTAATTATTCATATTTAAAATGCAAATAACCTGCTGCATGCTGTAGTATAATCTTCCTGATATTAATTTTACTATTATCATTCTAGAACATTGAAAACTCATTACAACGTCCCATTCTCAAAGTTTTATAACTTATTGGAACAATACAGTAGACATGAACAAAGATTTGGAAAATAAATCATTATTCAATTTTGATAATTTAACTGTACATAATAGTTTTTATTTTGTTTGTTAATTGTGTAAACATTGTTATTAATTATAAAGAGGATAATACTTCCTAATGAATTATTTATATAATCAAATTTAAATATAATATTGGGTTTTAATAATTTAAATATTATTTAATTTTTTTTCTAATTATATAATATATTTCGTAAAATTACAATTAAATAATTCCATTGAACATTTAGTATACAAAACAATCCAATGATATATTTTATTATAATAACTATAACTATTAATTAACAAATAATTATGAATTAAGACAGTAAAAATCTTTCAAAGTATATGTACTTTAAAATATTTTAAGATATGGGTTGCTAACCTTTTCTAACTAGTGAGCAACATTCAAAATTTTAAGTCTCGACTTGGGTAATCGACTTCTATTTAGATTTTCAGAATATTATTTATTTTAATTAAATTCTGTATACAGTAGGTGTACATTGTACATAATATATCAATGTATATAAAGTAAGAAGTCTGATACACTCACTCACTCACTCATCAATGCCCAGACCCAAATAGCTGGGTCTAGAAACTTAAATTTTGCATAGAGGTTCGCAATGTAGCCACACACTAAAAAAAGATTTTTCAAAATTCAACTCCTAAAAGAATAAAATGGGGTAATATTATATTCATCATCACTTAGCTTAAATTACTGGACGGATTGGGCTGAAATGTAGCTATTATAAAGAAGGTATTCGCTAAAAAAGGATTTTTGAAAATTCTACCCCTAAGGTAAAATAAGGGTTTTCAGGTATTTTTGATACGAATATCTTATATTGCTTGTTTATTTATTTTTGTTTATTCATGGTTTACCTTACTTAATTTGGTTGTCACGGACAAAAACTATTAAAAGGGAACGGGCTTGGGAAAAATCAATAACCTAATACATGGCCAAATATATATATAAAGTAAGATATCTAATACACTTACTCACTCATCAATATCTAGTTAGTTCACCTAGCAGCTTAATCATCCTTGCCCCTAATGGAAGAATGACCAACGTGGTCTATAAGGATGTTCTTCAATAAAAAAAAATAAAAATAATATTCAAAGTCTATAGATATATATTATCCATAATCCTAATAATGCTATAACAATTAACACATACACACAATTAAATTTTGAATTTGTAAATTGGTAGGGGTCTGCAACGATATTGAAACTGTAAATTTCGATATCTTTATCATGATATTTTGTAAATTTTAATTTTGTGAATTTTTGATTAATAAATTAAGTGACCATTAGATTTAGATGGTTAGCTGATAAGTTAATCTTAAAAAATTTTCCTTCCTTCCTTCCCCGATAGCTATATTTGTTTTCTTGATATTTATTATTCTTAGTGCTACATTCAAAAATCTTTCCCTATACTCGCTCTCACCACACACTCGTTATCCTCTATATCAATAGCTATAAGTATTATCAAATCTAGTTTATCTTCACTTTACAATCTAGTCTTTCAGCCACTGTTATTCACCCGAACTGTTCACATTGATAAATCTTTTTTAAAACTTTCAATTAACTCCCTTAAAATCACTTTTACTATTGTTAACAATCTCTGTCTTGAGTACATTCATACTACTTACCCTTCTTTTATTTTAATTTTCATTGATGGCTCAGTCTCCCTCTCGGCTAGTTATTTATTTTTTCATCCCTGATCTATACATCTCATTGTCTAGCAATATTCCTCCTGCTTCCTCATACACAGTAGTGTGTTTCACCGTTCTCTAAGCACTTAGCATCTATCTTAGTTCAGTCCCAATAACTTTCATTTTGCCTCTGACTCTCTATACTGCCTGCAAGGACTCTCCTCATATGTGTTCCATTCTTCTCCCTCTTCTATTTCTGTCAGTATAAAGCAATATTTATTTACAATCTTGGTCTTATCAGATTTGTGATATTTCTATAGATTCCCGGTAATGCATGTACCAAGGGTAATGAAATTGCTGATTCTTTGGCTAAATCTACTTTTTCTCTTATTCCTTGGACCGATTTTTCCCAATGTTAAAATCACACGTAGACCAAATGTGGGCTATAACCAATGGTCAAATCTGCCTCTTACCTATGCTTCCTGGCATAGGAACATTTCCTCTGCTATATACCACGCAATTTTTGGTTCCATAAGTTAAACCTCAGTAGGAAAATAATTTCCCCCTTCTCTTGCCTCAGACTAGGCCATACCTTACTTCCTTTCCATTCCTATAAGCTTTCCCTTAACAACTCTCCCCGCTTTGCACCCTCCACGCCACCAAATCGATCTGCGATATTTCCTATATTCTTTTCAATGTTTCCGTCCTATCCCTCAGCGAAATTCCCTTTCTGCTCTGATAACTTCCCTCAATGTCCATTTCAATGATATAATAATATACAGTTATACATTTTTATTTTATTATACATTAATTTTATATAGTTAAATAATACATTCGGTTGAAGTATGGCTTTTGGATCTGAAAAAAAACGTCATATAGCTTTTTTTTTGTATAAGTATCGTACAAGAAATACTTCCATCGGTCTGATGTTCGATTTTCCCATTTTCCGACCGATTTTCATGGTCCATACAGAAACTAGTAATTTTTTTTTATATTTCGCTATGAAATTATGTATTTGTAAAAATAAATTTGTTGGTTTTATATTAATTATATAGGTAATATGTTTAAGTATGTGAGTAGTGAATTATCTATATCGTATACCTACCTACAACATTACATACTTAGGTAGTTTCAACTATTTTTGTCATATTAAGTTATTTGGTATACTAATTTTATGATTGCACCTTGAAAGTTGTATGAAATATGTAGGACGATTGAAAATTTGATATTAATTACAAACCAAAAAAAACAAATATATCATATTCAATACTGTTGATTTTAGGAAGTAGGGAACTACCCTATTAACACGGCCTTTTCAGGACCACCAAATGTATTAATTCATAACAAAATATAAAAAAAATCCACGAACGTCCATTTAAATCGGTTGGAAAATGGGTAAAATTAAATATCTGACCAATGTAGGATTTCTTAGTACAATATACAAGCAAAACAATTTATGTATCTAAGTATAAATACTTGTAATATAATTTACAAAATAATATACTTTCATAATACCTAATTTAAATTAAAGCAAATAAAATAAAATGGTAAGTAAGTACAAGATGTTATAGGATGGTTCCAAGCTGTCAAAGTATTATTCTATTTTGGTGCTTTGAGTAAATCATCTACATTTTGAAGAATTTACGATTATTTACGCTACATCGCCTAGGCATTTTGAAAAAAAAAATAACTTAAAAGGGCTAGATCTTAAAAGTATGTAATTTATGATAGAGATGGACAAAAATATATGGCGTAACAGGCATCGTTGTACCGCGAACCCTTGCGTTGCACGTTCAGCTCAAACTCCGCACTTAGTATACTTACTCATCTAAGCCCGCATTCCGCCAACCCATTTGTTCCCAGTCCTGTAATCTGTATATCTTAGTTTATGCTATAAATCTTGAGAGTTGAGTTTAATATACCCATGATTAACTAATTAGCTGACATGTGAAGTACAATATCCAACCAAACTGCTGTCAAAATCCAAAAATCAAGTACTTTTAAACAAGAAACTGGTAAATCATCTGTGTATAAATATATGAAAAGGTTAAAAAAAAAAATCAGTACTTCGAAGAAAAAACATTTTTTTGATTAAGTAATAATGAAAATGAAGTCATTTTTTTGGTTTTCTGAAAATTTTGTGGTTACCTGGAGATTGTACATTTTGAAACTAGGCTCTTCATATAGGTACGTATATAAATCATGTATATATATATATATATATATAAATGCGTGTGGGTTAGCCTTCTAAGGGTAAGAGTAGTATGACCAATAACATGGTAGGTTGTCATTATTTACGATTTTAACTAGCGCAACTTAATTTTATCATGGAATAAATCGCTTTATTCATGCTTATTCTATGATATTATGACGGTATATAGTATATATATATATATGACTTTATTATGACAGTATATACATAGAGTATCTACCTAAAGAATAAATGATTTAGCCATTGTGTCTGTGGTATAGGTACACCGTGGTTCCATAGCTAAATTTAACAATGGGATAGATTGTTATACTCACAATAATAGTAAAAAAAAAAAAATCTACGGGAATGAATTAACTAGTGATAAAAACATAAGATAAAAAAAAATGTCATGACACGACAGCTTGAACATACAATATGAATAAATTACCTGAAGAAGTTACAAGCTGCCTAGTTCGAACAAGAAAATTTATTTGATTTAATCAAATAAATAATAATGCATAGGTACATTTTAAATTTATTTAAAAAGTTTACAGTTTGAACAAAAAATGTATTTTAAATTATTCATGTAGATTGTACTTAGGTAATTATTTTATTATGTAATAAATAATAATGTTAAAACTAGTTGACTTAAGTTACATACCTTTAGTTTTTTATTCTGTGGTTTTACTTTTCAAAGAGTGTAACTATAAATGCCAGTGGCGCACCTAGGGGGGGAGGCTTTGGAGTTGAAGTCCTCCAAATTTTTAATATTACATAACATTATTATTATTGTTACAATAATAAAATATGTTTTTTTTTATTTGATACACATTAATAGTTCAATAGTACGAGATAAGGTTTTCAATAATTCAGTTGTGGAACTGTAAAGACTCATCATCAATCGCATTTTTACTTTTAAATGGTATTCGCCAATCTACTTTTATTATTTCATTATTTTGTTCAGAACAGAAAAATTATTAAAAATTATTATTTACTTTACCAATAATTAAAATGCTTTAAACGACAGATAATTAGAGATAAAGACCTCTTTAATGCAGTTATAACCAAGTAGAACATGTAGTATCTATTCTCCGTCGACTTAGAAGTAATGCCGAAAATTAATTTAAGCAATTATTTTTAGAAGCACAGCAAATTGCCACTAATTTAGACTTAACTATGTTTATACATAGACTAACAAAACACCAGAGTAAACGATGTAATACACCATTAGAAAATATTGAAGAATATTATAGGCGTTAAATTTCTATTCCATGGATTGATTCATTTCTTAAGTCTTTCTGATCGGTTTCTAAATCAAAAAAATCTACTTACAAGTCTTATATGTCTCCTACTTACCAGGCATAATCCAACAGAAGAACAAATTTTAAGTTTTAAACATTTTTTTGAATATTATGGAAAAGATATGCAACAAAATAGTTTTTCTGTCACAAGGGCCGAATTCGAATTATGGTATAAAAAATTCAAAAACTGTGACTATACTTTGCCACAAAACGCAATTAATGGTTTAAAATTTAGATGATTTAAAAATATTTGAATCAGTGTTTATACTTTTGAAAATATTTGCGAAGTTACCAGTAAGTACTAAGAGATCATTTTCCACACTACGGCAAATCAAAACCTACCTACCTCTGCAACACAATGAGACAATCACGTTTAAATTGACTCGCAAATCTTCACATACATCGAAAAATACAAATTCAAGAATCCGAAGTATTCACAGTTCTTTCCGAAAAAGGATCCAGGAAGAAAATTTTTAATTGATACGTCATGGTATTTAGTAATAAATATAATTTTAAATACAAATTTATGTACTGTGGTAATCATAATAATAATAATAATAAAAAAAATATTATTTAAAAATTAGTGGTAGTTGTTTACTCGTGTGTAAGGATAATAGGAAAATGTTTAAGCCCCCCCCCCCCTAAACAAAAATCCTAGGTACACGCCTGATAAATGCTTAGCTTGTTTAGTTGTTTACCTAATGTGTCATCTTTCGTGATGCATACTTTTTATTATTTATTAAATAATGTATAAATGTCACTGATAAATACTATACGGAGTGATCAATCAATCTATCGGAAAGTGTTAAATTTTTTCGAAATTTCTCTTAAAGAACATTTAAGAAACGAGCTGTTCTAAAATTTAACATTTACATTATTTTTGTCGCTCTAATTTTTGGGGGTGAAACGACTACGTATACTTGATTTTCAAATGGCAACCTATATTAAAAAATCCAGAAATAGATGAAGTAGTAGTTAAAATAAATGTTGGTGTTTAAATTTGTAATTTCGGTAAATTTATTGACGAGATAAAAGATTCACCGCCAAAAATTAGGGTGACAAAATTAACATAAATGTAAAATTGCAAAGCTTCCTGTTTTTAAAATTTTCTACAAAATAAATGTCGAAAAAAGTTAATATTTTCCTAGATGAGTCTTATGATAGATTGATCACTTTGTATAATAGATACCAGACTCTGTGCACATATTTCGAACCAACAGTCATAATATTTACAAGCTTATGTTATCAAGCTTAGTGATAATCAACAAAATTAAAAATTATAATATTTGATATTATTACCAGTTAAAATAGTATTTAAATTAAAATATGTAGACTATAATGTATTTATAACTATATTTTTAATAATTTGTAATTATGTTAATCTTATAATATTGATAACAGATTGTAAACATTGCCCAACCTACTTGGCTTCAATGGCAAACAATGGTAAAATATAAAGTCTGGCATCTAGTATATATCTGTGGATAATGTTTAAACATTTTTACCCATTACTTTAAATTTAATTAAATTGTTATATTATATTCCGGCCTATTTCTGGCTTATAAAAGCATTTAATGCTGGGCAAGTTCGCCAAATGGTTTACTGTTCAGTTGGTGATCAATTGTTGTCACCCATTTATTTATCATTGGAAAATTTGTAGTATCTAGAATTGGTAGAGCTGGTTTGTTTAAAAATATTCCTTTTTAAAATGGTCCGCATGTTTTTATAAATAAAATATCCTTAATAAATTTGAAATCCTGGTCAGTATGTTTTTCAGTTATTATAATATAATGTACTGATAACACAACTGTTTTAACTTAATTATGAAAATTTGTTTTAGATGAGTGAACAAAATATGAAAAAATGAACAATTTTTTGAAATTTAAAAGAGTTTACTATATAATAAAACTTATATCTAACCTACCTACAAAACAATTTAAAGGTTGATCAAAAATAAATTAGTCAAAAAAAAAATTATTATACAAATAAGCATGGTGTTTAATTATAATAAATTATGCTCTCCAAAAATAATCTTTTACTAATGCTGATTCATTACAATTTAAAAATGCTTACCTAACTAAAACATTATTTATAATGGTATAATACAGCGATAATTGATAATATAAGAAAATTTGTCTACTAGAATTTTATCTAAATAATATAACTGCAAAATTGATGATTAATATTGTATTGAAAACATTTTCTTGAATTTGAAGCAAGTTATATGGCCAAATGATAATATGTATTCAATAAAAAATGTGATTAAGTTATTAAGAATGTTAAAAATAAATTACAGATTTGTACTGTTGTTATTACAGATAAAATACATGTATAAAATAGAAGAGCATTTTCAATAATTGAGATTAGTAAAATTTAAAACAATTTTAAAATTGATAAAATAATTAAAAATGTACTACTTTTGTTTTGGTTTAAGTTGAACTTTTTCATTTATTAATAAGCTATAGGTAATATTTAAAGGAATAATTCTAAATTTCGATTAATGTAATGAATGACTTAAAAGAAAACTTCAGTTTAAATCACTTAAAATTAATTTTTGACCAAAATATTATCGTCTGTACCGGTGTTTAGTACTTCTCTTTGATTCATTTGAACTAGATGAACTAGTACGTTTGCTCTTATACTTTCTAGAACTTCCATAACGCGATATTGGTGATCGACTACGTCTCGATCTATAACTATGTGGAGATCTTCTATTATAGTGTCTTGAACGTGAATTACTTCTATGTCTTGAACGTGACCTACTATGTTTTGATCTTGAATGTGATCTACTTCTATTTTTAGAACGCGATCTTCGTTTTCTTTTGACACTATCTGTTTTACTTTTTTTGTTCGACAGTTTTGATTTCATTTTTTCATTTTTTTTATATCTGTATTTACAATCAGAGTCATCACTTTTTCTACTTTCACTACTACTGCTAGATGTACTAGAACTTGATGATCTCTTTGATTTAGATTTCTTTTTTTTTTGGCCATTTTTGTTACTAGACTCATTAGATAAATCTCTTTTACTTTTATCATATCCCTTTTCAAGTTTTTGACTAGATTCTTCATCTTCACTCCTGCCTGAAATTAATGATTATGATTACTATTTAATTATAAAGTTTTTAATTTTTAATAATTATTTTTCAAGAGACTGCAATTTGATTAGTGAATATTCTACTGTAAACATATACAGTAAAACCTAAGTTAACATAAAATTAGCAGGTAATTAAAACTAGCCTATTACACAATAGTTCATTGAAGTGGAAAAAATAATAATAAACAAATAAACAAGAATTGTATTTTCTTTTGTACACATTTATAGGTAATTTACATTGTACATTGTAAATAATACAAAACTTTAGTATAATTTTTAACAAATAATAAAATGTTTGGTTCTACAATGTTTATAATCTAGATCCCATTAATGACCCTTTAGGAGTATTGTTTTTATGTATTATAAATAAATTTGTCTATATTATTCAGATTTTTTCATAATAAGGTATTCATTTACTTCTTTTCTCGTGTGACCATTATCAATATATTTTATTAAATTATTAATACTCAGAAAGTAGATAATAAATTCATTTAAAGTAGCTAAATGTTTCCATTTGTATACATTTTATCCAATTTTGATATGTTATGCTCTAATTATTGTCATTAAAAGATTTTTAAATATAGAATACTTTAGTCAAGATTGCCAAACAAAGACCTTATTTAGAAATAAAAATATCAAATTCACAGCTTCTACACTACTAATTTTATTGTGTATATTATAGTTCATATTAATTTCATACAATGGAACCAGTTCTATCTATAATATATATTCGATAATTTTTTAAAGTTCACATACAAGCTTTTAAATAATTCATTTATTGAATATTATTAAACAGTGATATATATAATAAAATAGTATTGAACGGTTTTTAATAAAATAAAAAAGTACATAATTAAGTTTATTTTAACTATTTATAATTGAAATATAGAATTCTAAACTACAAACTTGTTCAATATATATTTTTTTTTTTTTTTTTTATAAACCAAATGAAACATATTTTTACCTTTTGAATTAATGTTTTCCACTACCTGTCTACTATCATTAGTATCTCCACTAAATCTGACACTGTTATCAAATGTAGACCTCACATGTTTCTCCCGATCCTCAAGTTGATCTAATTCCATTAGTATCTTTGCTTCAGTATTAATAAATTCTTGTTGACGTTTCAATAATCTTTGCTATATATGTAATAAAATACAATTTCAAATTTATATTTATTAGGTATAAAAAATAATTGTATTTACTTTAATAGCTTCATCAGAATTTTGACTCAAAAATTGTTTATGACCAGATAATTGTTCTTCATCATCTTCATCCGACGTCTCAGAAGCTGAACCATATGCACTTAGACCTTTAAAAAATATAAATATCAATTTGTATAGTTTAAATTAAGTATGCTTAATACATAAATACATATGTATAGGTGAAATTGAAAATTTACTAGACTGTGTAGTCCGAAATTCAAGTAATTTCACGAATACCTACACGTCAGTATTCAAAATAAATATCCATGTACCCGTAATACGGGTGCAATAAAAAACATGTTCTATTGATACTTCTAGTTAAAATAACTTATAAATTTGTTATCCAAACAATTTTTTTTGAAGATAATTATAAATATCATATTGGTACAAAATAATATAAATGCTACAATATAAACTAAAACTTATTTATTGATTTGATTTTTGTATGAATATCATGTTTATAATTTAACAATAATAATAGTTTTGCTCAAATTTTACTAACAAAATGCGCGCAAAAAATTGTTATAAACAATTAAAATAACTTACCCAGCTTACCAGCTAACGATGTTTTGCTTTGATTTCCTTGTTTATCTGTTACATGGCATATTATAACAATGATAATAATTTTAAATTTAAAAAAAATCATAAATATAAAATGAAACATTTTTAACTTTTTTTTTTTATATATTTAATCATTTTAATACTTACTCTCCAACTTGTTTATGATAGTATGAATAATAATTAACAAATATTACCTGCTTGCAAATTAGTTGTTTTAAGCACTTCTTTTGTAACACTCAACATCATATCATTAGTAACTTCCATTAGTAATTTTGTTAGAGTATGTCGAAGATTTAACATCTGAAATATTTTCATTTTTATACAAAAATAAAATATTTAAACATACAAATATAAAAAATATTATTATTAGTTTATAAACATAATTTCTTTGTAAATAAATTTTATAAACTGTATTACCGTATCATCCCAGATTTGAGCTTTAGTCTTACGTGGAATGAGAAGAGTGGGGTCATTCTTCATAAGCTCTGATTTGTTTAGTTCAGCGTCATTTATATATTCAGGAGAGTTACTATGTTCAATTTCATCATCAACCATCTGAGTTTCATGATCAAAACTATTAGGTGACTACAATGAAAAAGTTATTTTAAGTTAGTTTAACAGAACAAATTAAAAAATAATTTTAAAATACATTGCACAATTCCTGAGATACTATTTCATTATCTAAACTAGAATAATCATGTTTTTCAAAAGAATTATCAAGTTCCATTTTTTGCCGTTTTTTTTTCTCCATTTTTTCAAGTCCTTCTCGAATCCAAGCAGGTAACTGTTTTCGTTTAGTTGCATCTTAAAATATAAGCCAAAATGTTAATTCAATCAAATTAATTAAATATTTTTTTTTTTGTTTTTACATAATATAGATAAATATGATAATAAAAATATATAATAATAATAACCAATAAATGATGGATCTTGAACTCTATCATCCACATTAGGAAGCATATTAGGCTTACTCCATTGGTCTGATTCAATTGGCGGAGGTATTCTAGTATTGGGTCCTGCCCAATAATTCTAAAAATAAAATAATTTATAATCTACTTTATTTTGATATAAATATATATTAAAAAATTATAAACTTACATTTGATGGAAATTGTTTGTTTGATGAAATCATTGGAAAAGATGGAGGTGGTTCAGTTAATAAAGGAGGAGTTACATAAGGAGGTCTAATTGGATTAACTGGATCCATAGTAGTTGTTTTGATGGGCGGAGCTGATGAAGATGCCCAATTCCAATTCCATTGTTGTTGTTGCTGCCAAGTCCATGTATTCCAGGCACTTGGTTTTTCAACTGCATTACCTATAAGAAGAAATATTTTGGATGTTTAATAGTTAAAATCATCTTTACCAACTAATTAGTCGATAACTGACCTGAAATAGAACTAGCAACACTATGATCAGCAAGAGTTTTATTCTGTGCTGACAAATGTGAAGAATTTTGAGAATCTATTGTAAGCTGACAAGTTCCAATTAAATTAGTTTCATTTGTAGCAGTCCTCCCATGTGATGCAAGGGGTATAACAGGCGTAGTTTCTTTCATTTTGATCCATTGTTGAGCCAAACTTGCCCAGTCAACTAGAAAATATAAATTTGTTTTAAAGAGTTATTTATATTATAGACTTTTTAAAACATATTATTGTTTAAAAATGTACCTTGTTCATTAGTCATATTTTTATAATGAGTAGGATTCATCCATTGGTTTCCATAAGCCATATTTTATGATGGATGAGACTACAGAGTATCACACAACATTAAAATTATTTAAAGTTATTATGATTAAACAATGCATAAATGAGTAGGTAATTATGTTTAAAGAAAAAATTCATATTTAAGTTTTATATTCTTTTCATTTGTCCATTTCCCACACAATTTTCTTACTTTTATTCATTCACCTTCTGCATCTTTTTATCAAACATTATTTCATTAATTTAATACGCCTTCTTTCTACTTTTTCTTTGGCCTGCCTTTTTCCTAGTTTCCATCTGCACTAAACTAGCATAACTTCTTAATATCTCATTATGTCTCCATCTCTCAACATATTCACACCATCTTAATCTTACTTTTCCAACTATAAACCGCTAAGATCATCTATTAAATATTTAATCCACAACATATTTAATCTAGTTACATCACATATTATATATTATTTAGTAATTCAATATTTTACTTCATCCTCGCTATTGTTAGTTATAATATAAAATAATTGTTTTTTAAAAAAGGTATCCTAAACAATAAAATATAAACTGTCATTTTGTAACAAAACTAAATTTAATACCTACTTCTATACAAATTAAAATTACAAACGATGCATCAACTATCACGCAGTTATGTTATGTTGTCGTAAACAGTTTTGTACGGTAGTCTTCAAATATTGTCATAATTGTGTATCAGTAAACATCTCATAATTTACAATTTCAGACATTAAAATCTCAACTGTTTAATAATCATTAATAACTTCAATTAACAATTCACACATTGTCACACGAGACACAAATACATAATCTTTTTTTATGTAAGATACACAACACACAAACAATACAAAACCATAGATAACATACACGGGGAAGTTGGATAAGAAGATTAAACAAAATAAGGTTGTGCAACCTTCCGGAATGGGTCAACCAGGGGCTCTACTGCATAGATATGAGAATTATCTAATGTGAGTTGTTGACCCTACAGCAAAAAAATAACGGTTTATATCACTAATAAAATAAACAATTCTTATTACAAAAAAAAATAGTACCTGTTTACATAAAACTAACATCACAGTTACTTTACCTTATAGATTGATAATTGATTTTTAGCAGTTAGTACTGCTAACTGCAACTACTCCTACCATTAATTAGGCATACTTAATCAATTCTGCTACTAACTGTGAATGGCGGCTGCTATCAGTTTGAGAAAATGTTGAATCATAATGTATTAATATGTCCACACACCACATTAAATCATTATAACCTAGGTATACATTTTAAAATAGCCATCTCTAATATTAATAAGTTAACAGTGTCGTTTATTCCAGGTAGACAGGTACTGATAAAACCATTTATTTTAAAAGTGATATAAACCGTTTTTTATTGTCTGGAAGTTGTACCACATAAATTCAAGATTTATAATTTTTTTTTTTTATTAATAATACAGCTTATTTATAATCTATACTTAAGAAGTACAATAAGTAAATGTTTTAAAACGGGAATATTTTACATAATATGAGGACGTTTTTGAGGAAACTACTCATTAGTAGCACCTCTGAACTTGAATATTTACATAATTTTTATTTGTTTTTTGTTTTGTTTTTTTATTGGTTTAAGGAGTCTCTAGGCCATTTTCTTTTTAGTCGTCTGGTAGGGTTTCCTGGTATAGTTAGAGAGGACATTTGAGAGATAAGAGGGTTCTTATTTTTTGATAGTTTGTTGTGAAAAATTTTATAGTATTGATGGGCTAATCTTTTTGGTGTTTGAATATGTAAATCGTTATGTAGGTTTTGGTTTGTGACATACCATNAAAGCTTCTAGTGGGCGGATGTTAGACGGCTTGGCCTGTCCCCATATTTGGATGCCGTATGTCCAAATGGGAGCTAGTATAACTTTGTATATGAGAATTTTGTTTTTTAAACTAAGTTTACATTTCAAAATTGGGCGGAAATTTATAGTTTAGATTTAGATTAGATTTATAGTTAATATCTATATTATTAAATATAAACCTTGACATAAATTATCTTATGTACGTCATATAGTTGAATATATATTATCATGGCTACAGATACATTTATAATATATTATACTATAGTATATAGTATCTATACAATTTATAGTATCCATAGCCATGGTATTGGGGCGGGTTTCGCGCCACATTTCTGCTTCCCGCTGTGCGTCACTCGCGGCGGACGTTGGACACTACCCTCGCCGTCGGCGTTCAACAGTCATCGGCCACAGCTCCGTTCGACTCGACGTCTCGACCGCTCCGATCGTTCCCTTCGCACCGGCGCCGCTCGCGAAACATTGTTTTCCGACTCCGAACCATTATGTATGATTGATTTTTACCACTAATGTTGTTCTAATAAAAATCGCCGAAAATGCGGAAAGACCAACTTTAAAATATAAAAATTCCCATTTTAATTATGCAACTATCACAAAAATAATATTATATTCTAATGTAAATTAATAATTATAATTATATTTAAAAGTATTGTAAGCAGTTTTTGTACAGTTCTAAATGAGTATTAAAAAATAAATAACAATATTTAATAAAAAAACAAAAATTATAAATTATACTGCATTTAAATGGCTACTAGTTATAGTTAAGTGTTAATAGTTTTTAGTTATAGTTTATATTTAATTTTAAAATGAATTGATCAATTACCTAATTCAGAAATAAGAATTTTATTGACCAACGAATAGATTGTGGATAAATAATGTACTTTGTCCAGGAGTAGTAAGAAATTCATAATCTCCAAATTCGTACTGGAACTATTTATATTGCCTGATGATTGATATTACTTTATATTTTATTTTTATTTAAGATTAGAGTTCGACCACTTTATTTCAGCTATCAGCTATACTTTCTTATCACGGAGAAGAATTCTGATAAAGATTTTAAAATTGTAATATTTCACATAATCGTAATTCTTTTGAAAATTAAAATATTCAAACAAAAACTGACGTACATAGATAATGTTCTTATCTTAAGGTTTAATAATAAATAAATACACCCTAATAATAAAATTAATAGCACACAATCGGTTTTCATGTACAAAAAGTACAAATATAACAACATTAACCAATTTTACAACATTTTCCGTAACATGTGTATAATATAAATAATATTCTTATATCATCTGTGATAGACACAAGGTATTAAAACACAATATTTATACACCTTATGTAGACATAATATAGGATCTCCGGTAGTGTTTGGAAAATGATAAGACATTTTTATCACTGACCACCTGCGTGTACACCAACGTAACAGAATAAAATATTTCAATTATTTGAAATGTTATGAGTATATTGTATTCATATATAGATTATGCTATTCAAGTAATTTGTTTTATTATTAGTGATACAGTTGTTGGTTAAATTCATTTTTTCCGAAAATGCTTTTACACAACTGTGTCCAACAGTAAATATTAGCAAAAGCTATAATACTAAAATATTTTCTCAAGAAAGACCCACTTGGAAACAAAAAGCCTATGCTTATCAACAAATTTATATTCTTATCAGCGACAGACCGTTGATGACTCTGCTCGACGGGATGGCTGATTTCGCGACGGCCATGATACACAAAAGCCGTCCAGGTAACACATGCGATGAGCGGCCTGACTGTTTAGGCAACGCCAAATACGTGATTGGTCCTATATTGGCAGTGGCCGTTTAGGCAACGCACAACTGGTCTCCTAATTATAAAATATGTTTCGTAACATAGATGATATTTGTTATTATACAACTTTATCTGGGTATAATAATGTTGATAACACGATGTATAGAACTTCCATGAATTTAACGGTCTAAGGACGTAATTCAGTAAGTACCAAGTTGTAGTCTTCAAAGCATCAATGTATCTTCTCTACATCGTAATTTATAGTCTAGAAATTTGTTGGTGAAACCCGGTATACCGATACATTTGGTACCGGTTTACTAACATTTCATACCGATTATTTTACATCAGTGTAGATATTCGACAATGGAAATCGCTGTATCACAAAATATATTAATTAAATATTGATCAATTATCAGTTAATATTACCTATACTATACTTCCCATTTCCTGTTAATACGTTCTTAATAACAATTAATTTGAATAGGTATTAATTGTTATCAATTAAATTATTATTATTATCATTTATCTGATCGTTTATTATTTTGAGAGGAAAATAAGTGGGGATGAAACCGCTGTAAATAGTTTGCACCATATGCATATCATGGTGCAAAAAATTAAACCGGTGTCGTTAATTTTAACACCGGTTACTCTAAAAAGTTTCTCAAATTCACACCGGTTTGATTTTCAATAGGAAATTTATACCGGTTTGTACCAATGAATTTCTTGAATATAGGCTATAGATACACAGCTGATATCTAAGATAGATATGAATAATGCGATTTTTTTACTTAGATATATTAAATATTAATGTATTATTACGATTAAAAATACACGATGGTTAATTTGTGATATCGTACAACACGTATCTCCAATTTGTTTATTTTCTAGGAAAGCAAATTTATTGAATTGTTTTGGTCGTTATTTTTGATAAATCTGGATATACGTGTTGTTTATGAGTACTTAACGATTATATTATAATATCTTTAATCGTAATTATTGTCCAAGGCGACAGGCTTAGGAAAGATATCTTAGTCCGTGTCCACGGCGAAATATTTCTTTATCAATGTTATTAATTTATTATCTATGATCATCGTTTAATTGTTAATTTTTATATTCCATTTCAATTAAGTAAATAAATAAATAATTACAAATTATTTACCAATATTCCATTGTTATTACTCAGTACTCAACTTTTAAAAAACTATATATAATATAACGGCAGTCAACCAATTTTTAGTTTTTTAAAAATCAATCATGGAGAACATTAAAATTGTTGAAAACGTGTGCTTAGTTACTATAGACCATTACATCAGTAATCCTATTAATGGTCTTGATTCTTTGTATTCAGAATTCTGGGGAACACAGGTTTGCAAGGTTCCTGTACTTAGGGTATTTGGATCTACACCAGACGGTAATAGTTTTTTCCTTAGTAGCTATATTGTAATATTTAATATTGATATTATACTTATACTTTGGTTTTGATATACATTTTTTAGGTGAAAAATGCTGTTTACATGTACATGGTGTTTATCCATATATATTTGTTCCATTAGATGATTCATATGAAACAAAAAATCAAGGAATCGTACATAATTTTGCAAATAGTCTTGATAAAGCTTTATGCCTTGCTATTGGAACAACAAATTCAAAATCTAAACATATTCATAATATAACAATAGTAACCGGAAAGTAAGTTTTATTAATTTTTTTTTTAAAATTATATATTTGAATAATAATTTATGTAACTAATGTTTTCAGATCATTTTATGGTTATCATAGTAGAAATACCAAATTTTTAAAAATTTTTTTTTACAATCCCTATTCGGTCAAAGTTGCAGTTGATTTATTACAAGTATACATAATAATATAATGCTAGAGATCTTATTAACCGTTGTCTTATAAAAAGATTATTTTATTCTGCTTTTAGAATGGAGCTATATGTAATACAATATTTCAGCCCCATGAAGCTCATATTCCATATCATTTACAGTTTATGATAGATTATAATTTACATGGAATGAATTATATAAAACTGTTAGATGTTAAGTATAGAATTTCCGATGGACAAGGGTAGGTTAGTTAAATAATAATATTACAGTTTACACTTATAGATTAAAATATAGTTATTAGATGTAGGTTAATCAATAAATTATGTTCCTAATTTATTTATTAATTTAGATATACCTATGTTGTATCATTATATATTTACATTGTACTGTTTTCTATAACTTTAAAAGTTAAAAATAAACTTTCATGTATTATTTTAAAAATTACAGATTTAATAATGATATTAATATTTAAAAATGTATAACTAAAAAAATAAAACAAAAATTACATTTTTTAGTCTAATACATTTAATTTATTATTTTGATCTGTATTAAAAATATACAATTGAATATTTCTTGTGTAGATAATTAATTACAGTGACTTTTATTTTATACATTTAGATGTGGTTAAAAAAAATATTAAAAGGGATTCATTGAACTATTATAAAATATAATTTGTTTTATTTATTTATGCATGCAGTTTATCAAAAACCTTTAATATTAAGGATTTCATATGAATACTTAATAGCAATTTTATGGAATTCATTCATTAATATGGATTTTTTAAACATATTTCTAGGCCTTCAAAAACTAGTCGCTGTGCTAAAGAAATGGATGTTCAAGATACTGATATTTTAAATCCTATACTAAATAATGGTTTAAATTTTTGTAACAGTAAAATTAATTCACAATTAATTTTTATTCTACTTATAATTTTATAGGAGATTTAGAAAATTCTGGTTTGGTAAATATTCGAGAACAAATACATAAATTATCTACAGATTTAAACATAACACGAAAAGGTCTTGAAGTATTCAGTGGAGAAAGAAAAACATTACTACCATCAAATACAGAAATCACATTTGCTATTGAATTTAAAAAAAAAGAAGAATTAAAAGTAATTTTTTTTTTTTTGTAAATTTTATTTTAAAACAGAAAAATATCATCGCCCATTAAAATCAAATGATTATAATTTTGGATATCTAGAAACTTACTCATTTTTTATTACAAATACAACTTGAAGTAGGCTGTTCAAAATAACAACTTTAAGTTGGTCATATCATTTGAGATATAAATAATTAACAATACAATTTATTTAAGATTGTGTAATTTTGTTTAGTTAAAATTTTGAAACTTATTTTTATTACAATTTAGCATATAATATAATTGTATTATTAAGTAATAAGTTTATATTTTGCAGAAAAAAAGTGTTAATACTTTCATAGAACTTGAATTATCTGTGAATGAAGATTTAGTTTTTAATTTATCAGAAACTTTACATTCTCAAGCATTAAGTTGTAAGTTATCAAATATTATTTGTTTAGATTATAAAACATAATCAAGGCTTGGATTTTAAAGCATTTGCTAATTATTATTGGATATAGATAAAAAGAATAGAGTGAGCTATACATTTGTTTTATATACAAGAGACCTTAAATATGACGACCTGACCCAACACCATTTGTTTCTTCTTACAACAAAAGTACCATGGGAGTATTCTCATCCCTTTTAACAGGGATTATGGTATTATCAACTATAAGGAGGATTCCTTCACCCTACAGAAACAATACCATATTATAATTCTATTTATTAAAAAAAAAATTATAAATTCTATTCCAAGTTTGTCCGGCATTTCTATCCTGCTGATTTGAATGAATAATTTTTAAATGAAAGGTATTCTCGCATAGATAACGCAACAATTATTGGAATACGTTTAATTTTGCCCCTCTTCAGTTATACTCAAATGTGATGTTGCCTGTGCATTTCTTATAAGAGTTCTGTATACTGCATTTTTTCATGTTTCCGGTTCTAATTGAGGTACAGTTTTTGTTTTTGGCTAAGAACAGTCAATTTGAGCAATTGGCCAATTAAATTTGATGACTTGAAGCAGAGTTAGGTAAGCACAACAAGGTTAAATTTCAATTTTTCTCAAGAAATACTCTTACTATTCTTACTGGCTAACTAATTCAGAACATTTCTTATATAGGCATTGCTTTTTAGAATTTGTAATCGATGGCAAATAAGCAGTTGATATCTGTGCATTTGTTCAAGTGTCTATTGCTCTATGTCATTAACTAAAATTTCTTTGTTATTATTATAGTTTTCCTAATAAGTTTTAGGTATTTATAATTTTTTTTAATGTATAGATAATTATGGGTCTTGATAGGGAAATTAAAAATGCTAAATGGATGAGTAAAAAGTAAAAGCTGAAAATTGAGAAGCCATTTCAGACTGAATACAATTTGATGACATGTGGTTTAGAAGGAAGTATTATGAAATTATTTTTCTTTCATGTTTATATTTATTGCTTGAATTCAACTTACATTAGGTTGGGAACAAATAAAGAACAAATTAAAAAGAACTAAACTACCAACTTTGTGTCCGTACATTTTCATTACATATAACTAAATATTTCCAAAAAGTGAGTATGTGCATATAATCCCTTTCTCTCAATTTGTACTTCACCAAAATCAAAAAATGAGGTACCCTTTTAAAAATCAAGTTCTTTTTTTTTCTGACAAATTTTAAATTTAGAACTGTAGAATTTGTTATTTGTTTAAAATAATCAAAGATAAAAATTGATATTTGAATGCAAATTATTCGCACGGGCAAACTAGTATATATTATTTTACAATTATTAAAATTTATTTTATGTTTAACAAAGTAAAATAAAGATTTAAACTATATTTTATAAAGAATTTTTTTTTATTTAGCATACATTTTAAAATGTCAGTACACAGTCTAATAATTTTTTATTAATAATAAATTTCTGGACTACATAAACTGTATGATTTATCTTACTTTGTTAAATTGTGTGAATTTAACCTTAATGCCAAATTAATAAATCTATACAGTTGTATTAATTAATTTCAATTAGGGGATAGTCAAAGCGTGGATTTAATGAATTTGTTAATGAAGGAAAAAATGTCTTCTAAAAATGAAGATAGTATTCTTAATCATGATATTTCCTATGAAGATGAAAATTTATCAGAAAATGAAGAACTATCCATATCATTAATGCAATTAAATGAAAAGTATATTTTAAAAGTAATAAATTAATTTGATTAATACTATTAATAGCAAATTAAATGATTTAGGCAAAGTACAGAAAATATTTTTAGTTCAAATCAATTTCAAGTAAATGGTTCTCCAATTAAAGAAGATATTCAAGTTTCCAAGTCTAATTTTGATATGGATAATTGCGATCAACATACAACTAATATTGATCAGTAATTTATTAATAAATAATATTCTTACTATAATTTATATATTAATTTAATTTTTTTAGAACCAATATTATAAGTTATAATGAAGAATCTAACAGTAATCAAACATGTGATATGTTTTGTAGTTCAAATAGTTCAGTTGAAGTTTACACCAATAATACATTAAATTATGAATCATTCACTATTTGTAATAATCAAACAATAATGTCAAGTAAATTGTGGACATTACATCTAAAACCTCCCACATATAATGATGCTTTATATTTTATTAATAAAATAAAGAACATCCAATACAATAATCTATTTCAATTTCAATATAACAATACAATAGAAAATATTAGAAAAGGTCTATTATCATTAAGTTTTCCATTTGGCAGTGATTTAAATTTTTTTGCTTCTGAAAGCAGTATAATTATAGAACCATTAAATCAACCACCATCATATTTAATGGCCTTTAAGTGGTTAGAAACACATAATTCAAAAAATAAGCGCAAAAGAAAAATTATTCAAAACAATATACATAAAGGTCTTTTGACTCCTGAATCAAATCCAAAATCAATACTTTTAAAAAAAATCAATCATAGTACACCAAATTCTAGCAAAATTAAATTAAATGCATCTTCACCATATACTCCAATGAGAAGAGAAAATAAATGTGTGCAATCAAAAAGAAAACTTAACACTCTTTTCCTGGATTCTATACACGTGAGCAAGTTTATTGGATTATGTATTGAACAACATTTAACTACATTGTATATGATTTTAGGCAGATACAAGCAATGATTCAAGAACAGAATTTTTTAGTTCATTTAGAACTACTAATAGTTCTGACAGTAACATTTTAGATGGGGTCCATACTAGTCAAAGTTCTCATAACTTTTGTATTGATTCAGAAAATACAAAAAATGTATTTTATTACATAATATACATAAATGTTTTCAGTTTTGTAAAAAATTAATATTACTAAAATGCAATATATATTTTTAGAATGACAATCTTACTATTTTAACTATGGAATTGCATACTCAGACTAGAACTACTATGACTCCAGATCCAGAATATGATTGTATCCAGGGAATTTTTTATAGAATTTATAAAATGTCTAAAGAAAATGACTCAAAAATAGGTAAATTAATTAAATTCTTATTTAAAAATTACAAATAAATATATATAAAATATAATTTACCTGCCATTAAATTCAAATATATTAGGTTGTATTTTGACAAGTCCAATGAATCAATATTTAAATGGTTTTTCACATTTTAAATCAGAAATAACTATTTGCAATGATGAAATTGAACTTATTAATACATTTATTCAGTTGGTAAATGATTGGGATCCAGAAATCATTTGTGGTTATGAGGTAAAATTAGTGAAGAAAATGTCTGTGCATGGATAATAATAATTTTTATTTATTTCTATTTCAATAACATTGAAAATAATATTCTAAAATTAGTTAAAAAATATTTCAATTCCCTTTAATAAATACAATATACATACCTAATATGCTATGATTTACTAAATTCAAATTTCATTTACCATGTAAACTGAAAAATAGTAAAAATGTTTGTTGGTACTTTACACTTTTATTTTTTTGTATGTATATTTATATTAATTAAATCTATTTTTACATCTTCTATTTTTGAAATATGTAATTGTTGTATTATTTATACCTTTAGATAGAAATGCATTCTTGGGGCTACCTAAGAGATAGGTGTCGTTATGTAGGACTTAATATGATTAAAGAATTATCGAGAATAATAACAGAAAATGAGCAATCTTCTGAGTGTCATGAAGAAATTACAAATTCCGAAATGAAAATCAAAGGACGAATTGTAATGGACATTTGGAGGTTGCTTCGACACGAGGTTATAAATATTAAATTATTGAAATTGAATAGTCTAATTTCAAGTAACTTTTTTATTTTAGTTAGCAGTTCAAAGTTATACATTTGAAAACATGGTTTACCTTATACTACATCAAAGAGTACCCAGCTATTCTTATCAAACACTTTCATTTTGGTGGGATCATAATACATTTTTATACAAGTATAGTAAAAAAAAAAAATATAATAATTTATTATTGAAGCATAATTGAATGGTCTTAGGAGTCGTTGTTCCTTAAATTTTCTATTTAGATTTAATTGAAGTTTTAAGTATAAGTGACTTTTTAAGTCGTAACTAATTTATCGAATGAACCTAAAGTATACATTTTTACTACTTAAATTGTATTAAAAACATATTTAAATCTTGTGTTTCACAATATTGTTGGATGTTTAATTTCTACATTACACTAATGAATTATTATATATTTTACTATAGTAAAATATAGTATTATGTATGATAAAATTAAGAACATTCAGTGATCTATCGATCTATTTAGATTAAAATTATAATTTTGATGTCTTTATTTCATAGATGGTTGACTATAGATTATTACTTGTTCAGAGTAGAATGTACAATAAATATTTTGCAACAACTAGATATAATTGGCCGAACAAGTGAACTTGCAAAATTATTTGGTATACAATTTTACGAAGTATTATCAAGAGGTTCACAAGTAAGTTAATTTTGATTTATTATTATATTGATTAGTAAAGACCAGCATAACTTGATTTAACTCAATAACAATATTGTACTATTATTATACTTTGTTTTCTCTTTCATTTCAATACATATTGAAATTGTATGTAAACGTTTCTTCTTTTTTTTATGGAAAGACTTTATGACTGAAAATATTGTTTATTTTTATTAAATACTAATTTTTATAAAAGTTTAGGGTAGAATCAATGATGTTGCGTCTAGCTAAAAATAAAAATTATGTTGCTGTTTCACCTAATATAAAACAAAGAGCTGAAATGAATGCACCTCAAAGTTTACCATTAATAATGGAACCAGAATCAAAGTATAAAAATTTAATATTTTAAATTGTATTTTTCAAATATAATATTTATATTTATAATCATGTTTAGGTTTTATACAGATCCAGTCATAGTGTTAGATTTTCAAAGTCTTTACCCTTCAATTATTATAGCTTATAATTATTGCTTTTCAACATGTTTAGGAAATACCGATCTTCTTGGAAAGTGAGTATTAAATTATTTTATCAAATAATAATAATAGATGTTAAGTTATTTCAAAATTACATAAATATAAAATGACTATAAAAATATATAGTCTTTTATAGTTTACATTAAATTATTCTAATGGAATATTGTGTACCTATTTAACTAGCCTGTGAAATTATAATTATTTGTCTAATAGTTCTTTCAATATTTTATATCATTTAATAATTTAATTTTAATATCCAATATATATAATAATAATGAATAGGTATAATGAAATAATAATACCTAATCAATAATATTCTACATTAATAGAACAGAAAGATTTAAATTTGGCTGTACAGAATTAAATGTACCTTTTGAAAACCTTCTCCAAATTATTGATGATATAACAATTTCTCCTTCTGGAGTTGCATTTGTGAAGAAAAATATTTGTAAGGGAATATTACCAACCATGTTGCAAGAAATATTAGACACTCGAATAATGGTAAAAAAATATAATGTGCGAAATATTTGTTGTTTATTTTTTTATCTATAGCTTAATATTTCATTAGGTCAAAAATTTAATGAAAGAACAAAAAAATAATAAGCATCTTTATAAAATATTAAATGCCCAACAACTTGGCCTAAAATTAATTGCTAATGTAACATACGGTTATACTTCAGCAAATTTTTCTGGAAGAATGCCATGCATTGAGGTATTTTTAACAATATTTTTTTGTGTATTTTGTATTAATGATTAATCTTTATTATTTAGATTGGGGATAGTGTTGTGAGCAAAGGGCGTGAAACATTAGAAAGAGCAATAACTTTAATTCAAACTACAAAAAAATGGACCGCTAAAGTTGTTTATGGTGATACAGATTCAATTTTTGTTTTATTAAAAGGTCGATCAATAGAAGATGCATTTAAAATTGGTAATGAAATGGCTGACATTGTTACTAAAGACAACCCTGTACCAGTGAAATTAAAATTTGAAAAAGTTTATCTTCCCTGTATCTTACAAGTGAGTTAAAATATAAAGTTAATACAGGTAAATACATAATTTCATATTATTTAAAATTGTTAAATTTAGACTAAAAAAAGATACTGTGGATACATGTATGAAAATATTGAACAAAAAAAACCTAAATATGAGGCTAAAGGTATTGAAACTGTACGTCGTGATGGTTGCCCTGCTGTTGCAAAGGTGATTGTTATAATTAATTTATGTTTCTATATATAAAATAAAACAATTTGAATATCACCTATTCAATTACTCATTAATAGTTGTTAATAACAGTACAATTAAATATATATAATCATTATATTTATGTTTTAATCTAGATTTTAGAAAAAAGCTTGTGCATTTTATTTGAAACAAACAACATTCAGGCCGTAAAAACCTATATTGATAAGCAATTTAAAAAAATTTTGAAAGGCAATGTAAATTTACAAGATTTTCTCTTTGCTAAAGAATATAGAGGACGTAATGGTTATAAGCCTGGTGCATGTGTGCCTGCTTTAGAATTAGCTAAGTAAATATAAAAGTATTTTACTTTTAAGATCAATCATTATAAATTATTTGCAATTTATTAAAGACAATGGGCAGCCATAGATAAACGTGCTGAACCACGAATAAAAGAACGAGTCCCATATCTAATTGTAGCAGGACCAAAAGGTTTACCCTTAATAAAACTTGTTCGATCACCCAGAAATTTTATTTCAGACAAATCCAACAGGATAAATGCAGAATATTATATTACTAGAGCAATAATACCACCCCTTCATAGGTGTTTTTCTTTGCTCAATGTTGACATAAACAAATGGTAATTATTTACTGTAATAATATTTAGTAACATTATTAAATTATTTAGTTTATGATTGTTAATATTAAAGGTATTCTGAATTGCCTCGTAAATATAATTTTAATTTCCGGGATGTTTCAAAAACAGCTAATCAGAAACAAACACTATCTCAATATTTTTTTAAACAAAATTGTATTTTATGTAATAAATTATCACAACATGGTTTCTGTGAACAATGTGCAAAAAATCCTCAATATTTAATTTTACAACTTAATCATTTACTATCAAAATGGTCTAGAAAACAAAATGATTTAGAAACGGTAAAAATGAAATCAAATGTTTTGAATAACTATTCAAATAATAATATTATCAATTTAACAGATCTGTAGATCATGCTGTGGAAGAAACTTTGAATTGAAATGCAACTCTTTGAACTGCCAAATATTTTACAGTACTCAACAAGCAGCAAAAGATATGCAACAGTATTCCTATATTGATAATATTAAGCAAAATGTATGTTTAAAAAATACAATTATTTTGAAAAATCCCAATGTAATTTAATATGTACAGTGTACACTAATTAATTAACATCTTATAAAAACAATTAAGTTTTATATATTATATTTACGAGTGTTGTTTTTTATTTTGTTGCTGATTAGGAAAACATAAGGAAAAACAACCCAGGAAATATTTATTTTACAGGTACTACCATTTAAATTTTTTTTGCATATAAAAGTTACTTATAAAGAATAATTGTTATTAGGTAATAATTTTTTTAACAAAATAACTGACAATAAATTACTACTACACACATTGATTTTAAAAAAATCTTGAGATCTGAACACTTGAATTTTTAATGTTTTGTACTTTATTTTTTTAGTTCCTTTTGAACTAGTTTTATGCCAACAAACTCCACACTAGGTGATTCTGTATGAACCATAGGCATGCTGATATGTATACATGTTAACAGTTAATGCTAATATATTCATACTTTAACCGATTTTACGCTGTTTGTGTTGGTATATTGGGTTTTTTTTTCGATATTTTAATTTTGAAGCCAGATTTGATGATTTTTAAATTGTAATATTTCATATATTTATAATTAGCTTGAAAATTAAAAGACCCAAAAAAAAAAAAACCAATGTACAAAAATATACAATGGTCTTACTTTTAAGTTTGAAAGTTATATAATACACTCTTAATATTGAAACTAACAGCACAAATTAGGTTTTTATATACAAAGAAAACGGACATTCTTCGCATGTGGGTGCAGTTACTGTTGTATATAAAAAGTTAGCAAGGTAATATATATCTGTAAGCAACAATAAAACATTGCTAATAAAAAACGATTCTGAGCGCAGTTCAGTTAATAGTGTTGCTTTGTCATATGTTATAGATGTCATATTATGGTAAAATAATTACTTATCCATTAAACATTTGCTTTGATAATATTGTACTTATTTTCCCGTTTTTCTTCCTGTTTTTTTGGGGGGGGGTTTCGAATATTTTGAGAAAATCAAAAAAAAACCTCCCCAAAGTACCACCCCAGTCAGATTTCCTTCCAGAAAAAGTGCTACACTTGTAAATCAAACAATATTTCTAGTAGAAAAGTTGTTTAGTGTTCACAGATAAAAAAAAATACAGAATCTAAAAATATAAATATAAGTATGTAATGAAGTTATTCACTTAACTAATTTCACAATATAATATTATAATGAGTGTTAACTGTGAAGTTAGGGACGTAGACTGTTTTGATAAAAAATTAACATCGTGATATCATGTAATTCAGTTGCCTATACCATGCAAATTAAAAGAGTAACGTGCGAACCAAGAGATCTATTATGATTTATACATCTTAACACTAGATAACCGTTGTGTATCTAAATTGTACTATTTTATAAAGTAACGACATTTCCAATAACATGCTTGGTATTATAATAACGTACAAGAGTCCCTCTTTAAGCCTATGTAATATCTAAGGGAACTTGGGCATCGATTCAGAGAAATGAGAGTTTGAAGTTTTCAATAAATTCAAATTTCCTACTCGAGCGGTCATGTGTTATGATGTGTTATTATTATTATCTGTTTCGTATAGAACATCTTTATCTATTGTTATAGACTAAAAACTTCAAGTTTACTTATCATTTAATGTATTACGTAGGTATCTACATGAACAATGAACTCATGAATCTGTGTTAATCTTTTTATTTTGTAAACAAATTGTGTCTATAGTTGAAATTGTATAATTTAATATAACAATATAGTATTATTATGTTGTGTGTTTATTTAGAAAAATATTTTTCTAAATTTTTAATTTATGTATTTTGACCGATTACCGTTATGAAAGGTATTAAACAGGTTGTCTATAATTAACGATTCTCAATATTTTTGAGATCACGAGATCACTAGATTTTGAGTAATAACAGTAGATGAACGAAGTAAAAATGATATTCTAAATAGAATAGCACAAGCAAAAAGGGCTTTTCAAAATAAAAAACACTTATTAACCACTAATAGTGTGACCTTAGAGGTAAGGAAAAAGTTCCTCGAAATAGATGTCTGGAGTATTGCTTTACATGTCTGTGAAACTTGGACAATCGGTGCAGTAGAGAAAAGAAAACTAAAGGGCTTCGAAATATGGTGTTATCGTAAAATTTTAAAGATTAAATGGATTGAAAGAATAACGAATGAAGCAGTATTATATAGAATAAAAGAAAAGAGAGAACTTTGGTATACCATAAAAGTTAGAAGAGACAAAATGATAGGACATCTACTACGCCATGATAGTCTAACGAAAAGCGTCATAGAAGGTCATATCGAAAGAGGAAGATCAAGAATGGAGTATATGAACCAAAATATGATAGACATGGGAAAGAATGACTATAAGAAATTGAAGGAACTGAGTAACGATATGGATGGTTGGAGATCTGCAGCAAACCAATCAAACGATTGAAGACGTCAAGAGAGATTTTGAATAACCCCTACATCATGATATTTTACTAGCTAATTTATATATTGATGACCCTAAACAAATTGTTGGAGACCCCCGAGGATGGAGAGGGTCGCTACCCCCAATTTGAGAATGGCTAGTCTAAATCATAAAATTCCCGATAGGACTCAAAATCGTTAATTAATATTAAGTAATGCTACATAATTATAATAAATCATTGAATTAAGTAATTCAGTTTAACAATATATAATATATTGTGGTATGTATAATATCGCTGAATAATGACCAGTTAAGCGTTTTTATATTTCATTTTCGACTTTAGTTTTTATTTGTATCTTCTTTCCTGCTCATGAAGTTAATTATTATTGGAAGATGATCATTACGATATATATCGGGCATTGTCCTCATGGCCTGACTTACCAATTCATGAGCCCAGACGCCCATTACAATCTACAATTTTGGGTCCCAAATTGTTCATCTCTATTTTCTTCAATGCTAAAATACTACTCGTATGTATCTATGCGTAATATATTTCTAAATTAATTTCGTAAGTAATTAGTGGCTTATACAGGGTGTCCCGGGATGATCTGCCACTTTAAATAACTTTTGTTCTATTCAGAATTTTTTTTTTTAAATAATTGATATGCTTCGGCGCTACAGTTTATATATCAATTTTTTTATTTAGGGGGAGAAGGGATTTAAAATAAAAAATATTACTATAATTTTTTTAAAAAAATTGAATTATTAGATTGGATAGTTTGGTAAGTTTGCTTTTTGTAGCTCTGTCGTTTTTCATTGATTTAACTATTTCGATACTTTTTAACATCGTAGGTATGGTAACATTGGTTTCATAGTAGTGTGGGTGAATGGATGTTGATTGCTTCGTTTGAGAATTTTTCTATTATATATTTAAACTGGGAAAAGGAGATTGTGATTTTTTCATTTTCTGAAAAAAAACTTGGGTAGATTTCAAAGGGTCATCAGTTTTTGACACGATATTTTTAAGTGAGTTGCTTTTTTAATTTTTTTTTTTTTGATCCTGTAGTTTTCCCTTAGTTTTCCTTTATTCTAACAATTTACTTGCTAAGTTTTTATGTATATCGGCTATCGGGTTGTTCCAAGATATGAGTGATGTAAGGTAACTTGATAATGGTGGGGATCTTATGGTTTGTCTATTGGTTAGGTTTGTTGTTGTATATTAAACAAACGGCGTGACAAGCGTTATACGTTTATGTTATTTTAATTATAAGTATTACATAATCATAGCATATTATATTACGATTGGTGGGGACTGTCTATCGTTCATCATGCAGACAATGTTTTGACTTATTTTGTGGTGTTAGCATTTTCATTAATTTTATTATTTTCTTATATAGAGTTTAAATCAATAGTGGGGGTGTTTTCTTTTATTGATGGATTTTATATATTATATATTTTTTTAGCGCTCTTAAAATTTGTTTCTTTTTTGCATTAATTGGATGTATGGCCAGTATGTTTACACATGCAACAACTAACAAGTGAGGATATTATAGGTTAAGAAAATTCTGAAGTCTGTGTTTTCATATTTAATTATTAGCGAACCGAGTACATTTGCTATATCATCAGGGTTTATGCATACCTGTAGCCCAAAACTACTAATAATGTGTACGAATTCATCTTGGAAACTGGTTTTTAAAAAAAGGCACGTGGGTGGGCCACTTAGGCCTGCACAATAGTTATTCGTTAGACTTGATAATCGATTGTGTCAAAGTAATCGATTATTGCGATTAATCGATATATTTTGAAGCAGCAATTTATACGCTCCCGATTCGTCATGTTCGATAGTCAATTGGTCATTGAATTGAAATAATCGATACTATCGATATATTTTGAAGATACAGTGATGTACCTATTTTCGATATATAGATGCATCGATTTTAATGGTACGATACATCCGATTGATCAATACATATTTGTTTCTTAATATGAAAAGCTAGTAAATAGTATAGGTTTTTTTTCTTGCATTTTGAGGGACATGCAGTGGTGCGGTGTCTACTTGGTTTGCCCTGACAACACGTCACTAAGTATGATATGTACCTGTTTATTAAACTAAAACTATTTACTATTATTTATTGTTATATTAATTTTTGATTGTACAAAACAACTTGTTGCCTTATAAAAAATAACTATCTTTTTAAAACAAAATTGTAATATAGGTATATAAATATATCAATTTTAAAAAATAATTACTTTAAGAACATAATATTAATATAATATTATATAAAATTCAACATAATTTTTGTAAGCAAAAATTAATTTATATGAGAAAAGTTCGTATAAGTTGCTTTATTATCTACGTAAACAGTAACTTCTTTTAAATCAACAGCATCATCTTCATCAACGAATTTAATAATAGAATCATTATTTATGTATTCAGCCTTTTGTTTTTCTTTATTAAAATATGTTCTTGGAGATGACTTCAGTGTTTTTAGAGAAATACAATCATCACTAACTAATGTTGATTCACTGTCGGCAGACAATCTATTACTGTATTTACTACTAATTTCGCAATTTTGTCTGCATTTGTCGTTTTTAATATCAAAAATGGACATTTCCATACTTTCGTGACCCCCAGGACTTATATCCGATATAGGAGGTATCCATAAACAATAAGCGGGATCCATTCCTATGTATGATCCAGGCATACTATTTGTATTTTGAACATTATAGTCATAGTAATCCATTTCTAAATCAGACACATCATGACCGTGAATGCTTGAGTCCGTGCTACTCGTCAATGGGTTTTGTTTTAGATTTCTTGGTTTATCATTCAAAGTGGACGTTGACTGGGTAATCTAAATACAAACAAAATTATAATTTTAAAATATTCACAAACAAAATACAAAATACGAACAATTTGTCTAGATGATAATGATGTCTGAGATACAAAAGATGCACACTGATCTATTTTTGACGAAGAGTTGACTATATTTTCGGGTACCATATCAATTTCACTCCTAAACAAAATATACGTAAATTTCGATCATGATCAATAATAAATAATAATAGCCATTAAGCGGTGGCGGTTTTAGGGGGGGGGGGGTCAAGGGGATCTTGGTCTTCCAAATTTGAAAAAAAAATAAAGAATAAGTAGGTATTCTATGTACTATAAAATTGGGTTTGATATAAGCTTTTATTCTTAAAGTATATAATATTTTATAAATTTTCTCGATATCGTCTAACAATTAGACGATATCAATTATTTTATTAGACTATAGAATAATCTTGTTACTAATATTTTTTGTGTATTACGTACGTAGTTTTAATTGAATTTGACCTCTAAGCGGAACATTCAGCATGAAAACGCGTTTCGATTTAAAGTTTTATTTTGAGTACAGAATCACGTGAGATAATAAACAGAGTGTTTTAATTGGCTGTCCTCGGAGTGTAAATAAGCTTTCTCTAACACTAAGCTTTTTATCAAATTCTATTTCTCTTGATTCATAGTGGCTTATGGGAGACCGAGGGAAGGTATTCGCAGAATCACTTATGTGGGATTGCATTGTTCATTGTTGTATACCTATTTACCATGATTTAAGATAATATGGTTACCTGACGAACTATGTGTTTGTCCCTATCACACTACTATAGTTGTTTAACTAACTGCCAGAGCGCTCTATTGAAATTATTATGAAATAATTATGTTTTCGCTTTTTTATAACTACAAATTACAATCCAGGATATGTATATAATATAATATAATATTATGTATGAATTATTGTTATTATTTATATTATATTAACAATATATGCTAAATTAATAAAATTTGGTTTTAGATTCCTAATAAATGTAGCATTGTAACATAATATAAATATATAATACCTATAATCATAATAGTATACATATTTAAAAAAAACAGTAAATGATTGAGTTGTTTATGTGCCCCCCCCCAAAAAAAAAAAAACTCAAACCCTAGAGCCGCCACGACTGACCATTTTGTACTTAATAATAATATTTATTAGGTATTTATATTAGAATATAAAAAATAAATCTGATTTAATTCACCCATTCAAAGATATGTGTTCTTTATCGGCGTCATCTTGATTTTCATCAATGTCTAAAATGTCTAGTATTGGCGGTATATGTGACTGTAAAGTTGTTGATGATACCATATGATCATTGTAGTTTAACATACTACAATCCGATCCCACTAATAACATATATTTAAATATTTGAAATAAACGTATAGAATATAATAAAATAAAAATATAGATTTTAATATATAGAGCTTACTGTTAGAATGGCTGTCTAATGTAGTAATAGCTTTATGATATTTGTGTTTGCGTTCAGCAAACTGTACAGTAAAACACATACAAGTAACTAGCAAAAATAACAAAATCGCAGAAATTGTCGTTAAAAACGAATCGACCTCAGACATAAAATAAATAATGTTATATTTGAAATCAACATGACTTGAATTTGGTAATGACCAATTGTTGTTTGTTCCTATAAAAATAAATAAATCAATATAATTATACGTCACAGATCTATGTAGTTTAGGATGAATATAGAATTTGAACAAACCAATTCGATTTATTTGAGCGAAAAATCCTCCAAAGCAATCCTCACTTGATGAAAAAACTATACTTGAATAGAACTCAATTAAAATAAATGGTCCAGTTGATATAATAGGGTTTATAGAATCTGGAACGCCTTCCAAATGTGCTAATAGATTAGAAGCTGTCGAATCACCATCACGAAGTTTAACCCATTGATTCGAGCATGATAAAAACAGTCGAATGAAATCGAACTGTATGGTATTTCTGTCTTCAGCCTTAAAATATATTGCAATATTTAATAATTTTAGTAATATAATCAATTCAGTAATTTGTATATCTTTTGATATTATTACTTATTAGGGATTAAGATAGGTAACTATATGTCTATATACTATTATATTGTACTATTAATACTATTATAATATACTACTTACTAGATATTTTATATTATGTATATTGTATACATATCATATCGGTAAAAATTGATACTCTGTATAATATATTACAGTACTCAGATTTTAGACTTGTAGATACAAATTTTATGAATAAACTTATGGTTTAGAATGGAGTTATAAAATTGTATTTTGTTAATTAAATAATTACTACAGTAAATAGTACTTAATTATATAGTTCCCTTCCCGGGTTAAATTTTCAACTTGAAATATTCCTGTTTTGGTATATTACATATTGTGCTTTTGCATTCATTTAGGGTTACAGATAAATTTTCCTTGAAATATAGGTATTGATTTTCTCAAAAAATAACTTCTATAAACATTTTTTGGCATCATATATTTGAAAATTTTAAATTTCCGTCAATGGATTTATGCTGTAGAGATGTTACGAACCCTGATTTTTAAGATCGAACAGAATTGAATCGAAATTTTCTTAAATTTAACGAACCCGAACCGAACCAAACCTACACATTATTATTCGAACCCGAACCGAACCGAGATTCGTATAGATATTAAAATGTTCAATACCAAATTATTCAAACCATCTATTTATGACATTTTTAGTACAAGTTGCTATTAGAAAATTAAAAACTAATGTAGTTTCCTCTTCAAAATTAAGGATGAAGAAAATAAGGACATTGTAGTACAGGATTGTCCCAA